TATAATTTGTTTTTAACTAAGTTTCAGTCTATATCTAACCTTTAACTCTATTTTTTTTACTTTTTTATTTATATAAGCTAAGGTAAGGTAATAGTATCTCTAAAAACTCTAAGAAGGGCTTACTAAGTATATAACTTAGCTATAGGCCCTAAGGGGGGATATTTATTATCTATAATTAACTATAATACCTCTCTAAGCTTATTATTACTATTACTAACTATCTCTTCTTATAACTATAATAATAGATACCTCTAATATTATTATCCCCTATAGCTAGAGCCTAGTTATTATAAGTAACTGGGTCCTTATATATATAATAGTTATTATTAATAAGAACTATTAGAATCTCTTTTTAGATATTAATTATTTAAGCCTGTAATCTATTATAGGTTTACTTATAGTAATAAAGCTACTCTCTCTTATATAGGCCTAGTAGTTATACCTACTAGAACTATTACTCTATCTTCTTACAGTTAGTAATAATATAGAGATAGACCTGATTATTAATATACTTATAGAGGATTATAATAATATTCCTCTAGTACTTAATTACTATTATAATCTAAGTTACTATATATAGTTCCAGTAGGTAATATACTGGGTTAAGTTAATCCGGACTAAGATAGTTCTTTAAGTTTAATATCTGTTTTAGTTAGTAATATCAGGCGGAAGAGAATTAAATTAAATTAAATTAAATTATTAAAAAGTTTATTAGATAGAAAAGTTAAATTAAATAAGGTTAATATAATAGTATCTGGAATATAGTAGGTTAGTTAATCTAATACTACTATAGATTATTTAAAGAAAATTATAATAGCTTGTAAAGTTACTATATACTAATAAAGACTAAATATAGTTTATATAGTATAATTAAATTTATATTTTTATTTTTTAATTATTTAGTTTAAATTTAAATTAGAATATTAAATTAAATTAGATTAAAATATTAAAAAAGTATTTATTATTAATTAGAAATAATAAAAATAAAAAATTAGTTATTTTTAAAATTATAAATTAATTTATTTCTATAAGTATAATATATAATTATTATTATAGAAAATTTTATTAGAAATAATATAAATTTAATATTAATCTAATATCTATTTATATATATTTAATTATACTATATAATAATAAAAAAACTCTATATTATAAATAAATTATATATTATATCTAATTTTAAAATAATTTTATTTATAATTTAACTAAAAAAATAATAATAAAATAATATTATAATTTTAAAAGCTTTTAAAAAAATTAAAAGCTAATTTATCTATTAGAAAGATATCTATTATTATATAGCTATTTAACTATAAGCTTTCTACTTATTAGTATCTGCTTATCTTTACTCCTCCCAGTATATACTATTATTTATCTGATATACAGCTATAGAGTAGCTGATCTCCCCTCGAGGAAAATCACAACCGAGCCGAGCTACCTAATGGCGCCGACTTTTATCTGGACAATATTTACTGACATCCACTTCCTATAGTAGGTCTGATGTCGAGATCCGTAGCAGGGCTACTGGCGGAAGTTATCTCATGCTCCCTCGTGCGCCAGCTTGTGACCCCAAGAACAAGCAATGCATTCAATGCCCAACGACTAAATTCACTAAAGGGAGCAGAGGTTCTAAAAAAAGAGTAAATCCAAATATGCCTGCCTCGGGTAGAGGAAAGCCCAAGGCCACGACTCCACGACTCGTTGCCGCGAAAAAGTCAGCAAAGCCAGTGGTGTTGGCAATATCAACGCCAACGCCAAATCCAAACCTAAGCCTAAGAGATCGAACTATGGGGCCATAAAAAAGCGCTCAGATGTCAGAAAGATGACGGTTCGCTCAATGTATCCTGCTGGCCGCATGGAAAAACCCCGTCTTACTCGGAGCGTGTCCCCTCGTGTAGACTTTCCGGAGGATCAAGTGAATGCCAACGGCCCGTGGGAAGAGGGCGGCCAGATCACCATCCTTAATTCTCAAAATTGCCTCTCAATAGTGGTTTTAGAGAGAAAAGTATCAAACGCTCAACCTCAGCCCGCAAGATCCAAATGACAAAACACCGAGCTTCGAATACGTCAAGAACTTTTTGATTGGTCACGGCGTATTGGATGCAAGGACCATTAGGCCAAAGAAAGCATTCGCTTATCTACTTGTTCCAACTGCCATAAGGCAATCGTCAAACTCTTTATACACGACAACATTAGAGCAAGTTGCCCTGATAGTCATAGAATGCAAGCCGACGAGCTCAAAACAGGCAGGCCACAGAACATTCGTATCACTAACTCAGGTGGTAACGCGTTTAACTTTAGATATGAGATTCTCGACGGAACGGCTAGTTGATCTCTGGGAAATGGATGGCTTGCTTATCAGTTAGAAGCCAGTCAACCGCTGCTCCAGTTCCAAGGGGGAGGGTTTGGATTTGTATGGTGTTCAATTGATTTGACCATTTTGTTGGAGGACCTCTGGAGAAAAATGCGACGGTAGGGAGGCTTACTGCCGAGTACAAGCTCCTATCAGATTTGGGTACTCTGTGATGTTTGTTGTTGCTCACCTGTGATGACAAGATTCTAGCCTAAATCTGCTTGGGGCTCAACAGAGCCCGCTGATGGTGCGGGAAATAAGAGAGAAAAAATTGAATGAGTGGCACAATTCTACATTTACGTTCCTCGATACATGCCCACTAGTGACTAGGGGAGATATAATTAGTGATTCGAGCCATGGTCGAAGCATACCCACACGTAGACATGCACATATATGTATAAACACGAGACATTCGTTCCATGATCGTAGTTCACATGGCCTTGCGATTTGTTCTCTCTTTGCGTACATGTGGCATCTTGTCCTCCAGTTTCAGTAGTGCATTGATGTTGGACTCAGACTCAAGGACAACTGGTCATTCCTACAATGCCTCTTAGTGAGGGTGCATGTATGTGGCCTACAACCTATTGACTGTGGTCATAATCTGACAGAGTAGAGCCAGAGTCTGTTATGGACTAATAAGCCCTATTCGTTCATATCCAAGGTAAGGAAACATATGTATCTTGGCGGCTCCCACCGCCAGCCACCACTGATGATTCGCACTCGTCGGAACATGCCGCCACTGTTGGAATGGCAGGCGGCGAACCCCGCCGCGTTTCGACCTCCAGCGGCCCACCGCATCCATCATCAGCGAGGGCTGCTCAGCACGATAAACAAACCTCCGCTGTAGCATTCGGAGATGAGCTTCACCATTGCAGTTCTTCTCTGTCCCGTATGCTGATCCCATCAGCGACGCCAGGCCAGGGACAGCAGACATGATCCCGCCAGCGCACCACTCAGACCCCCCAGAACATGGGACGCGTACCGTGTCCAGGCCATACGATGTGGCCATGCACCTCGACGAATGGATGATACGGGCATACAGCTGCATCGGGTCTCGCTCCAGCCAAACCACCGTGCTGGTTTTCCTTCTTTACAGCGCCCGGTTGACGAGCAATCTTCTGGAAACCATTGCCGAAGGTGCTATGACTGTCAAGGCAGCGCCGTCTCTGAAAGGACGTAGGTGTGCCCATCTCGCCCGGGCGGCAGGACGATTGGGCACTTTTGCCCTTTCGCTAGCCCGATGCTCGAGGCAGGCCTTGGGTACGATTGCTCAAGCTCTTGCATTTGGGAGGCTTTGGGGTTTACTCGGGGTCTACTTTTCTTTGAAGCAGCTCGTCCAACCCAGGGCGTCGCCAAATCTCAGCAGCGATCAGAAGAAACGGCCTTATTTGGAAAACATATTCAAAAGTTCCCAGTTGTTTTTCCTGGCCTGCTACTTCGCCACCGATAATGTGAGCTTTTTATCTGGTCGTAAGATCCTGGCTATCCCACCATCTACCAGGAAGTCGTTGTCCCGCTGGTCCTTGCGCTCGTACGCGCTGTGTACAGCTATAGATGTTGCACGTCTGATAACACAGCGGTTGAGGACAGGAGGGGAATCCATACCGGGGAGCTGGAGGAACCAGTTCCTGACAACCTTGGCCATGTTCTCCATCGCCTTGCATAATAGTATCGACAACAGTCCGCTAAATGATATTACGATTTCGCTTCTGGGGTTTTATCAGAGTGGATCGCGGATGAAGAATCTCTGGCATGACAGTTTTTCGCAAGCTGGGACTCAAGATAAGGACCAAGAGAAATTGGTATCCGTTAAAGCCCCTTAGTCCAGATCAAAAAGAAATTCGATTCGTGCCTGGTCTTTGCAGTATTGTATCAACTACATACATCTTACTGCATGCCACAAGTGTTGATTTTACCTGCATATCAAGGATACCGTGACGAGAATCCCGTGATGGGCACATCGGCCACTTATTTACTCGGACCTCGCTGCGCTAAGGCTCTCTCGTTCTAAAATTCGCTGTTCGGGATATCTATTCCCACAACGAGAATATCTGCATGGGTTTGAGAATTTATCGTCTTGGCCATGTCTCCTTTGACCTGTCCCCGGTAATAGAAAGCACAGACATTTGTTGATGGTGGTTTATTTTCTCTCTGTAAATACACAACGTCCCAAAGCCATCCATTGCATATATAGATCTACAGAAGGGATACCTTCAGGTGCAATTGTGGCGATGTCCAGCCCAAGAGGTTGTACAACAAAGCAAAATTATATGTAGCACGAGCCAAGTATGTAGCTGACAGAACCGCTGTACGTTTGTTAAGGACAAGGGCTATGAGAAAAGGCCGATACCACATGTCTTTGTCTGTGAGTTAATCTAAGCCCCTTAAGTATTTTAGATCTTTCTATTTTTACAAAGCCGTGCCTCCGCCTTTGACCAACAATTAATTCTCTAGCTCTGGTCATCCAGCCTTTGTTGTACTCCCTGAAAAAAAGAGGTATATCTTTTCTTCTCGCTCTGTTACACGGAGAATATTTTCCTCCTCACTCCTAATATACCCCTCTGCGTGAGCCAAGACTATTCTTGCAAAACAGCATACATCGGCCTCACCACCAGCATTTTGGGTCCATTCATTGATCTGCACCATCATGTCAGTCACAAGCCCCAGCCCTGAATCAAGCAGAAGAAGCTCGATTGGATCTGGTGGCTCGACGAAGACGACGATTCGATACGACGTGACGCCGTTTAAAGATCTCAAGCCACTTGTTCTCAAGCTTGCCACGAAGAGGGTCTGGCCAGGCAGTAAAGCAGATGACATCACAGTGCGGAAGATAGCAGCGGGAGGGTTTAACCGAATCATTGGGCTAAAAAGAAAGAAAGAAGAGGTCATTTTGCGACTTCCCCATTGCAAAGAAGCTAATGTCAATGCCGAAGTGAGCACTTTGGACTTCGTGCGCAGGCACACCACGATCCCGCTGCCTGAAGTCGTGTCTGTCGACGATAAGACCAACAACGATTTGAAATCCAAGTACTGCGTCCAGCGACTTCTTCCATCAGGAACGGTTGTCAGCTTATACCCGGGATTGACTCACTCACAAAAGTGTCAAGTTGCCCGCGAGTTAGGCAACGCAATGAACCAAATGCTCGCCGTGAAGAGCAACATCGCTGGTAGAATATCTGGTCAACCACTGGACAACCAACCACTAGACAACCAACCACTGGACAACCAACCACTGGACAACCAACCACTAGACAACCAACCACTGGACAACCAACCACTGGACAACCAACCACTAGACAACCAACCACTGGACAACCAACCACTAGACAACCAACCACTAGACAACCCATCCACCTCCACCAATAAATTTCTCTCAAAAATCCGCTCCTGGATTAAGCGAGGCATTTCCCTGAAGTGGATACTAGGGGAGGACATTATCCCCCTCCGGCAATCTCACGTCCCACGATCTTTATTTCACATCGAACCTCTTCTTCCCAGATTCGATGGGCTGACTACGGAAGAGGCTGATCGTCGAATCGAGGGCGCCGGGTGGGGAGCAGCTTATAGTGATCCTGTTGCCGTGAGACCCTACCAGGCACAGGCACCACAAGAGTCTACGCTCGATCTGCTTACTACGCTGTGCAAGATCAATAAAGCCAACAATCTTCTGTTTTGCAAATCGATAGTAGGGAAACCGCATCTGATGGATAGACTCATGCTCATGGCAGAGCAGCTGGCAGCTCAAGGGCGGCTGAATGACCGCAGCTATTCACTGTGCCATCTTGATTTTCATCCACGCAACATATTGATTAATCCCGGTGCCCGACAGATCATCTCTGGGATCATCGACTGGGATAGCGCGCTATTCCTTCCTACATTCATGGCATGTGAGCCTCCTATGTGGCTTTGGGCCTGGAATGATGAGGATGATGAAGATGAACGATACGCTAACGACACACCGTCAACATCTGAGGATCAAGAGATCAAGGCAATATTTGAGGAGGCCGCAGGGGAAACCTACTTGAAGTTCGCCTATGATCCATCTTACCGCCTAGGAAGGCAACTTGTCAAGTATATTATTGAAGACGTAAGAGAGGATCACCTCCTCAAAATCGTCGGTCAAATGTTGGATGAGTGGGACGCTTTGTGTTCACAACGTCAAATGGAGTGAGGTAGCTTAGAAAATGTGGTAAAGGCCGACAACAAAGCAGAAATAGAGGCGATCTGCCTCCGAGCTTTGTTCTTGCTCTCTATATTCCCTACTCTTCTTCCCTTCTTTCCTTCTGTCACTGGATGGGAGATCTGGTTCTAATTTTTGTAGTCAAGAATGGAACAGCGAGAATTATAAAATCGGTTCACTGTTGTTTGAGATAAATTTATTCTTAGGCTAGATTGCTATAGCGGCTCTCATTCATTGAAACTTGAAATACAACCCTCTAGATGTCTTAAGCTGCTCAACATATAGTGTATGGAGTTGTTTGCTGAAGCTCGGTGAAGCCTCGTAACGGCGTCAAAAACTACTCCCTGTACCCCCTCTATCTTCAGTCCTCTTCCTGTTAGCTGTATGTTTATTGGTCCCTCAAGGTTGTCTAATGGATGCTCGTTCTATTTCCAAATTTCTGTTTATAGAATTATTATTCATGCTAGAGTCAAAGAAGGGGAAATCAATCCATTGAAAAGGCCTCCTATAAATATTTTTTTCAGAGCACAAAGGTTTAATTATAGCCCATGAACAATGAAATGTCTATATGATCCGATCACACTTTAACCTAGTACAAGCGTTGACTTGGAATATTTAAGAAAACAGATTATCCAAATCCATGGAGAGGAATCGTCTCGAATATCTACAAAAGTAGTCGTACTATCCAACACGCATATTTAAAATTCTGAATTGCATAGTCATAATCAATGCCTGGTGCACGCAAGCGGAGTAGGACACATCATTGTCCAGGAAGGAAGCTGGGCAACTGTCGACCTTGTTTCGAGTTTCAGAAGACTTTTTGCAAGAAACACCAAATTTTATGTTTAGATCATAAGCAAATTCACCTGATAGACCAACCTTGTCCAGAATGTGAGTATCCCTTTGTTCAGTTTTACGGAGAGTGTGTGAATAACTGGGGATGTGGCTTAGGTGATCGAGTTGCAACTTACCAGCCAAGCAGCGAAGATACTAGCTGGATTGGGAATATTTGAGAGTATTTCATGTTTCAGATGAATGTAGCTAACCTATTCACCTTCTCTCCGTTGTTGTGGACCTGTCCCTGGGTAGCCTGTCGAATTCACTCACCTCTCTACGACTTGGGCTTCATCCACAAACACTATACCCATATCTTGTTTTAATTGTTTTCAGATAGAGGACAAATGATCAGTTTTATCCTGCATAAAGTTAATAGTGTTGGATTCTAACTACTAGGTTGGTAGCCGCGCCTAGTCGTAGGCTGGTAGGAGCTTCGCGGAGTCTGTGCTGGGAATAAAATACCACGGGGGAGGCAATATCTACAATTTTCTGTACAATACAAGCTCAAATGTCTGGAAAACTTTGACCCATCAAGAAAACGCCCCTAAAGGACGTAGGGAGGCTTAATTGGCCTTCCTCCAACAGCATGCTGACCCAAGCGAATGATGAACATTTTGCTCCTCTTGATCCAATTGATTGTCTCAACTATCTCAAATGAACCCAGAGATGCTAATTCCAACCTCAGGACTCTAATTTACTGAAAACATCATAGTACCTGGAACATCCAATCGACAAGATAAAGGATTAAGTGCCAGGAGGACGAGAATTATTTGACCTCTTTTACAGTCAGGAAGCGCAGCCATGAAGTCGGTATTCCTACACTCAATGTTCGTGATAAACGTCTCAAATCATAATACAAGCTGTTATAATTGAGTGGGAAGTGTTCATTTCTAGGTTGTGAGGTGTAGACTGTGGTACTAGCCATCTAAACAATACACGTTTGGTGGTTGTTTGCCTTTACATGTCTGTTTACATGTCATTCGCCTACAACAGTCTCAATTTCCGTTTCTATAAATGCTAATCCTCCCTCGCATGCACATATTCGCCCATAGCTCACTGATCATTTTGATTTTCTCTACTTGGACACTTGTTTATACTCCTCAGGTGCCTCATATGCCGTCACCATAATGATTGGCGTGTTTCATGAACCAATTCTCTATCTTAATTGGTCTGAACAAGTACTGAGGTGCCAATGAGTCCTGAAACACTGGCCCGAGTAAGAGCATTCAAGCTTCTTTATAGAGTGCATATTAGGAGATCAAAGGATTCAATTAAACGAGGAGCTCAAACTAATTCCCATGCCAGTCCTACAATAGCCAAGCCAACCGTATGATCGGCAATGAGCCTATTCCATGGTTGCGGCCTTATTTAGGGTGGAATAACATGATCAACAACCGCCAGACACAGGCTGAGTTTGCTGGTGTAGGAGATAACAGATGATCATACTACCTACACTCTGCAGCCAGTCCTCGCCGTTGTGAAAGACAATGGCCTTTGATCCTGTTATCTAGCGTCTTAACCGGCACTTTGCTTACATATCAAGTAATATACTGTTATCTGAAGTGCTTCTTTGCCTCAAGCCCGAGTAGGAACCGATACGGCCGGTTTAAGCCAGAAATCAGAAGCGGGCATCATCGAAGAGACCACCTGAATGAAACAGATCAACGAGATGCACCTAAACACCTTCAGAAAGGAAGTTGGTAGACTGTTGGCCGCTAGATCCTGTTGCTCGGCGTCCGACCAGCCCACCACCAGCGTTCCGGGGACATGCGTGAGGCGGCTCCCACGAGATGGTTCTCTTTACGCTTCGCTGCGTATGGCCCGCCTCCCTCATTCCTCCGCTATGACCCAGGGGCTGTTTTCCCTGACTAAGATTCAAAATTCAATTTATTAGTAGGGGCTAGACTCACTTCGAGTGGTCAATTCTCTCCCAGCGTCTCGTGCTAGGCAACGTCGAGTGTTCACGATTGGTTCCTTATATCTCGCTTTGAGACTTGTATATTTTACCAGAGAACAATGATCGATGCAGTAACTGAAACATCATGAGAATGCAAATAAAGAGGCTATCGGGGAGACTATACAAGCCCTGTAACAAAGAACTCGAAATCTGAGGCCTGGTGGTACACTGATATACATAAGCTAGCTACTGTGCAATAAACGACCAATTGGGGATGGCCGAGAAGTCGCAAACATCCGAGTCCTAGTATGCGCTGCTTTTTATGAAACAGCCTAGTTTCTACTGCATTGGCATTGTTTTTTTTTTTTTGGCTGAGCACATCCAAAGTCTCTTGTCTATTACATCGAAGGGTGGTCAATCACAAAGAAAGAAAAATGATGCAAGTTTCATGAGAATATTGTATTAAATAATAATCTCCTTCTTTAAAAGTCCCAAAGCCAATTTGTTATTCCCTACACTCAGCAGTGATATCACCTGATTGATTCTGCTAATGCTGCGAATATCCTCAGCACTGCTCCTGTCACTATGCAACGCTGCCGCCCGGGATGCTTGTTCATAGTAGTCCATGGCCACAGAGGCGATTCCAAGAAGATGGAATAATCTCCCAATGTTATAGAAAACTTCGGCTTGGTGTTGGCCGTTTGCTTGTCGTCGCTGTGCGTCAACATATTGATCTATAAATGCCTGCCCCTGCAAAATTAGATATTGCCTATTTGCTGACTGTCGCTTGAGGCCGTAGTGGACATATGCCAGGCCAAGGCTCAGGTTCACCATGAGATTCTCTGGGTCAAGAGCCCGCGCTCGTAGGAAATAGCCTATTTCATTCACGATGGTCAGAATTCTCAGTAGAAGCACAGGTGAGGGAGCGAGCGATGAGATGCACCACATACCCAAAGCAAATGTATAACTAGTTGATGTGAAAAGAATATGGCCATAAAGCATCAACAAACAGACATCCAAGTTGACGTCTACCGGAACTGCGACGTTGGCACTTTCGTTTCCATTCTGGGCCCCAGTGCCACCCAAGTGTGCAGAATCGATAGCTTTAATCTGTCTCAAAATAAATTTCTGTGCTGGGCCAGAAGTGTACCAAGAAATGGGCGATTGGCAGAGTGTTGACAATAGTGCAAACATTCGATGAGAATCCGATATTGCCCCGTCCTTCATCAGGTGTCGAGCTATGCTGATACATTTCTCTTCATCACTTGTGTATATTGCGCATACTGTAATTCTTAGTTAGTAAGAGATTTCATTCATGTCATTATCCATGTTGTAATTACCGCTCCATGCAACGTATATTGCAAAGTTGTGGTTAGGCGATTGGAATACAGTTGAATCTTTTGCAGCCTCGCATACTGAATATGACTCTTCTCGTCGATGTGCCGCAGCCAATCCCACAGCATAATCAAGAAATAAATTCAACCACTCATCAAAGGATATGCCTTGGTGACCATTATTCTCGAAATTGGGCAGCGTATCTTTAGTTGATAGATCAGGCTGAGGAGCAAGAGCTGCGTTGCATATTTTGTTAGAAACCCTACTTTACGTATCCTGGCTGATCATCGTGGGGGCTGTCTTACTTCGTGTTAGTCTTTCATACATCTGGCTCAGCTCAGAGCTAGGCTGGTAGCGCGACAAAGGCTGGGGGCTCTTTGAGCTGCTCAGGAAGTTCAGGTATTTGTCCCACGAGTAGAATTTCTTCAGTGATCGGAAGTCATCGATCAATTCGCGAGAAGATCGCATCCAGGAGTCGACCAGATCATCCCGCCCAGATCTGATCTGATTTTTCAGTTCACATACTGCCGAATACTGACGTGAGAGTCTGATAGCATGAGCTTGTTCTTCTTGACGCCGCTTGTCAGGGTTGGCAAGCCTCTTTGGTCGGTACCTCCGAGGTATGACTGGCCGTTTAGTGGCCCTGCCGGATAAGCCTCCTACCTTCTGTCTCCGGACACGTGAGCCTGCACCGTCCTGTGATCGGCGTCGATGTGATGCCAGTTCACTTTGACGTGTACCTGTTAATGGCTGATCGTGGGCTTCTTGGAGGGCCATAGCCTCGGCTGCCAGGATGAGGGCCTCTTCATCTTCTTTGGCTTTCTCATACATATTTGCAAGCTCAATGCGAGCATCGATGCTCTCTTCATCCACCTCAATAGCTGTAAGGAAGCACTCTTCGGCAGCAGCGTTTCCGCCAGTGGCTAGATAACACCGCCCAAGTTCCAGTAGAACTGTCGCATCAGGCTCTCCGGACACTTCTCGAAGAACTTCCAAAAATTTGGCGGCCAAGCTGAAATGCGCATGGCGGTAAAGCTCGGAGGCCACGTCGAATGCAAGAAAAGGGAAGTCACCAACAAAATCCCGAGTATGGTGTTCAGTTGGATCCAGCCAGTTTAGGTGCTCCTATGACATAGTTAGGTTATTGGTTTTGGGGGACGTAGAATGGTTTCCGTTCGTTAGGGCTTGCCGGGGACAAACGTACAAATGCTTCAGAATCCTGCCCGATGCCCAGACGATAGATAGCCAAACGAGCTCGGAGGTCTCGGGGCAGACTGACACCGTAGAGCATGTGATTTCCTGGGCTGGAGGTGAATTCTGGAACACCAAGTCGCCTATCATTTCCTTCATCCCATTCGCGGTCATCGCCTTGCCACTGATCCCAGTATGATTCTGATGATCGACCAACGGCCCATCGTGCAAGGGACTTTAGCTCAGAAATAGCTTCATCGTAGCGACCAACAGAAGCAAAAAGTTCGACATATATCCCAATATCATGCCATGGGGGCTCATCAGCTTGTGTCAATACTGATCCGATTTCGAGATCAAAATAGCGTCTATAAGAAGCAATAGCAGCCGAGACAGACGATTCTATGTGCTTATTGTCAAGGCAAGCCTCTGCAAGCTTTCTTACCAAGTCTAAGTCGTGAGGGCGGTGTTTGAGAACAGCTTTATAATCCATTATAGCTGCTCCCAGATGGCCCTGCCGATGACACACCGTGGCTTTACCAATCCGAGCATCCAAGTTAGATGAGTCGGCCCTCAAGGCAGCAGAGTAGCAAAGGCGCGCTGTGTGCAAGTTTCCCTCGACGTCTTCTTCAATGTTGTCTAGTGCAAAAGATGCGCACCTTAGCCAGCCTGGAACGTCCTTGGGACGGAGATGGGCAGCGTACACCATAGCGGACAAGGATTTGGTGATCTCGCCAATCTCCGCGAAGATGGAAGCGAGAGATGTCCACGCTTGGTGCGTCTCAGCATTGATCCTGATAACTTCAGAGGCGAGCGTGAGAGCTGTCGCATAGTCTCCAGCGAGAAAGGCCTGGTTCACTTTGGCCAGCCGGGCTGTGATATCTCCTCTAGGTTTAGCTGCTTTCCTAGGTCCGCGAGCACCACGACCTCTAGGTGCCCCTCGCGTGGAGGGTTGAGCTGATGGGACAGCGGCTGGCTCTGTGCCGCCATTATGTGTGGCGAGAAACTGTCGGACTGACTCATCAAATCTGGCGATGTCTCCCTCAAGCTCTTCAAGGTCAGAGTCGGCATCTGACGCACTGGCCGAGGTTTCCCTGTGACTTAGTTTAGCATATTCAACGAATCTGGTGCGGGTGGTATTAAAACTCACTCCTCCCCAAGGTGCTCGTCGCGCCATGACTGAGACCTAGCATTAGCCATTCGATACTGATTTTGCGCCTACGCAATCCGAGAGATCTCGAAACCAGGCAAACGTCAGAGCTATTGATTCTTCTTCAATACTAGAATAAACTCATCGACTATCTCATATATTCTAAAGACAGGGTCGGAAGATGATGGCTTGGAATGATCTAGGTTCTAAGTTTAGCCCGGTTGACTTTGCGATGACGGATGTCGCTCTGATTGAAGTCATCCCTACCCTATACCTACAGATTTACCCAGGCCATCTAATTCAGAACACAATCCCCAAGTAGCCCATTCAGGGTGGAATTTACGATTGTCATGCCTATTAGAGTACTTGCGCAATATATCACTTGGTCCACGAGAATCCATAGTCGAAGTAGGATGGCGACTATTTGCACATTGTATTTAAATGCTCCAGTAACGAAATTACTTTGAGACGATGGTAGAAACCAGGGTAACCCCTGGTTTCAATTATATGACAAGAGACATAGCACAATAGAAAAGAAAAGTAAACGCGATTTCCAGCAGACAACAGTTAGGATACACTTGCAGGCGCACGGGTTGAGTTGTGGCCGATACTCCTTATGCCAATTTTCCGTCAGCCTTTGCTTCTGGAATGGTGTTAGCGAAACCATGTTTTTGATGCCATGACTGTCGGGTTGCTACATACCTTTGACCTGCTCAAACACCTTGAGCATCTTACGTCGAGCGCCAAGGGCGTTGACACCGCGTTGCTCCAGGGCTTTATCATCGAGTTCGACAAGCTCCGTCCATTTCATGTCCTTCAGATTATCCGTGTACTTGTGAAGTCGCAGACTTCGGAGCCAGCTTGGGATGTCTTGCAAAAGAGAGGGATCAGTTGGATCCTCAGGCGGCTTCGAGCTTCCCCTCCTTCCACGAGGCGATCGTCCGCGGCCCATATCAGAATGATCGGACAAGTAGCCCTCATGACCGACACCCAAGGGTGACAATACACCAGCAGGGAAACCGCCCGTCATTAGTCCAGGAGACCCTTCATAGGCACTGAGAAATCCATTGTGCTGAGGAGAGGTAAAGGCGGCTGGGACTGGACTCAGCGTGGCAGCCTGCATCGCGAGGCCTGGGGAGTTAGGGCGCGACCTCTGTCCAGTAAGTCCCATATTCTGCTGGGCTTGAATAGCAAGAATCTGGTCACGATTGAGCACTTGGCCATGTTCGTTAATCATGACCACATTAGTGCCGGGCAAATTAATACCCTGAGCAGATGGCAAGCCAGGAGAAAGGGGGGGTTGGTTAGAACCCTTAGCATCGTTGGACCTTGCGCGGCGGTATTTGCGAACATCATCCAGAGCAAAGCGGTTGTTGACCGTGGAAAGAGCGGCCAGTTTCATGGCAGTTGCATTAGCAACCATGTCAGCTTGAGTGCCACCTTGATTATTGCCAGAAGTGAAGGTTGCGGTCATTGGGGTGTTCACCATGGACGCCCAGTTCCCACCATGGCCGTAAGGAGATAAGACGGGCAGTTCGGATTGACTCTTGTCGACGCCCGCAAGAGGGTTCTTTTGAGGCGCGGCGCTGTTTGGTACCTGAGACCGTGGGGACCTCAAACCTGCAGAAGGAGGTGGCTGCACGAATTGACCCATAGGTGTCTGGGATGTGGCAGGTTTGGCGGCAGTCTGATCGTTGGAGGTGTTGCCAACCCATGCCAAGCCCGATGTTCCTTGCGTTGCACCCTCCCTTGCCTCCTGAGGCGGAGGAAGACCGGGTGTTGCCATGGCCGAGGTCCTGGAATCGATCGCAGCACTGTTGCGGTTAGAAGCCGGCATATTTCCAGTTTGTTGGGTGAATTTGGCCTTTTCAGTGGCAATTGCAGCAGCAGCATCTGGAAACATGGCATTGATCGTAGATGGGTCGAGGCCGGAGTGACGCTTGGTGGTGCTAATGGTCGAGTTGCGAGCATACGAGTTACGAGTCGAGTCCACATTGAGCTTACTCATAGCATCGCTGAGCCGATTCGACATTGGGTCTAGGGTGACAGGTATGTTAGTCGTGAAATTAAGCAAACGCTTCGTCAATTGGAATTGTACCCTTATCAAAATTGGCTGGAGACAAGACACCAGACATGGGATGATTCTTACCCATCTGCTGCAACACCTGGATGAAGAAGCGGATTTGAACTTGGGTAGTCTGTTGAAGCAGAGCATACAGGGCAGCAGTACGCTCGGCTTCGCTCAGAACCCGAAACCATTGTTCGATGGCACTCAGCTCATCCTTGAAATCCTGATCGAGAGTAGCTGCGGCCATTTCCTCGAGAGTGGTTTCATATTGGTCGATATCGGCAATCCACTGCTGGGCAATCTTGTCCTGGGGGTCAGAGTCCGAGTTGCCCTGCCCCTGAGCCTGTTGGCTTTGTCCATAAAAATCGGAAGATGGGCGGATTCGGTTGGCCGAGGTAGGACCAGCGAGGGCTGCCATATCCGCCGAGGCGCGCAAAGAATGTCCAGATCCAACAGCTCTGGAAGAAGGAGGACGCAACGAGGACGTTGTGTTTGCCTCTGGAGTGCTGTTGCGATTCCCGATGTTGTGGTTTCCGGACATGTTGAGCATTATCGAGCTGAGGGTATTAATATAGAGAGAGGGGCCCTTTCCAGTTGAAATAAAAATGGCGAATGGATGCGAATTGTTCAGAATCTACCCGTCAAAAAGGGCGACAACGAGAATTGGCTATGTGATGAAATCGAGGGTATTGTCTATCTCCTGCAGTGACCGGCTGACCTCAAAGGAGTTTCGACAAGTGTGAGAAGAGTGAATTATTTCATCGTCTATTTTCGAAATGCGGAGATGGGGAAGGCAACGCTGGGAGGAGCTGCAGGCTGGTTAGCCTACATCGTGTCAAGAGGATGGACATCCTAACAAGAGAATGGGCAAAAGTTACGATAGGGGCATCAGGGTGTACTGACCGAGGGGATTAAAAATGTAGAGGCTCAAGGTCGCGACGAGAAGACGTCTGCGTCCAGGCAGTCAGTTGACAGTTATCGTCACAAGCTCGACTGGGAACAAGGAGAAATGTGAAAACGAGGAAGAGAGACCTCCGGGGGTATGGAGTTAAGTCGAGGACCCAGCAAGGACAGGTGGTAAAGCGTTGTGGCCCGAAAACTGAGCTGACTTGGAATCTAGCCTGGATAAGGTGAGGAGACCCGAGGTACGTACACTCTTAGGTAAGCGAGACTTATTTATGGAGATATTAGTAGAATCGTGAATCCTTCCTTGAGGACGCTTCCCTTTTGAGCCAATAATTGATATAAATAACTCGGACCTGATGCAGGTTAACTAGAGCATATAGAGTATGCGGAACCATAGCTATCACACAGTGCACTTTATTGGATGGGATTCTGCCCGAATTGTCCAACATGAACATTCGCTTTATTGATGACAACATTCAAAGGGGGATCAAAGTTGATGAGATTGCCTCGAATCGATAGCAAAAGCAGAGGTTCGAAAGGGATTCACATAACACGAGAGGATCCTGCCTCATAAATAGCACTTCAATATGGGTTCATTTTTTGTATTCCTGGCTCCAGCCCAACGTCACGGATTTGTGTCGTGCGAGGTTTCTCTATGTAGCCTGCGAAGGATTGACCGTCAATCCTCACCCTAAGAGCATTTTCTTGTCGCTTCCTTTCAATCTATGCTTTCAAACATTTTCGCGCTTGCCTTCCTTGGCCTCCTTCTACACAGGTTGTTAGTCAAGTTCGATCCGCGATTCTGTCGAGAATGGTGGCATACCAAGGCCTTGGCGTTGCCGTGAAGAGCATGTCGGTGGTTGCGACGGAACTTGGGGTCAACACCCTTGAGCGAAGGGTATCTCGAGGTCTTGGGCTTCGTGATACTGGGGCAGGCTGTCAGTATTGTATTGGGCAAAATTCGGGGAATTGAATGGGTGCTGACCCATTACGGTGAGCCTTGCGCTGCTGGTTGTGCTGCGAGCTGTTCTTTGACTCTGATCACGAATTCATTAGTTTCCGAGACACATAAATTCGGTTCACAACTACTCACTGGCCATGGTGTCGGTTGGATGTTGTCTGAGATACTCAAGAATCCAAGTTGGTAACTGATGAGAACGAAATCGTGTGTGGGAATTTTCCACAGCTAGCCCTAGCATGGCTGGATTGAGTAAACCTAAGACCGGCCCACAAAGCCCAGGAGAAAGCTGACATAATCTGTGGCTGCACATGACGAACCTGTGTGGCGCTGCCCGTCCCAATTTTCTCTACCTACCTACCTAATCCTCAATACCCACCTAGGAAGAGCGAAACGAGAGCAGGCCGCCTCGTCTGCAGGTGATTTAATGATAAGTCATACTCTCTTGAGGTGTGATCAAGGATGATTTTTCAACGTTGAGGGATACAGGTAGTGCATTTATGGTGTGCAAATAACAGGTTTGAATATATATTGATGCCATGGCTGGTTTGAAATACTAAAATCAACTCTATCCCTCCCTGAGCCATCTTGTACCAACTGAAAGAAACAACCGGCTGCGCCATCATGTCGTCGTTGTCGTTATAGCAGCCTCGGCTTTGGAGGCTAGGTCAAGCCCAGAGTCTCCGATGCTTGTTGACGCTCGTTGAGCGGCACTTTTCAGCTGTTGGAGGCGGAGCGATTTTAAATATCGGAAGAGGAGAATAAAAAGTAGTTCCACTCTATGAGTATATTAGCAGGCAATCCTTACCTAGCAAGGGTTCTCGCTGTCAAGGGTAAGGTAAACTCTGTCTCTCACCTCTCCTTTGTCATCATCAGGATTCCTTGGACCAGAAGCCCTTTCAAAATTTGAGGACCAATTCCCTTGAAGAGACTCAGGGGGCCCTCGTTGTCGATAATGAATTTCATCACTTCACCGAAGCTCTTGAAGGGTTTCCCATTTCTGGCGGGGGGAGGCTTGGATTGGAGACCGACTTTGGCAACGATCAATGGTTGAGTAGCAATGGTAGCCAGAGCTTTGGAAAGGCCACCCAGCACTAGTGTATGCAAGTTAGCTGAAGAGCTTGTTGATTGTTGCTAGGACGCTGTACTCACCAAAAGCCTCCCAAGGCCGTAAGTTGGTCTTGCCCGGAAAGAAAACAACTTTCAAGCGTTCATAGGCACCATAGGTGATTGCAGGATTGACAACGAGAACAAGGCTGGCTTTCAGACCCCTCCACAACCCAGAGACTCCGTCTGGCCCTTCGACTACCTCACGGGCCGTTGCGATAAGCCCGCGGCGCTCTCCCTTAGCGGCGGTCTGCTGTCGGGTTGTCACGACAGCAACAGGGATGGTAAACAACTGGGCAATAGCACCAGCGGCTGCGCCTAGAGATAGCTCGATAGCGGTAGAGGGAGGGGCGGCCGACTTCGCAGACCGGTTGTAGAGAGCTCGGATGATGCTGTACCAGTAAAAGTATGCAAAATTGGTTGACGCGACGCCTAGGAGAGAGCCGCTCATCCCGGCATATAGGCCCTCAATCCCTTCATCGGACACAATACTGGACAGGGCGTGCCAGGTCGAGTCGTACACGGGGGCGTCGGCAGGGTCGATGGATTTCTCATTTGACCGAACCTGGACCTGTAATTTTGTTTTCACGCTGTGGCCGCAGGTCTGAATGTCAGCGTCTGCTTTGATGGGAAACGTCTAGAGCTCAACGCAGTGAATTTGGCGATTGACAAAGGTGTTGGAGTGGTCACTCACATGTCGAGCGGGTAGACGAGAGCGTTAGCAAGCACAGCGCCCGTAGCGCCCGCGACAGCTTTGCCCCAGGGCGAAATCTCCTTTGATTGACCAGCCATGGTGCAATGTGCGCGGTTATGAAGACTCGGACGCAGTGGAGGACAGCTAGCGAGAAACGGAACGTCTGAGAGGGAGTTGGGAGGACGGCGCAAAGCGTACAGGCTCTATGCAGGTAGGCAGAGTCTGTCTGTCGACAGGAATGGGCGTGTCAGTACTTCAACAAGCCATTGAGATCAATTTTGGTGAGGGGGGGTGGCTGGAGGGCTCATACCGCGTTTCGTGATGTTGAGACGCAAGGAGGCTAGCTCTTGGGCGACATGATGATAGTCCTCAAGGGTGACCAAGTCTGGGCCATGGGTGGATGATATCAACGGCTTGTGGCTGCAGGTGGGTGTTCATGGTCCAGATCGATCATCCATGTATGTACCGTCACGAGTGACGAACCTCGGGTCTTGCATGGGCACAAGGGCCGACTGTCGGCAAAAGATCCCCACAGGACGACGGGAAGATGGGGCAGAAGCCTCGGCTACAGTCTACTGTGTACATGGCATGGCCATTATCAACTGGCCTGACAACCAGGATCTATTAATACCCAAGCAACTTAGTTTGCTAGATGTGCCTGCGCAGTCTTAGTTGCATCGGATCTTGATCATACTGTACACCAGCACCCGGCCACGATTGATTGGAGCATCGGCAAGACAGGACCCCGGCTGAAGGGCTCCGGCACCTGGCACACCACACCTGCATTACATATGAAGTCCCTAGGCATGGATTGACCGGATGTATTACCGCGACGTTGCCGTGTTATTGGTTCTCAATGATGAAAGCACACATAGATGATACCTACCTTAAGCCCCTGGGAATGACTAGTGGCCAGTGGGGCCTCGGGTCTCGTAGTATCATGATCCTTCTTTCATGGTGCACCACGCCGGGCTGATTCTGGATTTTACATGCTCACAGCCCCAGACACCTGAATTACTGTCATTCTAAACTTAGAGAGACAGCTCATTCGGCGGAGTCTGTCGAACTACTTATCCTGGGTTTGACGTGTCAAGTTCGTCCACCTGCATGTTGACCTCCTTGCCTGCAGGTCACTACCGCTGCAATTAGGTAAGGTAATTGACTCCTCGCACTTAGTAGCCTTGCTTTGTGCTGGCTATCATTAGGTAAGCACCTTGCTAATATGTGTGCGTCAGGCACCTCCTGACGCTTCTGCCTACCCTGCAGGCAGCATACCTGTACTCCACCTTTTGGCTCCAGCCCATTACGTGAACTGGAACCAACCCAATCACAAAATGAATGACTGATCAATTGGTCGTTCCTGTGATATCATATTAGTATGGATTAATTGCCAAGCCAAACTCATCCCTCACTTACAGCTAGGGCCCTATTGCTATTGGTGGGAAAAGGGCGCTCAGCAGGCAGACCAGACATACCCGCTCTGCATGGTCGTCGTTTTCCACCACATGTTGGGGCTGGATCTTGGTTATTTGTGCTGCGCCAACGCCCACCTCCTCGTCATCTCGTCTAGGCCCTGTTGACGACAGAAGATGTTGTAGTAAATGATGGAAAGGCAAGCTCGGGTCAGATTGCCCCTTGTTCTTCAGCAACTAGTCGGCTCTCGGCTAGCTGTTGAAGAAACCTCTCTCATGTCTCGCTTCACGCTCGCCTTATGAGGCTAACCATATGCTATAGGATGCTGAGGCTTTAGTAGCCGTTTCAACCGGGCAAGATGCACTCAAGCATGCTATTCGTGCCGCCGATCTCTTCATGGCCGCCGCATCCCAGGCTGTGACAAAAGCTGACGCAAATCGTCTTCGCCGTAAATGTGGCGAACTGATTGACCGTGCAGAACAACTTAAAAAAATCCTCGTGTCCACTTTGTCCGCCGAAGAGAAAATTCTTCGCCATGCTTCATCTCTTCACGGGAATGTCTTCCCGCAATGGAAAGCGGAGCCTTCCGATGAAGAGTTCGAATTCCCTTCCAACGGGGAGAACTATGTGTATGTCGGTTTCTTGCTCAGGTGCTCACTCGGTGCTGTGCCAGGTAGTGAGCCATGTTGTCACTAGATATTGCGTTACCTACATTTGCAACAGACTCCGGGGCTAACCAACGGTGCGACTTTCCCGCAGTGATGATACTCCTTTCACTTTGTCACCAGCACAGGCTACAACCTTTGCTGGTTGGAGGCGACCAATGGATGTGCTTGCTCCTGAACTAGTCCATCTCCATGAAGAACCTCGCGAGTCCTTAGATACGCTCTTCATGAATTCAAATAAAAATCCCGATTTGGTTCAAGATATGACGACCGATTGCAGTGTCGTGGCAGGCCTATCCGCTGCAATCAAGATCTTGACAGGGAAGCATTCGGTAGGCCATTTGATATCTGCCTGTGGGCGAAATAGATCATTTATCTAATGTGCCAAGGTTCTTTCCTCTATCATTTACCCCTTTGACTACTCTCAGGGCCGGCCACATTTCTCGCCCAAGGGTAAATATATCTTGCGCCTGAATTTCAACGGCTGTGCTCGCCGGGTCGTAATAGATGATCGATTACCTGCCTCACAGGATGAGGGGAAATTCTTCGTCGTGGACCGCTCGAACCCCCGTCTCCTATGGCCCGCACTATTGGAAAAGGCATACCTGAAGGTCAGAGGTGGGTATGATTTTCCTGGGAGCAACTCAGGAACTGATTTGTGGGTACTTACTGGATGGATCCCCGAGCAGGTGTTTTTGCAAAAGTAATTGGAGCCCCCTTGCTTAATCCGCGAATATTGAATTGAGTGTTGACAATAGGTGATGTAGAGAGGACATGGATATCAACCAAGTGTGGGCGAGAATCAAAGCAGCCCATGACTCCCAGGATGTGGTTATTACTATAGGCACCGGATTTATCTCTGCTGAAGAAGAGAACGCCTCCGGTTTGGTTGGCGAACATGATTACGCCGTTCAAAGTCTTGACGATTCTGACGGCGAGCGCAGACTCTTGGTCAAGAACCCCTGGTGTGGAGGGCCAACTTGGACTCCGGCCTCGTTCTCCGCTTGTAGTCACTCGTCTCGAGAGACTGGTCAAGACCATGCCACGAATCAGGAAAGTGAAGCAGATGATGGGTTGGAAGATGCCCCGGGTTGTCTCTGGGCCACACTGGAGGATGTGGCCCAGAACTTCGAGTCAATGTACCTTAACTGGAACCCAAAACTCTTCCAGCATCGACAAGACCATCATTTCGAATGGGAGATCTCTCCCGGATGTTTTGTCTCATCAGTGGTACGAAATCCTCAATTTGCAATCGTCTCCCCAACTGGAGGCCTTGTTTGGATTCTCGTCAGTCGTCACTTTGTGGATGGCGAGCTTGAGATCGTTCGGAGAAGGACCACAAATTTGGCTGCAGCTTCCCGCCAGCTTGGGTTCATGAGTATCATTGTTTTTGATTCAAACGGGAAACGAGTGCAGATTGCCGACGGCGAGACGTATCGGGGCCCTTATGTTGATTCGCCACAAACACTTGCCCGCCTTGAGATGACTGCAGGCAAGTGGTACACCATTGTGGTGGACCAGCATGAGTTTCCCCTCAGTAAATATACCTTCACCCTGTCAACGTTCTCCCATAGCTTGGTCAAGCTGCAGAAAGCTTCAGAGGCCATGGCTTATTGCCAAGAGTTTGAGGGGGCTTGGAAAAGAAGAACTGCAGGGGGGAATGTAACGTGCGCCACGTATTTTACGAACCCCCAATACAGGGTTTCGATACCCAAGTCAACGCCCCTATCCATCCTTTTATCAACGGACAGCTCTGATACCCACGTTCACGTGGACTTAGTATGGGGTCACGGGAAGCGCGTGAGCAGCGTTAAGGTCAAGGAGCTGGTGGCATCTACTGGAGAATATCGCCGTGGAAGTGCTGTGGCGGACATCGCTCACATTGACCCAGGGGTATATACGCTCGTATGCTCAACGTTTGACGCGGGGCATGTTGCCAAGTTTGCTCTTCGAGTGTCCTCCATGGTTCCAGTTACACTTGAGCCTATCCCTGCGGAGGCCGCTGGGAGACTTCGTGCTCCCTTGAGCCCGTTGACACTTTCACAGGGAACCCAAAGGATGCAGGCGCCACTCTCGGTTCAATGGCTGACAAGAGCGAGTGTCATGGTTAGCACGAACTCTCGGTACTCTTCAACACTGCTACTTCGACTGAGCATTGTCGTCGGGCGGGGCCAGGATCGGTTTACTGAGGCAGTTTCTGGTGAGGGCGAGTTTCAGGCTGCGTCTGCTGGCCTGCGTACCCCAGAGTTCGATATGGAGCCACAAAGATCTGATTCTGTAGGCATGTGGCTCTTGATCGAGGGTATGGGGATGGGAGGCGAAGAGCATCTCGTACAGGCTTACATTTTCAGCGACTCGCCTGTACAAGTTGGGTCGTGGGAGACAATTGATGAAATATGGCATTAGAGTAACGGGCGGACTTATCGTCTTCATTGCTCCTCGGCCCTCCTTGATTGGTGTTGCTGTAAGTTGCCAAACCCTACATGCTGTTCATAAAATGCTTAGAGTATCCAAACAATCCATTTACGCGAATTCGACCATGCACCGTGAAAAAGAAAACGCCCAAACATGAATTTTTTTGGCCGAGGTCCTAACTCCTAAACTCATTCGCTGATTGAACGCCTTACCTTATAACTAAATTGAACGAATAAAAGATCCTAGCAAAGATGGAAAGAGCCGCTATGAACATCAATGCATCACACAAATAGGGCGGCCTATCGCCAGTTCCCGAAGGGGCAATTTTGATTGCGTAACTTTTTCCCAGTGGTCTTGTACGATCTTATAATGGCAACCCACGTCTTCGTCGCCCTCGGTTGGGGCCATCGGCGCGTTGGGCAAGTACATTTCGCAACTGTGGATCATCCTTATTCTTGTCACTGTGATGTACACGGACGTGCCTGTAGTGGTGAGGGTTAGAATGTGAAATGCGAGATTTTGATACAGGGGTCTTGATCTTTGCGATGGGCGACATGGCTGGGGGAGCAAAGTCATCACACGTACCTCTGAAGATTATCCGGCCGTGGATATCTGTGATCACGGTCTGGACAAAAGGGACAGACGTATCCGGGGGAATCGTGAACGAGGCCATGCCTAATCATTTCGTTCTTTCGCTTGAAACCTTTCCCTCCCTCGCTTCGAGGACATCCTCGAACCGGGCAGTAGTGTGGGCGAGCCGAAGAATGAACATTGGCGTGAGAATTTAAAAGATATTGCGTTTGGAATGGAGGCGCTTTACAACCAGCGAACGTGCAGATATAAGTAGCTGTCGGAGCAATGGTCTCCTCAGAGGGAGGTGGGTGATTTGGAATTGAAGAGGGCGAGAGAGGGATAGGGATAGAAATAGTAGAGGTACGTTTTCGAAATTTGAGTTCCTCAATAGCCTCCTGCTCAGTAAGTTGTTTCGGAATATGCGTTGTCACAGGAGCTAAGTATGAACCCGTAACAAGGAGAGCCTGTGGGGATGCTTGGTAACTATCAGGGGGGGAAATTGGTGCCTTGCTGTGGTTACTAGCTGATCCGGGAACTTGATGGGGATGTAGCGATGTCATAAAGCCTGGGCTTGAGGCCGATCCGGGTCCATTTTGCGGGTTTGGGGTGGTTAGGTATTGGTTAATGTCACCAAATGTCGTTCTGAGTGATGGAATGGTTGGCTTGTTATTAGGATCGGAGGTCTTCCTCGGAGAAAACGGCGGCAACCCGGCGCTGTCAGGAGTTAAAGCCGGGGGAGAGGAAAGATTGTCAATTTTAATGCGCTCTTTCCGAAACGTGGAGAAGCCGTTAGGAGCAAAATTGGCCGGGGGAGAGGACGTGGAGAAGCCGTTAGGAGCAAAACTGGCTGGAGGAGAGGAAAGATTATCAATCTTGGCGTGCTCTTTCCGAAACGTGGAGAAGCTGTTATGAGTAGAATTGGCCGGAGAGGACGTGGAGAAGACGTTAGGAGCAAAACTGGCTGGGGAAGAGGAAAGATTGTCGATCTTGATGTGCTCTTTCCGAAACGTGGAGAAGCCGTTAGGAGCAGAAGTGGCTGGAGGAGAGGAAAGATTGTTGATCTTGACGTGCTCTTTCCGAAACGTGGAGAAGCCGTTTGGAGCAGAATTGGCCGGGGGAGAGAACGTAGAGAAGCCGTTAGGAGCAAAACTGGCCGGGGGAGAGGAAAGATTGCCAATCTTGACGTGCTCTTTCCGAAGCGTGTAGAAGCTTTTAGGAGCAGAAATGGCCGGATCGCCCTCTTTATCGTGGATCGATAGAAAAAACGTCGATGTCGATATGTCCTTGGTAAGGGGTGATTCAAGCTTTACCCGGGGTTCTATCACAACACATTTTAATGCGTTTGCAGCGAGGTGCTCGAGGCTTCTGGGATTTGTGGGTGGCTGCTCTTTGGGTTTTGAATAACCGTTAGGTGGGGTCTGTTGTGTTGGTTGTCGTCGATATAAAGGCTCCCTGTCACATTCATTACTTGCCGGACGTATCAGTGGCAGGGGTGCCACAGCCGCATTCTGAGTGATGGCAGCATTACGATTGTTGTCCAAATGCTGGATGAGAAAGGCATCCCCGGGGTGTATCTGACCCTTGGGCGTGTCATAGAGGTCGTCGTCGTCCGTGGCAAAGCAGGGTGGTGGAAAAGAGTTTTGGGGTGGTGGACTCCGTGGCAATGATCCTCGCAGTTCTGACTTCTTCATCAGAGGGCTATTCGGGGTAGATTCGCTTAAAATAGGGTCTTCGGGCCAGTTGACGTGCGGTTGGGTAGCCGCCGCCTCGGTCATTATTGTCAGATGACGCCGCAGTCGCTCAAAGTGCCATGGCCCAGACGGGCAGGCTTGGGGATCTCTAAGGAAGCCACGGCGCTCAGGTTGGTCGTGTCCAGGTTCGAGTCGCGACCGCCCCAGAACCGGGCGCCTCAAACGCGAGAGAAAGCAAGGAAGAGGGCGAGACAATTCCGAGTACCCTCTTGTAGCTGCTCGAAGGGAACCTGCCGGCCAGTAATCCAGTGCTCGTCAAATCGCAGAGTCAGTCAATTTGTTGGGATCAGCACACCGCCCACCCCGCAGGACCCCGCGGGTCCTAGGATTGAGTGAGACTTGAAGCACTCGAAATCGACCCAAGGTCGCACTGCGTTGTTCCGGTTTCGAATCGCGTGGGCGGATGCATTTGGCAAGCAAATGCTATGCCTCCAAAGAAGATGCGCCGCGCCCGCGATTGTTGGTAGAGGATGGGACTAATAAGCGATCCGCGTCCAGAGCTACTCAGTAAGTAGTGGCAGGCTGCATCGCGTAGGGGTCGGTTACGTTTGGGTGCATGACATAGCCTCACTGAGGATGACGCTGTAAGCCGCTGTCGCCGAAAAGGGAAGGGTGGAAATAGAGGGGACTGGGCCGGAGATGGAGGTGGGCAAAAGGCACAACAGGCCCCGGCGGAGATGGGTGCTTGGGCGGCGACGTCGTCCAGAAAGCTCGGAATGGCGCATGCAACTGTGAGCGAGGGCTGTTTGGGAGTGGTTGAGAGGGAGGGAACTTGAAAGTTGCGGGATGCGGGCGGCTAAAACCTTAACGGCAGTACCTCGAGTAGGCAGGCCGCGCTAGTGGTGTTGAGAAGATGGAGAAGGCGTCTTGATAGGTACTTGGAGAGCTACCAGCGCGACGAGTTCCGACCATGGGCTGACAGGTACCTCGCTAGCTGAGGGGCGGGCTGATCCACTAGATCTGGCAGTACAATGACGCGCGACGGATAGTAGATAGAGACTTGGTCCCGATAGACGGGGAAGTACAGTGCCAAGTTCCCCCACGGTTGCGCCAGGTACTCTGTACCGCCTCTCCACTAGAGCGCGTGCTGTGGCCGCTGTTCATTGGCCAGCGCCTTCCACTACTTGGCAGGTTCCCTCGCTACTCGCACACAATTGAGGCATGCTTGCTTGCTTACTTGCCTATGCTGCTAGTACAGGCCATGCAATGTAATGGGTCCGTGTATGGCTGCCTCCGGACCGTTACGAGGCCCTTCACACATATCCTCCATCTGAGCGTGCCGGGTGTGGTATCAGTATGCGGCGGTGGCTGTGGATATCCCATTCACAAGCGTGATTTACCTAGCCCTGGGGAGCTGGCCGATTGCGGAGAGACGAGGAGCCTCCACTTGCTCGCCCAGCCCATATATGGTCAACCCAGGCGGCTTGCTCTGTGAAAACCGAATGGCAGCCTTTCCAGGCCCGCCCTGAACCAGGCTTCTCAAAGTTGCCGCATGCATGGGACGTTCACAAGGCAAGGGGAAGGCAGAGCAGAGCCGCCAACTGCTGTGGTAGGCCCCCGCTGGGCAGTGCATGTCGCCCTCTGCCGATGGGGCTGCTGCGGGGGTGGCAGTGGCAGTGGGACTCAATTGGGCATTGCTAGTGTGGTGGGGTGGCGCACGCGCCCTATTGGCAGGCCAAGCCAGGTCTCGGTTCCATCTACCATCCATGCCTCGCCCGCCTATTCTTGCTGATCCCAGAAAAAAGCCGGCACATGCATGTGCTGTGTTGAAGTTGAGGATTCGCCATTGGACAGAGATAATAACCAGTCAGAACATGTAAAATCAAATCCCCTACCTGTCATACTCCTCTGTTCAGTAAGGAAGTCGGTGGCACTAAAGAGGGCACGCCAAGACCATTGACCGAGGTTTCTCGCACAATCTCAAAAAAGAAAAGAAAAGAAAAGAAAAGAAAAGAAAAGAAAAAAAAAATACAGCACAAGAAAGACAATTCATAAATTAGTCAAAAGCAGAATTTATATATTTGATAATTATGGGAAAATACCATCCCATCGATCGACATATGTAAGCCGGATGCAGTGTTCCAAGCCGTCACTTCCCATATCACCCACCAGCCACGATGTGGGTTGGGCACTGAAAGGAGCCCTTCACAATCGCCCGTAGCCAGTTGGCAAGCCCACTGATATATGTTATTGAATCTCCCAAAATATCGCTTTTGAAAGAGAGCCTAGTTTAGACACAGTCGTTCATGTGTGGAGTGCAAAAGCGAAAGCCAAAACCCTGCCTTAACCATCACGGTCGATATCTAGGTGGGTAGTTGCAATCATCTTCTCCAATCCGGTTCAGCCGCTTGCTTCACACCTCGCGTGGAGCGCCCAACCCCGCGCGGAAGACCACCCAGGGAGATAATTCATTCCTTCTCAATGAAGGCTGCCATCTGTGACGGACTGTACTAAAGCTCAGCCCAGTGCTACCCAACACCGATTTGCACTGCCCATTGCTCGCCGACTCCCATCGTACTAATCGATGCGCGAATAGACCATATTTGGGATCCAAGTAGGGCATGTGAGAGAGATAAATGCCCAGATCTAGCACTGGGAGCATTGCTCATTCTCATGGCAAAAATAACCCTTATTAAGTACTTTGGGGTGAAAATCGTCCCTGAAGGTGCACGCAAAGTTCATGTGAGAGAAGCAACTGATCATAGGCTGGGAACCTGCTGGGCCATGTACCAAAATCCCTGTAGCCAAATCTGCAACCGAATCATCTGTTTGCTATCGAGGAAGCATGAAAGTTGAGGCTGATCCGTGGGAATCCAAGGCAAGAAAGGAATATCGGTACCGAGCCATGAGGCTACGTACGGCAGGGGAGCGGGTAATGTGGTAAGCGTAATGGGATTATCGCCGACATTGAGAACTTCCCCTATCATTGGGCCATTCAATGCCATCAAAAGTATTGATGTACATAACGGAGATGATCTTTCTTGCAAGCAGTTGGCTAAAAGTTAAAACTGATTCTCAGGACTGGCGCCGAGGATTATGGGCAATTTCGAGTTGCAGAATTGGGTTGCGAATTGATTAGTATTAGGCAAATCGGTAAGACTTTGGGACTTTAAGCCGGTGCCCCATAGGCCGTCTATTTTTTAGAGCCGCTCGATTTGTTCGAGAAGAAACAATGTCTTTTGGGGTGCCTGAAGGTACTGTCGAGAAGGGAATGCCATGAATAGGCCAACCCACAACTTTAGTTTCATGTAGGATAAAATCATACCGCTTTCCCATGCACGTAGATGCTACATCCTCTTTAACGAGAGAGGTCTAAAAGCGCTGTTTTGCCATACTATCGAGTCGAGGAGTCTGAAGTTGGTCCAAGGCTCCCAGTATGATATTGCAAGTATAGTTTTGGAGGGCCGACTGGAACTTGATGCATTAATTCTGGCGGGGCTTCACCAATCCTTCATGTAGTAGGTAATACACCACTGTTGAGTCATTGTGCACCGTCCCTAGTACGATGCGTTTCGCTCGTTCGCCAGCGTGTTCCACCGAGTCGAAAACGCTGGCAATTCGGGAAAGAGTCCACTTCTCTGCGGGATGAACAGCTAAAACCCATTCGAATTCTGGTTCCTGGTGCAGAAGGACTCCAGTAGAATGCTCGTGCTCTAAGGCCGCGATTTGATCGTCTGGGTGAATGTATAGGCGTCGTGGAGGGAGACCCTTGATCAAAGGGCGCTGTCCAGCCCCGTGATGAGTCTCGACGGAGGTCCAGTCATGTTGATCCTCGAGATTTTGCACCACAGTTTGAGTGATCTGAGAGACTGGATCTTCTCCCGATAGTTGAGCCATTGTAGACCCTGTGTAGTGATGAATTTGGTGGAACGGTTGCTCTGTGCAATTCTGTTCAAGTTGGGGCTGTCTGCGACGCAATTGAATTTTTTGCGCCGGAAGGGACATGCAGCGGATTCGCTGCCGGCCACTGTTGCCTGGCCCGACCCAGCAGTGAAAAGCCAAACACTGGTAGCCGCGTGTTAAGTGGCTGGGGCTCTTGGTACGTACAGGGCACTGACTTTGCTTGCGTACCTGGCTAAATGAGCCTCGCGTGAATACGAGCAAGTGTATTTCTTAGTTGTTATTGTTCAAGGATTACCCGAGGCCTCGGGAAACCCCCCAGCTTCTCAGGAAGGCTTCGTGAAAACCCGAAACCGAACACCTTCAATTTAGCGTATACCATTTTAGGTTCTTGGGGTCGGTTATCAGCATTCCATCCACTAGGGTTGGTATGGTAGTGACCTACCAACTTACTGATACAGCGGACTTTACGGAGCCTCAATCAAATGCCGTCAATTTTCCCTTAAAAAGCTTTGCTTCTGCCAAGGTCCCTTCATCAACTTCAACCTGTGGTTTGCCTGATCTTTATCAACTCTCTTCACTCCAACATTCTGTTCCTCATGAACTGGTAGCGACCAAGGTAAAAAGTTATGATCCCCACAGAAGCTGACCCAGTCAGCCATGCCACCCCCAGGTCATCAGCCGCACCCAACACCGACACGCCTGGCATCCCAGTGACGCCAAAGAATCGATCGTCGACGATTTCATCCGTGAGTGGCAGCCTTAGACGCGTCTCCTTGGGCTTCCAAGGGTCAAAACTGCCAGATGGATTCTCGGCGGCTACTGGAGGCATCGCATCAACAGTCTTCTCGCGCCAAGTCAAGCAAGCCCCTAACACCACTGGCGCCGCGCAAGTCGAGCGCATACCTTTGACCGAAGTCGATTCAACCCCAAATCAGAAGAGTTCTGGAGAGCCCTCGACAAGAGGGAAATCGCCGGTAGAACCCCCTGAGGCGGCGTCGTTCCCGAACGGCTACCACTTTCCTCCGAAACATACCTTCGCCCAGTCGACCCGAGATGGTGCGCTTGCCTTCTGGAAATACTTCATAACGCCAGTCGGGTTTATTGTTACTATATATGGCTTAAATATCGTCGCGTGGGGCGGCATGCTGTTTCTACTACTGTGCAATGCCTGTATGTATCAAACCTCCGTTCGACATGCCTGGTCGAAATAGCTAACAGGTTCTAATTTCTAGCTCCCGCAATGTGCTACCCAACTTGCAATGATATTGACTCGCCACGAAGGAAATGGATAGAATGGGATTCGCAGATTCTCAACGCCCTATTCTGCGTTACAGGGTTTGGACTTGCCCCTTGGCGGTTCCGAGACCTCTGGTATATACTTCAATATCGACTCGCGAAGAACGACACTGGGTTGCGCCGCCTTGCCGGAATTCACCGTGGTTGGTTCAGACTTCCCGGGTCGGAGACGGTACCAATTGACTTTGGGCCGAAAAACGCGGAAACGAGGACAAGTGAAGTTGCTCCAGCTCTCTTGCCATTTCCAGCGGCAGCCATCCCTGATATACCCCTTACGGGCGTCCGGGCTCCTGGTTCTCAGGTTTGGAAGCTGGACTTGGTGATCTGGCTCATGGTTTGGAACACCTTCCTCCAGATAGTTTTGTCAGTCTTCATGTGGCACTTTAACCGGTTTACTCGCCCCAGCTGGGCGACTGGCTTGTTCGTTGCTCTGGCTTGTCTTGTGGCTGCCGCTGGCGGGTATATCATGTTTCTGGAGGGAAAGCGAGTCAAGAGCATTGAGGGTGTTCCATTGAGCCAAGATGATCTAGAGCGGCTGGAGAAGGACAGAGAAAACGGTATTTGGCACTACAATAACCTTCAGGACAGGGTCGTGGATGCTAGCTCTAAGCATGGCGGACCTTAGGTGGCCGCTTGCGAATGGTTGGATTTATTTGATATTTAGCTTGGTAGCTTCCCTTTCTTAATACTACCTACCTATGCACCTGCCTTAGGTTAGCAGCCTGACTGCAAAATTCGGATTGGCAGGCAAGCAGGCCAGTCCCAGCTCACAGGTGCCTACCTAAGCCGGCTCCCTTCCGCGACCCCGCAGACCATTAGACCCTGATAAGATAAGAAGCCGGGCCACTTCCTCCCGCATGTGACCTCACTGGCGTAGCCTACCTGCTTCGGTTGCATCATGCGCTCTTACGCCTTGAATCCCAGCCGCCATTCCTTGACCAAAACTACCGGAGTCACAGGAGCCGTCCTCTAGGATATCATACACCTATACATGCTTGAAAGCTTCCAGCTGCGTGGAACACTCTTCCTCGACTACGCTCGCCCTCTCTGGACACCGAGCCCGTGCATACGCGCCCACCATTCATTAGATCGTGACGAGCATCTTTGACTTTCCCACAATCACAATGGGCCTTGCCTACAATACCTATCTCACAAGCAGCAAAATATATGGCTGCAAAAGCTGTAAGACCCATCTTGCCAATCATGAAGATATTATAAGTCGTGTAGGTTCCCTCATCACCAAGCCGCTGCTCCCGTACATCGGCGATTCCAAGAGGCCCCTTCCCTTTATCTAGCACTGGCAATCTTGCTATTTTATTAAGACTGTGCTTGGCTAACTTGGACACCATAGAATTTTCGGGGCCAGCATGGAAAAGCCTATCTTTTCCATACGGTCGTCAATGTCGAGGCCGGAGAAGCCAACGAGCGGAACATGACCACCGGCCGGCACGTTGTTCGGGATATCGTATGCCGCCAGTGCAGAGAAACAGTCGGTTGGAAGTACGACAAGGCATACGAAAGTTCCGAGAAATACAAGGAGGGGAAGTTCATTCTTGAAGCCGAGCTCTTGTGCACCGTCACATAACGATTCTTGATAATGCTGAGCTTCTGTCTGCGTACCACTTCTGAGTGGGTTGGGGCAACGGCGTACTTTGGAGTTTTAGGGAGCCTGGAACAATTGGCGTATGGTTTTTCTCGTGTTGCCAGATGCCAGCGTGGCATTTTTCCTACAGGTCTAGATTTGATGCGTTAAGGGTTGATTTCTGTGGCTCAAATGCCACTTGTCCTAGCATAGCAGTGAGAAAGAAGTCCGTAGTATGAATTTACCATCTAACTAATCCAAAACCTAACGCCAATAATCCGTTGATACGTGTGAAAAGCCCGGAGGGCCCTGGGAACCAAGAAGCACTATTGCCCATTTCTAATGGCGGGACTCAACTGGCTCCTCTGGCAGGAGCTCTTCAACCTCCTCTCCAGCCTCAAGAGACTTGAATGGGGGGTTCACGATCCCATTGTAAACCAGTGTTGAGTAAACCAACATAGCAAATCCGACAATCTGCAACCATTTGAAGGTCTCCCAGCCGAGTCCTAGGGAGACAACCCAGATGAAGAGGGTACGGCATGTGTCGATGGTAGAACGCGATGTAGCACTAACGCTCCTCGTGACGGACAAGCCGAAATAATTGAACCCACTGGGGAAAACATGTTAGCATGTGAGGTTCGTGCTTTCCTAGTCAAAGAAGCTCAGTTGCCGAGGACTTACCCGATACTGATCATGATGAGAATACTCGAGATTCCAACTGCCTTGTTGGACACCATTTGATTCCAGCCAGACACCATATCAAATGGTCCGTGCCGCCCGGCCTCAGTTCGACCTACAGAGAGGTGCAGAACGATCATGAGGAGCACAGTGATGATGAAGCCGAAGACACCTTCCCATGCAACAACCCTGATTGGCTCAATAGTCGAGTGCTCCAAAATCCACTCCTCCAGCACAAACTGTGTGGCAGTGAATATCTGGGCGCTCGCAATGAGCAGGACGCCAATGACAGCCTTTGTGGTAACCGAGAGCCCTTCGTCGGATTTGAGCGCAGCGTGCACTGCCTTCTCATCTGGCCAGATGGCCCCTGCTAATCCCACGACGGCGACACCTGCTACAACGCCAACAAGCGCGAGCCACTGGAACATATGCAAATGACGGCGGAGGACGGTAACACTCAGAATACCAACGAAAAGCACGAGGGCACCTCTTGTCATCTGGTAAATCGATGCCGCCACGAGAAGGAGACCGACGTTCATAAGAGTGGTGGCGCACGTATCGCAGATGGTGGGAAGCGCTAGTAGGGTGATGCGGAAGCCCTTGAGCAAAGAGTCGTCCTTGAGAGGTGGCCCGTCAATATCCGCCGCCTGTTCCGCGGCGTTATCGGTGGTATTGACTGCTTGGTACCCTTGGTCGGCAGGTGATGATTTTTGCGTGATACGACGGTGGAGAGCCATGATGGCAACGACAAGCCAGCATCCCATCTCGCCTACAAACATCTGAGCCGATTGCAGCACAGGCTGCTCGAAGTGTTTTCGCTTTGATACATCGGGATTGTCGCAGTCGAGGACACACTGATTATCCTATGATGGGGTTAGCGCTGGCCCCTTAACAGCGACCTGGCGATGAACCCGCGGGATCAAAGGAAATGGGTTAGAAAGTACCTGGTATTTGGTTAAGAGAGTGTTGCAGACGCCAGTCAAGAGCATCATCCCCACCAGGATGGGTATGAGGTTCCGTGATGTCATGATGGCCGCGGTAATGCCTGACCCGTGATGACGCAGGGCAACAACACAAACGAGGAAGAGGGACTTGACGTTGGCACAAGTAATGAGGTTTATATGCTGCTGGAAACACTGTTGTTCTGGGATGGAAATGAAGATGGGATGTAAGGAACCAGATCAGGGAGCAGGGAGAAGGAGAACAAGCTGGCTCGCGAGTAGTCCAAGCCACAGATCAGCTGCCTATTGTGCCCGCGCAGCCGTGAGCTATCGGTGTCGCGTGAACACAATGTGGGTCCCGGGGTAAAGGTCCGTTCCATAAGTCCCCACTAGCCGCTTCTCCAGGTTGACCACAACGAACACCAACGTGAAACACTTGACTCGCTATGAAATGCTATTAGGAGATCCTGGTATTGTTTTTTTCTCATGCCTTTCACAACGGTGGACGGTGAAATGAGGATAGAGTAATGGCGAAGGACAGGCTAGACGACGTATAGAGTTTGCATTCATTAGGCAGAAAGACAGCCACCGCCGCATGACCTCAGATGAAACTAGCCTAGAGCCAACCTGGTATGCTAGGAATAGAGGTAGGCAGAACTTCTTTTACATAGCTGATCATTTTGATTAGGCAGGGGATACGTATAGAGATTACAGCACACTGCCGAGCTTCTTCCCGTCAATAGCTACGCACGGACACTAATCACTTGAGTTGGAAAGATGAGCACTGTATGAGACTTTGGAATTGATGTGATCATGATTCATTCTACTATACAGTGTTTTTATCTGTCCAGACATTTACCAGCTGAAAGCTTCCTCAACGAAGTCGATTGAAGTGTGATGTTGTCGGTCCCTAACAACTCGGCGAACCTCGTCGCTGAGGGTACCTGGTCCACAAACGGTGACTGCCATAGCACCGACCTGCTGCTCCTGTTCCATCTGCATGAGAGTATCGATATTCGGACGACCTGGGAACATTTGAACTGTCGACGAGGGGCTGTGGATCTCCTTGATAGACCGGGGCTTACTGACGAAGAGCATAATCCGAAGCACATCTCTTCTCTTATCCATACCCAAGACCTCAGTCATCCAAGGACGGATCCACTCAAGATGCTCTGGGCTTTGGATGGTCCAGACCAGCAAGATTCTCCGGGTAGCAACAGTTCCATTGGCATACCCAGCAACCAGATCCTTGACATATGGAACTTGATGAGTAACTCCGACACCTCCGGCAAAGAGTACCACTGTGCCGTATGAGTCGAGGGGATGCTTCACGCCATATGGGCCTTCGAAAAAGCATGTGGTTTCCATTTTTCCTGCCGGGCTGGCAGCTACCCGTTTGTACAAGTTATCCGTGTAGCCAGTTCTTGCTCGGATAATGAAACCAATTTGCATCTTCTGCATCGCTCTTCGCTCCTGGTGGTTGCTGACCAGTTTATCAGATGAGACATCATCCGTACTCTCGAACCAGGAGATGGAGAAGGGATGGGACTGCCACAGGCTGACTCCAGGCATGTAGAGGTAGCCGTGTTGCCCAGGCCTGCCACGGAATGGGCGTGCCAAAGTCATGGTCACGCGGATGGCGTTACCAGGGAGGGCTTCGATGACGGTGCGAGAGCGTGAACGGCCGATGTTGATGTATACGATACGGAGGATGCGTGCGCCTCTATCGGCAACCCAGAGTGCGATGAGAATCCAGCAGTAGCTCAAGAAACCGTCTCGGGCTCCAGATGCCAGGTGCATATAAAGTCCAACGATGGATGCGGCGGCAGCAAGGATGTGGATGATTTTGAAAGTCTCGTAGAAGGCATGGCGGATGGGACTCCATGATTGAATGAGAAGCACGAGAAATGCAATTGTAGCCTACAATCGAAGATTTAAGATGAGTAAGATTTCAGGTCACCAAGCGTAAGGAGAACGTACCACAGCACCCCAGCCGTAGAAGGGCTTGGCGAATACCATGTTCCATGCCCAGTTGGTTTTGGCTATGTGAGCAATTGTGTGGATCACAGCTTCGATGACAACAATCCGGCCGAACCAGCGGTGCAGAAGGTTGTATGTGTCGAATGAAATGTTCAAGAGAGGAATGAGCGGGTTGTTTCGACCAGCGAAAACAAACAGTGGAATCTAAGTGGAACTCATGTTAGTAATAGTGTGCTCCCTTGATGGGAAGGATGGATGTTACCATGTTGAGGGTGCTCAGCCAACCCGACCGCTTCCTCAAAACATCCAATGCCTCAGATGCGGTTTCGTTAAAGGGAACCCCAACCAGACAGAATGCAATGTTCGTGGCAAAGTAGGCGACGAGGAAAAGGAGTTGAAACCGGGTAGGCAGAGTGCCGACGTTGATTGCTGAGCTAATCTGGATTTCACGGTTATGTCTCTTGCTAAAGAGCGGAGCGTAGAGAATGTGGCGTTTGATAGATGCATTCCAAGGAGAAGCAATGGCAAAGTAGCGTTGGCGGTCGTTATTAAGGCAGACAATGTGACGGGTGTACTTGATGATGCTATCGCAGAGCTTCCAGAGCAGGATGGCACCACCAATAGCACCGCACATGATGAAGAGGTAGTTGGAGTAGGCGTTGTTGAGGGCCCTGGCGGCAGCCTCAACGGCAGGATCCTTCGCACCAGGGCCAGCTCTGGCGAGAAGTTCTGCGGCCATGGTCTCGGCGGCCATGGTGAGTGAGTTTTAGTTGGGCTTCCCTAGTGACCTAGAAAGATGGTTGTCGATTTGATCGGGTGACTTGGAAACGTGTGATTGCGGTATGGAGAAGATATCCAGCTTCAGAGCCTGCGAGCAGCTTCGCAGAAGGTAGGGCGAGAATTAAACGAATGAACTCAACGAGAAAAAAGCCAAGTGAAGAAGAGAAGGCCAAGGAGGGTAGAGCAGATGTGAGACAACAACACCGGCGTCAAATCCCAACCTCCAAGGCAGAAATTGAAATGATGACGAGTTGTGAGGAGAGAGGGAAAGAATGCAAAGAAGTGAGCGAATGCATCACTGATATGGAGATTCAAAGGAGGTGTTTAGGTACCTTGCCGGTGGGTGGTGTGGGTACGGGGGGGTAGTGACAGCGCCTACGCTGCATCTGGGACGGGGGCTGCCAATTAGCGGGCGGCGATCGGTCTGAGCAAGGGGATGTGATACAGTTATGGGGGCCCCTAGCGCACGTTGCCGATGAGCCATGCCCAAGACAGGTAGCGGTGTCCAAGCTCCGTGTGAGCGCCCTGCTCGCTCCAGCTGCACCTACCTCGTGTGTGCAGGCGCTGACAGCCTGTTCCTGTACGCTGGGACAGGGCTTGCGCGCGGAGGCATCTGTCGGGACTTTTCGCACCTGAGATTGACATCTCCTAAGCTACATAGTCACAGGGTACGTTGGTAGGGAAGAAGACGATTCAGCTGGCTCCCTGGATCTGATCTATGTTTCACGGACAAACACTACCTATCCATCTATGTACAGCAGGTGGCTCTGAGAGCAAGCAAAGCCGATCCGAGTTTTCGTCCTGAACAGGGACAGCCAATCAAGCGGCAACTCCACCCAGAAACAAGGACCAGTTGCTCTCTGGACCGCACATATTGAACATTAAATATATTGAATAGAAAATGTGCAGGCCATCCCACTTCAGGCCGGTTGGTAGGTATATGCATAGACAGCACTGCACATGGCTGTGGGTAGGCACATGCAGCTGAACGAACTGTAATAAAATCAAAATTAATTGCCTCTGTCGCTTGAGACTTGGCTTTATTTCTGGACCCTTACCAGAAGATAAAACTACATGGGCTATACGCAACACTAACACCTAACAGGGCCGGAGGGCAAGAGCCTGCCTGCCGTGGACAGATTCAATCTCGTTAAGCCGGCCACCGAGATAAACAGATTACATATTGGGTCGTCACTCCCGAGAGTGGGGCGGAGAAGAAACCGGTCTGGTCTTCCAGAACCCCGCATGTCTGCCAGGGGCTGTTTCTTGCATCAGCGTCGGGTGGCTGAAGCAGAGACCAAGCAGAGGTGGCCCTCGATCGTCCGCGCGCGGGTACTGCTGCAAGCTAGCAGCAAGTGTGCCCACTGGCCCGTGCCCAATGGCTGGCTGCGCTGTCACACATCTGGTCCCCTATCAGGCACCGGCACTCATCATTGGCAAACACCGACCCGGCTCTTGTCGCACCAGCAGGCCAGGCCCCTGCTCTTTGCTGGCCCTGTTTCAGTTCTTTTCGGTGGCGCCGCAGCATGTATGTGCGTACTCGTCACCCAGGGGTCCAAGCATCGTGTTGCCTGGCTTGATTGGCTCCCCTAGCGATCAGAAGTCGCCCAGTCCCCCTCACACTTTTCGTCCTCGGCTGCCTCTTGCCATGCGTTCCCACTGCCACCACTGCCCTGACACCCGAACGGCCAGTAGCGCCGTCACAAACACTAATGTTTCGTGTGCTGCTGTTGTCTTTCTCATTGCTTCTGCTGTTGCTGCCGCCACTGCCGTTGCAGCAAGCTGAGTCTGGCACGAGGTCCGTTCCAAGGCATGCTGCTTTAGCGCCCAGCGAGACAGGCTCCTGGGGTCGCAAACCCGCTGCAAGTTTTGGATCAAGAGTTTTTCTCGCCTTCGCCGAATTGCTCTCTTTCCTCTCTTGCAGAACCGTGCCAACCCCAGTCCCGCCAGGTCGGTCCAATCCCCGCCCTCTGGCGTTGTCCCTGAAACGCACCTGTGCGCGCTCAGATGCCATCGCCCCTGGTGAGTGTTGGTTCATTACCCTCACCCAGTTTTGTCTTGTCTCCACCTCCGCTTCGTTGTTGACTGTTTGAAGCACATCTCCGTCTGAAGTGCAGCGTCTGCTGTTCTCCGGCCGCCTCCCTGCTTTGTCAGGACTTGGTAACACCCATTCGCTGATGCCCTCCTCCCAGCGCCAGCCAGAGAAGATGCTGCTCACACGCCCCGGCTCGGAACCCGGCTTTGCCAAGTCGGCCATGTTCGTGGATTGGAACTGTTGCTCGGCAAAGACGAGGTCACGAAGGTCTTTTGTCTTCTGAGCAAAGAGAAATGCGCCATCAGTTCGCAGGCCTTGCCGGAACCAGCTTGGTAGTTGCAGTTTATCAAGCTGGTTGCAGATGGTTGCTAAGCATTCAAAACCTGCAAGCTGCTCTGCCTGCTGGCGTATGCCCTGAGTAATTGAGCAAACCAGGGACATTGCTTGCCGATATTGGCGATGCGCCTGAGATTCATCTATTGCAATCAAACTCTCCAGTTCCCTTGCAGCTTGTTGCTGAAGTTCCCGGCTCACTAGTTTATTGGATGCCACTGCCAAGAAAAGTGCCATCACTGGTATAACTGACAATTCCCTCGCTTGCAGGCTGCCGCACTTTTCTCTTATGCTGTTGATAGAGGAGTCTAGAACACGAAGTGCCTTCATACAGTTACGTCTTGCAGGCATGGAGGTCGCTGTCGCTTGGCCATTGGCCGACCCCATGGCGGCTATGGCCAGCCCAGCAGCCACACGTATCAGGGCATGTGACCGGCTATGCTCATGGCTTGCTTCCGAGCGAGAATATTCCTTGACGCATAGCGTTTCAATGACGGTGACCAGCAGTTTCAGCTCCGACGGGCCACTCTTATCTGAGGCTACAGATTGGATCGCTCCGCTCAGCACTTCGGTAAACGCTTTCGAAGCAACCCATTCGGGGTGCAGGAGCCCTTGTTTGATTAATGATGATATGTGACAGAGTGCAAAGCTTCTGCCCTGGTCAGCAGCGGCCGACGTCACAAGGGCATGAAGCGGTTGGAGCTCATAGCGCCCGACAAATGTGCTCTGTAGATTCCTCGGCTTTGGCAGTGCGCCTCGTACTGCGGTCGCTAGGATCGCAGCCTCCTCTGGACAGTGAAAGTGAAGGCAAAGTTTCACTAGCGATCCCACATAAGCTGGTTCAAACAAGCCTTCTACAGCTGCCTTTTGCAGGAGCCTGGTGGCATGAGCACGAGCGGCAATCTTAAGCGGCCGCCAACCCGTTTCAGATGATCCAAACGCCTCGAGCTGCTCATACAGCTCTAAAGAGACCGTGGAACTACTCGTGATTGAATGGATAGCCTTATCCTTGGTCCTGCCCCTTTCCCAATCTTCAATGTTTTCTACACACGCGGGGATTTGGCGTAAACACATTCCAAGTAGAGACTTTGGGTGAGCCTCTCTAGGCCTTGAAGCAGTTGCCTGAAGCATGTTCGCGAGCCATTCGAAATTGGCCATGTAGACTCGGAAATGCGTCTCAGGCACAGTGTGACGGAGATGGCGTACCTCTTCCAGGAGGTTTCGGGGAATCGGCTGTGTACCATTGGTCGGCTTATCGGGGGAAGTTTCCATGCTGCTGGTCCGATCGTCCCAATGTTTGGCTAGCTTGATGTACCGTGTCGCTACCGGCGTTGGGAAGTTGAGGGTCTTCGAGTTGGGTGACAGGTCGGCAGTCTCCAACCTAGAAAATGCACGTGTAGGTCGCTTCGGTGTCATGGAGGGCGGCTTTGGCCTGCTAGGCAAGCTTCTTCGGTTCCTGGCTGTGTATGTATGCTTTACCCGCTTAGAAGGTTGCACATCCCATGTCTCGTGAGCCTGGCGCTTGGTTTGTTGTTGTCTTTTCAGAGAGCCAGCGTCCGGCTTGACCAGCTTGCGAAGGGTGGACAATCGAGACTCGAGCTGGCGCAGCAGGCGGTGGCATCGGGCCGCCGTCCATGGCTGAACGGACACGGGGTCGTGCATCTCGAGGATGTGTGCTGTTCTGGAGAGAGGAGTGGTGTCTAACGTAGCATTCGATGGCTGTAGGGATGCATGGCGAGATGAAAGTAATCGGCCACAAAGATATTCCGTGATTCAGTATGGATAATGTTGCAAAATGGTCGTAGAAATAAGCAGAGACGGTGGATTTGCCGTCATGTACGTCAGCTAGGATATGATGAGAATGGTCAATTGAGCTGCTGGTTGCTGGAATCAATATTTACTTTCTGCCACTCTCGGACTAGCTCCCTTTTGAAATCGTGGAGTCGGCTGGCTTCGGTAGCCAGCCCAGAGCCGGGGTACCACCACAGTACCGCGCTGGCAGCTGTCTTTGCCCGCTGGCCCAAGTCGCTGCAAAGTCTCGGCTCCCACCCGGCCGGTCGCTCGGGCCCGCCGCTTCCGTCCACTCGTGCTCCTTCCCGCTGGTCATCAATTGAATTTTTTTCTTTTCCACTGCACTGCAACATTCTCCCACATTGCTCCAATCGCAGACATATGCTACATTAGCCTGTTTCTCTTCATGACAGGCGGATTTTTTTTTCTCTTGTAATAAATTGTGTTCGTCGTGTATAGTCATTCCTCCGCCTGCGAGTAATCATGGCTGCAGAGTCAGAGCAACCACAAAATGCCACCCCAGGTACCTACACCGCACCCTGGTTCTTATCTTATTTTACTTCACGAGCGCTCCAAAGTCTAATACATGCATTTGCCCGCAGGCAACGAGTCTCTGACCGAGCCAAATGATGCCGTTGCTCCGCAGGAGGGAGATAATGCAGCCGAATGTAAATTCCGCCTTCCAATTATTTTGTTGGCCAAACCCTGTTGCTAACCATGTATTTTCGCCAGCCCTAATAAATATTAGCATTGCTCTGCCTGACTCCAAGGCGGAGAGCTTGCAACTCACAGTATGCCTCCGCCATAGAACTCTAGGCTAGCCAACCCTTATGCTCACTCTGTTACCCCTCTAGGTCTCGTCTCAAGAACAGATTCACGAAATCCGGCAATCTCTCATCGATCTCCCCTCAGCCTTCCAGTATACTTGCTTCCACCTCGAGTACAAGGGCCAGAAACTCAACGATTTCATCCCTCTTGCGGAGGTTCCCGAGCTCAGCCCCGAACCCGAATTTGTCTTGGTCCAAGACCCTTACACTGAGAAGGAGGCTCGTATTCATCTGGTGCGAATTCGGGAATTAATTGGTGCCGCCGGTGACCGTACCGACTCTACACAAGGCGTACTCCCTGGTGCATCCCTCTTCGAGGACGTGTCCAAAGAGGCCCAAGCAGAGGCCTCTGCCGAAAAGGATCAGCAACCAGTCACAGACCATGACTTCCAGGCCATTCCAGCACTCTCCAGCCTCGTCCCAAAGCCCACTGGTCCCGCTCCCAAGACAGTGAAGCAAATCACACTCTCAGCATGGAACCCCCCGCCCCCTCATCTCCGACAGCGGGGCCACCTCCTCTACCTCGTTGTAACAACCAATGAAGGAGAGCAGTTCCAAATCACATCCCATGTCTCGGGATTCTTCATCAACAAGTCCTCGAATGCCAAGTTTGACCCGTTCCCCAAACCTCCCCCCAAGGGTCAGTCCTCTCACTCCCTTTTGGACCTCCTGCGTGCTGTCTCCCCCTCTTTCTTGGATACATTTGCCCAACTCCAGGAGCACAACAACCAAAGGGATCCTCTAGCTACTTTCCAAATCACCAACACTATCCCTGCCGCTCCATGGGTAGTCCCACCCCCTACTTCGTCGCTATGTGAACATGTCGCCGACCCAACTCGGCCCCAGGAGACCTATCTTCTCAATGGTGTAGAGAACACGGATACTCTTCGTGACTGGAACGAAGAGTTCCAATCGGCCAAGGAGTTACCAAAGGAGACGGTGCAGGACAGAGTGTTCCGTGAAAGACTCATCTCAAAGCTTTTTGCTGATTACAATGATGCTGCTACTCGTGGAGCCGTCATGGTTGCCCGTGGAGAGATTGCCCCCCTTAACCCAACTGAAGGCCGAGACGCGCAAATCTTTGTCTACAATAACATCTTCTTCTCCTTTGGAGCTGATGGAGTAGGAACCTTCACTTCGGAGGGCGGAGATGAGGCAGCTAGGGTAGCAACTGGAAAGGATGTGGCTGGTGTCAGGCTGGTCAACCAACTCGATATCGATGGGCTCTTCACACCAGCAACAGTAGTTGTCGATTACCTTGGAAAGCGTATTGTTGGCCAAAGCATTGTTCCTGGAATCTTCAAGCAGCGTGAGCCTGGTGAGAATCAGATCGACTACGGCGCGGTTGACGGTAAAGACGTTGTGGCCGATGATGAGCGTTTCGCTGCCACCTTCGCTCAGTTGTCGAAGGCACTCAAAGTGAAGAAGCACCCCGTCTGGGACAAGGAGGGCAAGAGGTTTGACCTCGAGGCAAGCGTGGAGACAAAGGGTCTCATGGGGACTGATGGACGCAAGTATGTCCTTGACCTCTACCGGATCTCACCGCTTGACATCGCATGGCTAGATGACTGCGAAGCTGAAGAGGATGAGACCGCCTATCCTCACAGAATGACAGTCCTGCGTCCTGAGCTGGTCGATTCTTTCGGCCGCTACCGCATGAAGCAGTGGATTGATAAGGAGATCGCTGCCAAGAAGAAGGAGCAAGCCGAGGCTGGCGAGAATGAAGAAGACAAGGGAGAAGCTAAGGCTGCCATCACCCAGCCCGACCTCTCCAAATTCCAATTCGCCCTCAATCCTGATGCTTTTGGCGGTCAAACTCCCGTCATAGAGGAGGAGAAGCAAGAGTGGGCTGAGGATGAGAAGGAGGTCCGCGCAGCAGGCCAGTACCTCCGTGATCAGGTCATCCCAGACCTACTTAAGGATCTTTCTGGGTCTGACATCAGCTTCCCCATGGATGGCCAATCCCTTGGTCGGCTACTGCACAAGCGTGGTATCAATCTGAGATACCTTGGAATGGTAACATCTCTTTGCACCGATGATCGCCTGCGCTGCATGCGTGATGTTTGCGTTCAGGATATGTTGGCTCGTTCATTCAAGCATGTGTCTGCTCAGTATCTGCGTCACCTTCCCGTCCCTGCCACTGCAGCTTGTATATCCCATCTTCTTAACTGCCTCGTTGGCCAGGATTTCAACGCAAATCCCGCTTCTGATCTTGAGCCCTCTCTGAAGACTCTATACCCAGACGCCGACTGGTCTTTCGAACAAGTCACACCCGAGTCCCTCCGAAACAGCCTCGAGGAGCAGACCTTCAAGCGTTTCCGATATGAGCTTGACTCTGAGTGGCGCAAACACACGAAGGCCCCCCAGCTGTTGCGCGAAGTCTGCCTTCGTATGGGCATCCAGATCCAAGCGAAAGAATACGCCTTCGTTGCACAGCAATCCGATGTTGCTCCTCAAAAGACCAATGGCCAGGCCAACGGGGAGTCTTCCAATAAGAAGAAGAAGAATAAGAAAGCTCGTGAGGGCTCGCCGGCATCTACCGAGGCTGTACCAACTACCACTTTTACCAGCGAAGATATTGTCAACGTGGTTCCCGTGGTGAAGCACTCATGCCCTCGCAGTGCCCTTGCCGAGGAGGCCCTTGAGGCTGGCCGAATCTCCCTGTTACAGAATCAACGCAAGCTGGGACAGGAGTTGCTCCTCGAGTCGCTATCGCTACACGAGCAAATCTATGGTATCCTGCACCCGGAGGTGGCGCGCGTGTACAACAGTCTTTCAATGCTTTACTATCAACTTGACGATAAGGAGGCGGCCATTGAGCTGGCAAGAAAGGCCATTGTGGTGGCAGAGAGAACAGTCGGCGTGGATTCGGCCGAGACTTTACTGAACTACCTTAATTTGAGTCTTTTCCTTCACCAGGCTGGCGATAGCAAGGGTGCCCTTAGCTACTCGAAGCACGCCTTGAAGCTGTGGAAGATCATTTACGGCCCGGACCACCCAGACTCCATCACAACCATCAACAATGCCGCCGTGATGCTTCAGCACCTTAAGGCCTACCACGAATCAAGACTGTGGTTTGAAGAGTCCCTCCGCGTATGCGAGACCGTGTTCGGCAGAGAGTCTGTCAACTCAGCAACCCTTCTGTTCCAACTAGCACAAGCCCTTGCACTTGATCAAGACTCTAAGGGAGCCGTGAATCGCATGCGAGAGTCTTACAACGTATTCCTCAACGAGCTGGGACCGGAGGACAAGAACACCAAAGAAGCAGAGACCTGGCTCGAGCAACTGACCCAAAATGCCGTCTCCATTGCCAAGCATGCCAAGGACGCACAGGCAAGACGCATTCGGTCCGGGATCCGGTTCCCTGCTGCGTCCACCGGGACTGTGCAGCCCGCTACCGCATCAGGAGGACGCATATCCTCAACCGGGATGGACTCCCGCAGCATTGATGAACTCATCAAGTTCATCGAGGGCGGCGAGGGGCAGTCAAAGCCGTCGAAGAAGCGGCCAGGTCAGGGCAACCCCAAGCGACGCGGCCGGGCTTAAGCAACGCATCACTTGAAATAAGAGTAGCTTTATCAAACTAAAAAAAAAGAAGAAGAGAAAAAAGAGAAAAAAAAACTGTGGCAAAGACCCAAACGAGGGAGACGTTGGTGGTCTCACCAACTGTGACGCATCATCATGACTCATGAGGAAACAAAAAAAAAGTGTGTTCAGGAACACGCAGAAAATCAATGTACAACAAACATACGGCCAATATAGATGAAATATGGGAGCAACGTGTATCATGGAGTCGGGGCATGCATCAGTCATAACCGGTGGGAAAAACAAATTTACGGGGCAAACATCAAACGGGGTCGGTATAGAGGGCAAGGCGATTTTGCATAGGATGTTGTCGTTGTTATCCCGGCCTAGGCGCGCATGGCCATCATTTGAAATTGAATATCCTCACTCATCCTTCCTCACTCAGGAGTCAAATCGTCTCTATTTACATTCACTTGCCTTGGTAATTGGATTCCATACAAACATAATGTGACAAGTCAAAACCCGGCAGTTCACCCCCAGGCCAATACCTGTCGTCGAAGCCATCATCGAGTACGCCTTGGACGTCAAAGGAGGCCACACAGCCGTACGGACTTGAATAGTGAACTCTTTTCTTCCTTGAAGGATTGAATAAGTAAAAGATATCATGAAAGGTTTCCATCTACAATCAACAACTACCTCGAGGCTGCCTCGAAATGCGAACAGTCTTCCCCCTCTACCCGATATCAACATCAAAGAAACTCTCGAAACAGCATTCTTACTCTCATGAAGGCCCCTATAACGCTGAGCATTAACAGGATAGGAATTCTCGGCTAAATCTGGCCCATACTCATCGTATCCCACACCTGGGGTGTACAACCCTGTTGGTTCGATTTCAACAAATGTCTCATCATAACCCGTCTTGTAAGTTGTCCACTGTGCAAAACGCGCCGCCCTTAGCATATCAAGGTGTGGCTGGATCATGTCGGACAAGGCGAATTCAAGCCCAGGGGATTTCGTACGTGTTAGACAGAATTTGTACGTAAGTTTGTCATCCATAGACCTAATTTTTGTCACATCACGGCCTATGGTCGCTCTGGGAGACACTAACCAGGAGCCACCCAGAGCAGTTCGGCAATACAACATACGTCGATGGTGTCTTACGATAGGGTGACCTAAGTTTTGATAATCAATAAGATAGGGACATGCAAATGAAGTTGATGGTGGCCTGGAGTTTAAGCCCCAGAGGTCTACGAATTTCATCCATGCTCAAAATATGGGGAAATAATGGGAAAAGAGGCAAAATATAGCGCGTATCAAGGTTCACAGTATTCGTCAGCATGTCAATTCAATGCTCGCTCGTCCAGTCGTCTCCGTCTGTAGCGGTAGGCATCCAGTGCTATTCGCTACGTAAGGGTTCAGTCATTAAAACGTAGAGTTTCTTTCTTTTGCTTCATGTCCTCCCCTTCATCAGTGCATTGGCCACTGACACTCCTCTCCCGACTGGTGCATGATATGCCCCAATACTTTGAAAACCCCTAGGAAAAGAAGAGTTAGTTGTGGGGAAATGAGATGGGCTCGGAACCTGATACTTACTTTGTGAGATCAAACCCTTGTTCTTCCTCATCATCTTCTTCCTCCTCTTCGATAGGCGCAACTTCCGGTTTGCTATTCCCTCCTTGAAAACGTGTCGGGCTGCTCGGTGGAGACTTGTTGGCTTGAGGAGGGCTACTACTTGGCGGGGGGACTCCGAGCACAGTCTTGGAGGGGCTCATCTCGTAACCACCAAGCGGCTTGAGGGGAGTACTTCCAATATCAGCATATTTCCAGAACGGTGCTGGTGAGCTCGTTGGCATATGTTGACTTGGTCGTTGGGCAGTACTAGGCGGTGCCAGTTTAGGGTGAACACGAGGTGGAGCAGGTGTGACGAATGAAGCGCCGTCCTCTTGTAGATATGAAGAGGTCAAAGTTGGTGATTGGAGTTGGAAGCTGGACACTGGAGGATCCGCTACTGCGGATTTCTTTGACCTGGGAAGGGGACTACCGTCGGCAGTCAGAGTTCTCCCTTGGGCTCGTTCTGTAGGCCTGTCTGGCGTCGACTGTGTCATGGCCAATGATGAACCTGGGGACGGAGAGACTAGGAGAGAGCCGCGTCGCTTTCTCACCGATGGAGAGCCTCGTGCCGCCATATCTCGAGGGCCCTGCGTAATATAGTTAAGCTGATTCGGTGAAGAAGGGGCAGAAGAACCCCGATGGCCGCCTCGGCCGATGCGCCATGCATTCTTGACCATTTCTTCCTTGGCTTCAGGGACAATCTGCCATTTCATGCCTTTCCCTGGCTCGGTCGTAGACCTGGCTACTTTGTCAAATGCCTTATTCAAAGACAGATTATGGCGGATTGAATTCTAAAGTCACGTTAGCCAGGATCTACGACCGATTTCTATCCCTGGAAACATTACCTGCCAACCCGCAGCTTGTTGATGCCGGTAATACGAGTACCTTGTCATGATAAACTCGTAAATGCCGCTCAGCGTGAGCTTTCCCCCAGGAGCATTGAGAATAGCCTGAGTAATCATCTGCGCATAGCTGTACTGGGGCTTGATATGCTGATTCTCGTCATTGCCAAGATCGACGCCATTTGCGCCCACCATGACTGGAGCTGGAGTGCTGACAGCTGGCGACTTGGTAGCGGAAGTGGCATTCAACAACTGCGTTGATTGCGGAGGGGTGCCTGGACGCTTAAGTTCCAACTGCGCAGGAGCCAGTGGTCGTGGCTGGCGTGCCTGCGGTGTGTCTGCAACGTTGAGGCCACATCGTTCCAGATATTTGGGGTGAATATGCAGCGGGCTGATCTCAGAGGGTAAAACAAACATCATCTCGACATTCCCGATCTCCAAAACCTCCCCGCTCGACAAGAAATGGGGCTTATCCTGTGGTTTGTGTGGCTCGCCGTCGATCTTAACGCCATTCCGACCCTTGACTTCCAGTAGCCATCGCTCTTCCTTTGAGTCGAAAAAAATCACAGCGTGATTTCGGGACACGATCTTCCCAGGACTCAAGTCAATATGTACCTGGTCCTTATCGTAATCTTCCTCAGTTTCATTGCCAGCCCTGCTGGACCCCGGATTTCCTCCACCCGCATTCCCGTCCGGAGCACGGCCAATATTGACGGCGAGCTTGGTAATGTAGTATGTCCAGTCGTGTGCAGCGACCTTGGCGTATGCCTTGACACCGTCGGGATTCGCCTCGTGGATAGAATTGGCATGATCTTTGCTTGCTTGTACCGGCGGATCACCTGTTCGAAGTTGCTGGGTTATTTGCGAGACGAGCTGATCATCATCAGGTGCCTCATTCTGCGGAACCTGGAAGAGGGTTTAGCGGTCGATGATGACGGAAGTTGCAGAACCATATGCAGCTGAGTGTTACACACCTTCTTGCGACGTTTAGCAGGACGGCTCGGTGAAGAATCTTCTTCCATCGGTGGCGCTGCTAGATCTTTGCGAGAGTCGCGCCTGGTGCGCTGTGACCGACTAGTAGATGGCGGCATAGTTCGCATAGAGGGACACAATGCTCTGCGTGTCCTTTTGGGAGCGCCGGAAGGCGGAAATTATGATTTCAAGAACGGCAGTGCTACCAATACGATGGCTAGACACGGTGCCAGGGGATACAAAGTCGTATATAAACGGCGAGTTTCGTTTTGCCAATAATGAGGGTCGGGTCGTGTGGAGGAGACGGCGATCGATCCAGCGCATCCAAACAAAATCGATGGGCAAATAAACCGGAGCTTAGCAACAAGATCAAATGTGTAAAATGGTAATGGAAAAGACCGTAAGACGAAGCGAAATGGAAACGGGTGCCAGAGGCGGTTGGGGAGGGGGCTAAGAAAAGGTCCGGACGAGGTTGGTAGAGAGAATCAAGACGACCCAGTTGCATGCGATCACAATTTGGCTCGAACCTTAACCGCGTTCGCGTTGAGTGTCCACAGCATCAGGGCAGACAGGAAAAAGCCAGACTGTACATGGTACATGAGGGGGTACAGGATCCATCAATATGGCACGCCAGAGAGCCCTGGGAATCGGTTTGGCTAGCCTGTTTCGGGCTAGCGACTCAGTATGCGAGCAGAAATGCAATGCCAGTGATTGATTCCATGAACTGTAATTGCAAGGCTGGGCGCTGTAGATGCCATGTACTGTATACACATTGCTGGGTCCTGAGGTATGCGGTACCTGCGCCCTCGTGCTTGCGGCCTCCTCATGCGTCCATCCCGTCCCGTTCGCTTCGCATATACTCCCCACTGTTCCAGAGTGCTTTCGAAGTGCTCGCAGGCTGCTATAGCGTTGCGTGCTGAGGCCTGAAGAGTGACCGAGGTGGATGGCCTGTCGAAACGGATGGATGTTGCTAGTACCCAGGAGGCTAGCCTGCCCCCCTAATGCACACAATCGTAGGTACATCCACTGGTACTTCGTACAATGCAGCAGAGTTCAAGATCTCTGAGGCACAGGTCCCTTGGACGTATGTGATTATGTAAGATGATGGAGTTGCTTCATAGCAACAAAACATTCAGCCAACAATCAGGCCAAGGCATAACAACTCCCAGTACCAGTTTTGCCAGCTCCATTTCGGCCGCCTCTTGGAATAGCACTTTATCGTTTACGGGTGCGCTGCTGGCGGGAGCGGTTAGCCTTGCGAACGAATTTCAAAACATACTCCTGCCTTTGCACACGCTACCATCCATCTCCATCGCGACTGGTAGCGCTTCGTGACGAACTTTAGTTGGCCCACGGTGTTCTCACCATTTCCCTCCCCCCTTTCCTTCCCTCCACTTGATTTGAGTGTTCCCAATTGTGCATGCGTCTCTTGGATAGAAGATCCAAACCATGGCCTCCGAACGGATGTATGGCGTCACGCCACCGATGAAGGAAGACTTGCCCACTACACCTGAACTCGCCGCAACCGAGGCGTTGATCGACGAACTGAAGCGCCAGAATACTTTCGAAAGCCCTTCTGACACAGATAAGAGGTAGGTTCTTCGTTTACGGGCACATCGGTCCTCCTACTGCCAATACTGACGACTCTTCAGACACAAGGTTCTTGCATCCATCGCCGAGATCTGTAACGAATTCGTCAAGCATGTGGCCAGGCTCAAAGAACCGAAGAACGAGGTTCTCATCCGAAATGCTATCGGAAGGGTATTCACATACGGAAGTTTTCGACTTGGAGTGTACGGCCCGGGTTCCGATATCGATACTCTTGTTGTTGCGCCTAGATACGTAACCCGAGACGACTATTTTGAACACTTCCCCGGACTCTTGGTTGATATGGCTCCCAAAGGCGCCATTACCGACATGGCCGTGGTCACAGACGCCTTTGTCCCTATCATCAAATTCGAATACTTCGGAATCAGCATCGATCTCATTTTCTCCAGGATCATGCAGAAACAACTGTCAAATGACTTGGCGGATTTACGCGACTCCGGCCTTCTACGCGGCCTTGACGAAGCCGAGCTACGTTCTCTCAACGGCACACGTGTCACAGATGAAATACTCAACCTTGTTCCCGAGAAGGGCACATTCCGCATGGCTCTCCGTGCCATCAAGCTCTGGGCTCAACGACGGGCTGTTTACGCAAACATCATGGGCTTTCCAGGTGGTGTGGCTTGGGCTATGTTGGTGGCGCGTGTGTGCCAACTCTACCCAAAGGCCACTGCATCCGTTGTCGTGAACAAGTTTTTCCTCATCATCCTCAAATGGCAATGGCCTCAGCCCGTACTCCTGAAGCCCATAGAAAGTGGCCCATTGCCTGTACGGGTCTGGAATCCCAAAGTGTGTGCCCCTTCCCGGCCGTATATGTCAAACTGATCTTGCTAACCGGTGGTTCTTTCGTGGGAAGCTATATAAGGGCGATGCGTTTCATCTTATGCCGGTCATTACGCCAGCATATCCGTCCATGTGCGCCACCTTCAACATCACCAAGTCCTCCATGACAGTTATTCAACGAGAGCTTAAGCGTGCCTTCGAGATCTCGGAAAAGATCATGACTGGGAAGCTTCCCTGGGCCGAATTATTTGGCAAGCATACCTTTTTCACTGCTGGGTTCAAGTATTATATTAGTGTTATCTCAACCAGCACAACAAAGGAAGCACACAAGATATGGTCCGGCTATGTCGAGTCCAAAGTACGGATGCTTGTACAAAGATTGGAGACACATCCCAGCATAGCACTGGCGCGCGCATTCAATAAAGGTTATGAGCGCAAGCATCTCTGCCGAAACAGCGAAGAAATAGCCAAGGTCCAGGAAGGCGTCTTGGATTTCATTGTCCCCGCCGATGAGGGAAAGACCAATGAGACAGCGCAACAGCCCCAAAATGGAGATGCCTCTCCCCCACAGCAAATACCTGGCCTCAAGGCGGGAGGGGGTGTTGTCATCAAGGGCGAACCTGGCCTTGATGATACAGCCATGCCTCCTCCGCAACAGGCCCTCAAATCCGAAAACAACGGGGCTGTCCAAACTGAGGACAGTGTCAAAATCGAGGGTGATGTCAAAGACGGACCAACCGAGGTCTACACCACAACTCACTATATCGGCTTGGAATTGAACAAAGGTAGGTTATCCCACTTCTCGACGGCAACGGGAAGATGCCTCGGATTGCAGGCTCTATCCGTGTCAGCAAAGTATCAAAGCTTTAATCCCGTTTCTTCGGAATGACTAGGTACTGACCAATAAGATGCGAAATCTTTGGATCTCTCATACCAGGTTGACGAGTTCAAGTCGCTTTGTACATCCTGGGTGAAATACAAGGATGAATTACAAGGTGTCGCCACTATTGGAGTTCAGCATTGCCGGAAGTGAGTTATTCATGAGGAATCCGCCCAGCTCAAGACTGATCAGCTTTCCTTCCTAGCATTAACCTTCCCGACGACGTTTTCGAACCTGGCGAGACGAAGCCCCAAAAGAAGTCTGCCTCTAAAGCCGTTGCGAATGGCAAGAAACGAGGGGCTTCAGAGGTAATTGATCCGCCTTGCCCAGAGCAGGGGCCTTCGCCTGCACCAAAACGAGTCGCCCTACCCGACAAGCGATGAGCGGTTGGAACTGATGTGTGAGCAGGATCGTCCGCCACCACCGGCGAAACGGCAGCAGCCTTCCGTAGCTGCAGCCGGCTAAACGGCATGCCCCAGTTGACTTTGTTGCACTGTTGCCCCCAGATTTTTCAACAATGTTTGAAAGTGATCTTGATCCATATTCGGCATGAGTGGCACTGTCTGCCCTCGTCGTCTACTCCAGGATCATAACACCCACCTAATTCAACCGCCATGAGCTCTAGACATTTGGCTAACTAGCAGAACCGTATTTCCCCAACGGCCGAATACACTCCCAAGATGTTCCTGTTCACTCTGAACACTACTCCAATCGCCAGCTCTTTCTGGCGGATGTTGATGAGAACGACATTCCTCGTCCCCTGTTCCTTGTACTCTACACTACAACACTGATCCTATTTTACAAATTTCCTCGGCATAATCAGACGGAATATTGCAGAATCGCTGAGCGCTTATTCTCACAAAAGGTTTCGTGGGTTGGCTGGACGAGGTTCCAGAAACCCCATCACTTAGATTTTTAATTAGACACCCGTAGTAGCGGCCAGTCATGACAAAGGGGGTACTAATCTAGCCATTTGCAAAGCTTTCATCAAACTTCGAGAGGTTTGACGCTGGATAACACAATCGCTAGAACAATAGAACCAAATTGGAACCTCCAAAAAGCTCATATGGAACCATCAATGTGTTTAATAGTAGCCGTGCTGTGTGTAAGCCAGGAGAGGTGGTTGCAAATTACATGTTAAATTACTTTTATTCAACCCAGCTTGTTTATTCAATCGTCGTCTTCGTCGCTCCCACTTGACCAGTCATCCTGATACGCATCCGCGATTTCGGCGAGCTCATTTGATAGAGTCTCACGTTCAGCTACTGAAACAGACCGAACGGTCTGGGCTTTGAGGGCTTTTACATGAGTGCCAACCGACTTGGTGGTGGAGAGTATGGTCTGGACCGCGATCTCAGGCTGGTCCTTGCTCTCCGAGTAGATGTGCGGGAAACTATCGAGAATAGGGAACTTCAAAGACGAGTTAAACCTACATCAGAAGTTAGTAACGGGTTCCGCAAGCATCAAGGGGGCCAGTTTCCTCACTTCTGCTTCACCGGATCCCCAACAAGGCGGCGTGGCGGTTGCCTTGTATCCTCTTCTGCGACGTTTGCTTGATCTGGCTGAGAGCCTCGCAACATATTAACCTCACCAAAGAGACGACCCCTTTTCGTCTGTTTGCCGTTCAAGCTAGCCAGCCTTCCAAAGCTGAAGAGGTCAACGCCATCATTGTCATCATCCAGAGTCCCCGCCACAGCCCCTACACCCAACCGCAGACCCGCCAAGGTCTGACTACCACCCGTGTTGAGGCCCCCAGCCATGTCCCACATGGATGGCGCATGAGGCATCGCCTTCTCCGTCAAACGAGACCCAAGATTGGCAGTCTCGATTGCGGTTGCGAATGCAGCGGAGACATGCCAGGGCGACGCCGGGTCGACATGTGTGTTAGAAGGGACGCCGCGCTCGGGCATCATCAGCGGCACCACCATGGAAGCTGACGAACGGACCTCGGCGATGGCTTGCGCCGTATTGGTGAGACGGAGCTGGCGCTTCTCCCTGGTCACGTCGACCAGAGGGTTCTGGAGACCCCACAGCCAAATGCAGGATTTGGGATACTCGTCCCGCAGCTCGTCGAGATACTTGGCAGCGAAACCTCCCCAGGCGTCATCCAAGGTTGCGAGGGCCTGTATCCCCTGCATCCTGTCGCATTCCTCTACAAAAGGTCTGAAGTCGCGATCAACAATATCAAACTCCTTGCCCAGGGTCTGGAAAAGCTCAACACCCATGGGGTATCGTTCGAAGGGGCGGATAGAGGAGTTGAGCTCGAAGTCATAGAGCTGAACCAGCGATTTGGGGTGGTAGTAGACACGGGAGAAGTCCGACCAGTACCGGACAGCCGATTTGGAAAGTCGTTCGGGCTGGCGGCCGTCGTCGAGACTCAGCTGATAAGCGCTCACTTCAAGAGGCTGCTGCTTGTGAAGAACGGATTTGCCTGGCCTAAGGGACAAAATCAGAACTAAAAAGAGGAAGAGTTTTCCAGTAGTGTTGGGCGGATGAGGATGCTCACCACACGGATGAAGAAGAGGGCACGTCTGGTTGAACCGCAGCCGACTCATCCTCATACAAGGCATTGATTTTACGAAGAGAACCAAAACCACCTTTGAGATCATAAATCACCGTTCTCGGGAGAAAAGTGTCTGACCCGTCAGCGGCAACACCAGGACGCCAGTGGACATCATGATCTACAGAGGACTCTTGGTCTTGGGAATAGGTGAAATAAGCCTCCTAGAGTGTAGTTCCAATGTAAGAATTCATCCGCGGATTGGCGAGTGACTTGTCAGGATATCTTACCTGAGCATTCCAGAAATGGGTAGCAGTGTAGTTGCTCAGATGGCCCAGCTGCAATGTGACTATCTCGCGCATGGTGAGGAGAGTGCGGCATGAAAAGGCATGAGACAGAGGCTATTTGCAACACCATGTACATGTATGTAGGCAAAGAGTGGATGATGGCTCATGTGGGCTAGGGCAGGCAAACGGATAGAAAGGGTTTGATTGAAAAGGATTTTTTGGCCCTTGGATTAAATCCTCGAAGGACTGTATACGGAAGGGCATTCTAATAACTCCTATTTGATCGAGAAAAAAATTCCCAGCATCTCGATATGTAGCCAGTTGTGTATTATACGAAGCAGTTGGCCGTCTCAGTACCCGTAGTGACCGTTCGCACGCTTCACCACTACCACCAGCAGCATCGCGCATGCAGGCAGCCAGTGAGGACGATGTTAAGGGTCAGGTCACTGTGTGTGTGACGTAAGAGTCTGATATGCATCTAAAGGGGCTTTATTATCATCCCTGCTTCTGTGGAAGTACCTCTCTCCACTGAGGTACCAGGCAAGAGAGCGAGCGCTGTGGGCACCCACTGGGAGGTACCTGGCCAGGCTCACCTATGCCCAATCCCAGCTCAATGCCGGTGCCGTGAGGCGAAACCAACCTCCATCGCCAGATGACCATGACCACCCCAAACAATACCTACCCTACATGTGCGCATGGAATCACCTCATCTCCAGAGATCATCTGGCTCTCTGGCGTGAACTAGTGAATGGACGTGCTGTAACTGCGTCTTCATATTCGGACTCTTGATTTGATCACTTTACTAACCACTGATCCGCCATTTACGAAAGATGGCTTCGGCATCTCAGGATAGCAATACGCGGAGCCAACCTGCCGGGGGCGAACTGGCTTCCTTCAAATCAATACCAGCAAAGGAAACCAGTCCTGTACCAACAGTCGGCGACATAGCGCCCTCCTCACCCAAGCTACGACTACCGGATGGGAAACTAACAATTATTGCGTTCCTTCGCCATTGCGGATGTCCCTGTAAGTAATTCCCTATTTACGAGGCATCTCTTTGTCATCCTACCTGCTCACACGCGCGGCTGGCCTCCCCTAGTCGCGGAGAAAACATTCAGGACTCTCGCAGATGTCTCCGAAGAGCATCATGATGTCCACTGTATTGCAGTCTCGCACTCATCGGAAGAGGCCACAGACCGTTGGCTTCCACAGGTCGGCGGAACCTGGAGCACCGACGTCATCGTCGACGAGGAGCGTGATCTTTACGCCAAATGGGGTCTCGGGTTATCTTCCACATGGCATGCCTTGAGCCCTTCTGTCCTCTGGTCTGCGTACAAGCTCGGCACCGGAGAGGGCATCTGGAATCGAACAACCGAGAGCGGAAGCAGGTGGCAGATGAGCGGCGCATTTGCTGTCAACCGGTTTGGCACGGTTGTCTGGGCCCACGTAGCCAGGTCTGCCGATGATATCCCTGATTTCCAGCAAGCACTGAAGGCTCTTTCTGGAAAATAAGCAGTTGCCGGCAAGAAAGGCTACGTGGTATACAACTTATATCCCATGTCAATTATTGGCGGTTTTGGATTTCTCAGGATCGGCCAAGTGGTGATGAAAGGTGTACTAAATTGTGAAACCAGCTTGAATTCATAGCACAGTAAAGATATTAATAATATGGTTTTGGATTCTGGAGCTGAGTGAACAAGAATAAATATCGACCAACCATGCCCACTGGGTATCGTCAAAAGGAACACTGCAACAAGATGTTGGCCCAAACGCCACGCTTGAATAACTGTGGTCCTCATAGAGGCACATACAACCGTAGAGCGCCCATGGGTACCCTAGGCAGCCCTACACGTCCCGGCTCCTCAAAACTCGCAACCCATGCTGCTACGCATCCTATAACACCAAAACTACTCAGAAGCTCAACCGCGAAGCCGCCGTTGCGCCTGAGCCGGCTCGCCACCTGCAAGAGACCCAACGGATCTTGGTGAACCAAAGGCGATTCAGGCTTCGCTCTTCTCCTTCGTCTCGAGGATTTCCGCCTGGAGCTATGCTGGACTAAATCACATTGCTGGGCGCGCAGAGTCGATTCCAGGCTCATTCTTTGTGCTGCGACGTGAAGATACTGTTCTGCTTCCAAGCTACGCCTTAAGCTCTGGGCCCAGTTCGTAAATTCCAATCGATCCCAGTACTGCGTCCTAACAAATGGATTGAGAGTTAGGACAGGGCTGAGAGCGGAGTCCATTGGGCGGCGAATAGTTAACGCCCAATCTGGAGTGGGATATAGTTGTCGCTCTTGGGATTGTCGCCACTGGACACATTTAGACGCTGCAGCATGTCGGACCCATGCACAACCATCCGTGGAGAACAGTCTCTCCACAAGCTGTTCCAGGTCGGTAGGCACGAGAGGCTGTGCATATCCAGAATTCATGAGAATGCTTGCATCCATCGTGTCGTAGTCTGGCCGTGTCACACTTGATACGGCGTACACATTCATGGTACTGGCTTCTGCTGAACCGGATGTTGAGGGATCGAAAGAAAAGCATTCAAGGTCGTTGTCGACGAAATCTTGTCTAATATGATCCTTGATTCTCAAAATTTCTCCTGCATCAAGCTCGTCGCAACGTGCCAAAACAGGGATTACATTAGTCTTCTTTTCAAGCACCTTAATGCTTCGGATATCGGCGGGTGCAAGTCCTATATCGCCGAAGGTTAGCTCACTACGCTATCAAACCAAACAGGGTGCCAATTTTACCTGTTCTAGGTATCATATATAATACGATGTCGACAATACCTTCTCCCCCACTGCTTAGAAGGTACTCGAGGTCCGTATCTCCCATGGGTTTTTCTAACAGGGGCGATAGTTGGGAGTCAACATAGCCGATCTCGCTGGTTTCCTGAGCGGTTTAGGTTAGCCCAGAAGACATGGAGGGAACTGAATTGCATGGTTGCTCACCGGATAATGAGGCTGATATCCCGAACGAACAACGAAGCAAACGTTTCTATCTAATATTTCGCTTGTCGAATATCTCCTCTGGCCAGCGGTTGACGCGGAATCCACGCTCGTTCTCCACCACGGCAATGGCCGTGTGCTGGCATATAGTTCGTTCATCGAATCCGGCCCCGGCGAGATAGCGTTATCGACATGAACAATATGTTGGCAGCACTGGGCGATGGATTGGACCAAGGATGTCTTGCCCACTCCTAGTTAATAGTCAGTGATCTTACTCTTTATTAGTAGGCTGAGATGCTCACACAACCACTGACCTTGTTGACCTGCTATAAGTATCTTGAGCTTCCCTAACGACTTGCCAGCCTCCGAGAAGGGGCGCCGCTGGGGAACAACAACACTTGGCATGATAAGCTGCGGCGCGCCTTCGGCTCGTAAACGACTGTCACAGCTCGGTGCATCTGAACGGCGCAGACGCCGAGGCGACGATGCAGTGGACGAATCTCTTCTGGATGACGGGGAACTACTCATTCCAGACATCGGGGGTGAAAGATCCGTCGTCACATGTTGAGAGTGAGTATGAGACGACACGGTCTCTAAATCTAGATCGAGGGCGGAAGATGAGAACGATGCGAGGCTCTCTATCGTTGGGGAGGGCGAAGCTTGCCGGTCGCGTGGGGAACGAGCGAATGCCCCGGGGCTGCGCTTCCTCCGAAGGGAGTTGTAGAATCTTGGCGGCTCTACAGCAACATTGTCCTGGGCAGAATCCAGCGTAGCCTCTGTCGTGAAGCAGAAGCTCATGGGAAACGCTGGCTCGCTGGATGGTAACACGTCGTCGCTGCCAGCCCGGCCATCCGCGACGTGGGTCAGGGGCCTCATGACGCAAGATAAGATGCAGGATATATGGGGAGAATGTTGCAACTGGCTTGCTGAATAGCCTGGGTGGCGGTTCCAAGCAGTCAGAGTAAGGACATGAAGCAGAGTGATTGATATATCAGGGTGTCTACAGTAACGAGTTTGAGGGCAGAGATCAGAGCTGGGACAGTGACGCCTGATGGTGGTAGATGATAGTTTCATTCATACACCACCTGAAGCTTTATCGAGCGATACTTACGCCATCACCAGCTGATGGCTGGCGCATCAGGTACTTCATAGGATAGGCCCCGAGATAGGGGAGGGGTAATGCCCCACCAGCGGCGGGGACGAGTCCCAGAGCCGAACGTGTTAGCGACATCCATGGCCCTGGCAGTGGAGCATGCGTAGAGGTACAACGCTTGTGGGTAGCCCGAGTCCACTAAGCAGGCCGTTCAGGGGACCTGGCCAAGTACCGGGAAGCACCCCAAGCCCGTGCGGCACACAGGATACCTGGTAGGGACAACGGGCCAGTTACTTCCCCTGTGGGCCCCTTCTGGTCTCGGGCAGGCGCTTCGCGCTTAACTGTGACTAACTTGGGGTGTCAGACCCAAAGCCTCAAGGAAACGGAATCCCCAGAATAGTCCAGCCAGCCCGGCCAACGCTGACCTTGCGCCTGCCACGACGTATATAACCTGACTTCGTCTCGCTGCGACCGCTGCCCTCTTTCGACCACTACAATATACTCTCTCTCTCTCCTCTCTCCTACCGCCACCACTCCACATATACCCAACATGGACGGCAAACGACACCCCAGCTCGTTCCAGCAGCTTGAGAAGCTTGGAGAGGGAACATATGCAACTGTGAGTGGTAGCAGTGCCCTCCGCGTAGTAAGCATCGTCATATGCTAACACGCTCTTCTCAGGTGTTCAAAGGCCGAAATCGCCAGACGGGCGAGCTTGTTGCGCTCAAGGAGATTCACCTCGATTCTGAGGAGGGGACCCCCTCAACAGCTATCCGCGAGATTTCCCTCATGAAAGAGCTCAAACACGAGAATATCGTCGGCCTCCACGATGTCATCCACACCGAAAACAAGCTGATGCTCGTCTTCGAGTATATGGATGGTGACCTCAAGCGGTACATGGATACTCACGGTGAACGCGGAGCCCTGCCACCCACCACCATCAAGTCCTTCATGTACCAGCTCCTGAAGGGCATTGATTTCTGTCATCAAAACCGTGTTCTCCACAGAGATCTGAAGCCTCAGAATCTTCTCATCAATAACAAGGGTATACTGAAGCTGGGAGATTTTGGTTTGGCGCGAGCCTTTGGAATTCCGGTCAACACCTTCTCCAACGAAGTTGTCACCCTGTGGTACCGCGCCCCCGATGTTCTGCTCGGCAGCAGGACGTATAACACCAGCATTGATATTTGGTCGGCTGGCTGCATCATGGCGGAGATGTATACTGGCCGCCCGCTTTTCCCTGGAACAACCAATGAGGACCAGATCGTGAAAATCTTCAGAATTATGGGTACGCCCACTGAGCGCACATGGCCGGGTATCACACAGCTTCCCGAGTATAAACCAAATTTCCAGATGTATGCCACCCAGGATCTGAGGAACATCCTGCAGGCAATCGATCCCACCGGCATTGATCTGCTTCAACGTATGCTGCAGTTGCGACCAGAACTGCGAATCAGCGCTCAGGACGCTCTTCAACACCCATGGTTTAATGATCTCGTCATGCAGCAGCAGCAACATCACCACCACCACCAACAGCAGGCTATGCAGGCGCAAGCCAGACACTACCAACAGGGCGTCCAAACCCCTGGCTATGACGGATACAACTAGACTTTTCTTTGTGCTTTTTTCCTTTTTTTCTTTTTTGGAGTATCTGGGAGACGAAATTACTTTAATTGCGGTCTGAAAACATTCGGGTTTTTATATTTCCCACTTTTCTTTTTTGAACACATTTTCTTCTTCGCCGGGATTAGGGTGGTATTGGAGTTGATCGCGGCTTGCATATGGGTCAAAGCATGTTTAATGATAGAGGGTTCTGTCGAATTCTTGTGTGCGAGCAAATCCCGAAGACTCTGGATGATAGGGCGGTGATACCTTTTATCAAAAATCTGCCATTAGTGAAAATGTTTTGCTATGATATACTTCTTTCCCAAACTTTTGCCCACCACTCTCCGTATGTGAAGTTTTCTTTAATGTCTATTTACAAGACTGCCGTCCACTGGGCTCCTGAATTTGCGTTTATTTGGCTCTTTTAGCCAAGTTTCCGCTAATGCAGCTTCTTTATCATCATCTGGCGCGAATCCCATTGTCTCTCGCAGTTTCCCGATCTCATCTCGAACTCTCTTCGCAACGTCAATCCTCAACTGAACAGCTTCGGGCTGATCCTTGAGTAGGTCTGGATCCCCGGCCTTCTCGACGAGGCTCCTCCACTGAGACCGCTCACGCTCAAATAAACGGCCGACGTTTGTTGGCTCTCCGATGATCATACGGAACCGTTGTCCAATGCGTGGCGCCCATCGAGGGAAACCCCTCTCCTCGGACATGATGTTTTGCGTGCCATGCACGTACATGGGGATGAAATCAGGGGCTGGTTCGCTCTCAAGAATAAGTCGAGACACCCCCCATTTGAAATACCTCAAGGTCCCCTCTTGATTCTGATGGCAGCATGCTTCAGGAAAGACATGGACCCATGCGTGGTGATTGGCTACAAACTGCGCTGGAGACACGAAGGAATCCTTGCTGTCTGTAGAGAAGGTAAGAGGGTTTTTCTGGTTGATAACTGATGAAGGGGAGGAAAGTAACTTCAAGGCCTCAGTCATGGTTGGCTGAAACAGGCCCCCATGCGATGAATGCCATGAGCGATGGGTGGGCAGAACTTGTCCTAGGCTGAAGAATGTAGAGAGAGCCCTATAGCGTAGGTTGTTAAGACCAATACTTGGGAAGTTATTGGGGTTATGGAAGTAAGGCGTACTTGTTCTTGAAGCAAATGTCATGGGCGCCCAGACCCCAGCGAAGGTTCTCGGGATCAAATGCATAACGCATAGGAAGGATACCCCAGATCAAAGGATCGTCGATACTTTATGAATTGTCAGATTATATGGAATAAATATATGGCCTGTTTTGGTGGAAGAAACACATACACTGCAGCGTGGTTACAAACCGTCAGCAGCCCACAGTTCCGTTGATGCGTCTTTCGCTTGTCGAGAACTCCAAGGAGATTATCCAGCCCATCAACTTCAACACTGTTCAGGCCGTAGAGAAACCCGCGCGATAACATTCCAACAGATCCCATAACAGCCATGGAGCCAAGTCTCCATGGTAGACTTGGTCGCTGAGGCGGCGCCGTCCCAGACATGATTGTTTGTTTCATAACTCAGCCATCCTCTGATGCTCCAAGTAATTTTAGATCGGCCCAAGTCCCTTACCCTAAACGCAAAGGAACAAGGCCAATTGGCTGGAGAAAGCTAGATATGAGTTTCCTGGCAGCGGATCAGAGGCGGCAGAAAACAAAAGCTCCAGGTTAAATTGGCTAGGTAGCCAGCTAACCAGACAAAAAGTTGTTGCGCGTCGGGATTCGAAATCGAATTAGGTGGGTACTTCAGGTTGTCGCTCCTTACCCGGTAGCCGACGAGTACCTGCATCGGAGGTACATAGCCTCAAGCGCAGGCAGGTACTCGACCTGTATCCGCATATCATCTGAATTTAAACCTCCAAGACGCGCATATCGTCGGCCAAGTACCTATATAAAGCACTTAACCCGAGGATTTCGACCTTGAGTTCCCGGGCTTTTGCTCCTATTCTCCGGCAATGTCACACAGTAAGCCCGTCCCAGCGCCCCAGCCATTGCACACTCGCTGCTAGCCTCGGATCAATGGATTAATCAGTCAGGCAAAAGAAACACCTCCCGACCCGTCTTCACCTCGCACGAACGCCAGCTGGCCAAGGCAAGCTGGAAGTCGTCTTCCGCACGCCTGAACAGAGACTCGTACCTGCCGTTCGGCTCCTGTAGCCTATGCCTCGAACTCGCCCGAGACCCAGTCACATGCTCACGGGGCGACATCTTTTGTCGCGAGTGCGCGCTCGCCAACATCCTCTCACAGAAGAAGGAGCTTAAGAGGGCGAACAAGGCGCGCCGAGATGCGGAACTGGAAGCGACCCGAAACGATGCGCTGCAGGACGAGGAGGACCAAGCGCAGGTGGTGAAAGACTTCGAGCTGGTCCAGGCTGGCCTGCAGGCCGGTTCAGGCTCGGCCGGTAAAAAGAAGAATTATTTTGTTGAGGAAGCTCCTGCGAGTTCAAGCAATGGAGGGCAAGAGCTCATAGTCGCCGGCAGCCATGGAACAAAGCGGAAGCTGGCTTTGGATGAAGAAGAGCTCAATCGTGCAGCAAAAGAAGACAGGGCAAAAGCAAGGAGAGCAACTGAACAAGAGAAGGTAAGGGGATATTCCCGCATGAGAGAGGATGGATATGGCTATCCTATCCTGGACTCGACTGGGGAAGCTGTCTATGGAATTGCCCGAGAGCTAACAAGATGTGTTGTTGCAGGCCTCCAGTGATTCTCTCCCGTCCTTCTGGACACCATCACTCACCCCAGACATTCGAGATAGCAAACTCGCACCGGCAGCGAAGAAGGCGAAAGATACACCGCTCTGCCCAGCCTCCAACGACGGCAATTCCCATCCTTTCTCCATGAACAAGCTCATCACCGTTCGCTTCCACGAACAATTCGATACAGCCTCCCAGCAGGACAAAAGGTCGTGCCCCTCGTGCTTAAAGCTGTTAACTAATGCCTCGGCGCCTATTATTGCAAAGCGCTGCGGCCATGTATTATGCTCCAAGTGCGTCAAGCAGTTTATTTTGCCCTCTGCCAAAGATGCGAGCCAGGACACAGATTCAATCATCACATGCTATGTCTGCGACCAGACCGTCGCGCTGGCGTCCGACGCACCTGGGTCATCACAAGGCCTCCCTGTAGGACTGGTTGCTCTCAAATCTGAGGGAACAGGATTCTCAGCTCGGGGAGCCAGCACAGTCGAGAAATCCGGGGTTGGTTTCCAGTGTTAGCTCCACCGTCACAGAAATATCAACAATTAGCCCTTAACAATTATCCACTTGCCCATAGATGCGGACATAATGGTAGATTAATACATTTGATCTCTAGCTAAGGTGCAATTACTTCTACAACAACAGACAAGCATACGCCATAACGAATATTGGAGGCAAAGAAGCCAAGACGAATATCTTGTGGTTGAGAGAGCCGATGAGCTATCGCCACCTGAATAATATTGTATTGTATAGTTTGTACTTGGCCTCATGTCAGAATCCCGAATCATTTGATTTAGGCTACTACCAGCCCTTTAAAAAAGAAGTTGGCAAATTCAGGTTCTATTCTACTTAGGGCAAAGATAGTAGCCTCTCGAGGATCATGCCTCCCTTTTTGCAATAGCTGCATTATGAGTATGAGTGAGCAAACCCATGTTCAGTGTTAGGAGAACTATTACGAAAGCTTGGTGATATCTGTCTGCTGTAGTAAAATGTGCAAGTAGCCAGGCTCTGAATTTCTCCGTCTGTATGTACTCAGCCTCTTGAGATATAGCCAATGTATTGTTGCCCGGCGCCCTGACCTATAAGTTATTTGATGTTGCAAACCCCAATCCCCAGCGCCATGCAATGCAAAACCATCAATCCATAAAACATTCTAAGACGACATCTCTTTCCCAAACACTAAAAAACAGACAAAGCCACACAATTCCAAGCAGAAAGCGAGGAGGGGGGTGAAGCAGAGGAGATTCGGCTCGCCTCAAAAAGCTCCACAATCATTGATCATAATCATTATATGTAGCACGTTCACACGTGGCCGTGATCTCTATCCTCTGCTGGCCACAGAGGGCCTTCGGTGTGTTCCGGTGGACCCTGAAATGCTCGGTACGCGGCTGGCGGTACCAAAGCCAGCCATATTGATCTCTGGCTCGCCCGGAGCGTCTTCTCCCTCGGGAAACGCCGAGTTCACATCAACAAACCTTGTGTTGTCGAGACCTTTCACTGCAAAAATATTGTTGCGCCCCCCATTCGTAGCCATTTGTAGCTGTTCATGAAGCCTGGCCAATTGATATTGGCGCTTAATCGGTACGAAAATCGGCTGTGGTATAACGGGCTGGGGTTTCCAGTTGGCAAGTGCGCTCATCACTGCTCCAGCCTCCTCGTCTGAGTCAACGGGCCCGTTATTCATCTCGTCCTCGTCTTCAAGAGGGGCATTTGCGTCTAACGCGGCCTCTGATAACCGGGGGAAAAGAAAAAAAAAATGTCAGTCTTGTACAAGAAAGCAAGCTCGGTCGGGACTAAGACGGGAGGGGCTCACTCTGTTGCTTCGCCTGATTCTTCTTCTGGTAGGCAGCCAGAAGCATGTCATAGGGGAGCGATCTACCCGCGACAGCTCGTTTAGCACCCATACTATGACTCTTGCAAGTAAGGGACCTGGCACAGGGCTGTCCGTTTGGAAGTATAACACCACATTGTCGTTCGACATCAACAGGACCTATTCAATCTTGTTAGTGCCAACTTCTTGAAAGTCTCTTGAGTCCGGGTCCTTACCTTTAGTCTTGGGGGCTTTCGCCTTGGGTTCATCCTTCTTCTTTTTAGCCTTGGGACCTTTCTCGAAATCTGCGTCTGCCTTTCGCTTCTTCCCAGAACCGTCGGGCTTCTTCCCAGGCTTCTTCGACGCCTTGCCTTTCTTGCCAGGGGAACCTTCAGCATCATCGCTGTCATCGTCCTTGCCATCCCCGTTCGCTTCGTCGGCCTTTCGTTGCTCTTCCTCCCTGGCAGCTTCTTTGGCTCTTTCCCTCGCCTCACGCGCCTCTTTTTTACGCTGCGCCTTCTCCCTCTTGACCTTTAGACATTGGTTGATATGAGCGGTCGCAGCGGTTTTCAGAACGTTCTTCTTGCAGTGCTTGCATTGCTGCAATTCAGGGCTGTCCTCCAACGGCCGGCCAGTCGCAAAGGCATCTCGTGCATCGTCTTCCAGCTGGTTTACGACAGGGCTGGGCGATACAGCTGTCGATGAAGCTTTGTCGTTCTTGTTGTCTCCTTCTGCACAGCCCAACGTATTAGCAGGTACAAAACGGCATAAGCAACCGGGCAGAGATGGAATGCGCCGTCCTCCAGCCGCAATGCGCACCTACCCTCTAAAATGCTGCCATCCCTCCAGTTCCCAGGCTTGCTGTGCTTGGGAGGCACTTTTCTCAATTTGATAACGCCATTCTTGATCTCCTTCTTCGATGCCACTTTAATGGTTTGCTCGTCACCTGCCAGGTTGAACTTTTTGTTAGTGGTGCTTCTCCAACATGAGGTGGGCTGCGGGATGGCGCGAACCGGCCATGTCGACCAGCGCGTAGGTCCGGCTGGGGGATGAGTCTCCAGAAAAACAGTCAAGGTCTCATCTGCAGGGAGTCTGAGTATGGCCTTGATGGCCGTCAACAGAATAAAAACGAAGGGTATTGATGCCGAGTCTGCTATTAGAAGGGAGATAGATAGTCTGGGATGCTGGATATCGTAACACGTGCTGGAGGTTGTCGCGAGCCAAAGGACCCCATACAGTAATAATAGCAGTACGTAGCCGATTGCGGTGTGTGGAGAAACAAAGTAAGTCCAGTCAGTACCCACGTAGAAGGCATGGCGTGGTAGGAAGCGTTCAGGCTGCCCATCAGCGCAACAATAATCTTCCGACCGCACCTAGTGCAGCCTAATCCACCAACACACTGCCAATAGTTGGTGCCTGATGGCATCCCAAGGTAACATCGCCAGTGCACCATACCGCAGACCAGCAGAAGTCGATGCCTGAGGGTTCTTTCGTAGTCACCCAATAATGCAGGTATACATCATCATGAAAATTGATCCACTTAGAAGGGACATCCAGAATATGCACAACGCTGAATTATACCCCAATGTACAATGTAGGCAGAGACAAGCTAGTACTCGTCCGCTAGGTGCTTCATAGATCCATGTAGTTTCCTCCGTTCATCCCAACCGTACGCCCTTTTCCGAACTCATGCTAATCAAGCAGGTAAAATTCCCACAACTCCTTTTTCGCTAGCTTGCTCCGAAAACTCACTGATAAATGCGCCTAGCTCCGCCATTGTGCTAGGAAAGGAATGCCCGTAAACTCCCAAATATACCCGTCAACCCCATCTGCCAGAAGCCTGGTCATTTTTGCGCCACAGTTCTCCCTTCCATATATATATGAGCTCTTGACCTTCTCTCCATTACCGAAAGACGTTCAACAGAATTCCCGACAGGCAAAAGGTAGTGAATGAAATACAAGAGGGGATGATGCACAAAAGGAAAAGAAAATAATAAAAGGAGGGAACAAACAACTAGATGAGTGAGAAAATGAGAGGTCATTAGATAGAAATATTACTTGAGAGTGAGAGGGGGTAGACCAGGTTTGATTCAACCGGTTGATGATGATGCTGGCGCAGGGTTCAAATTCTGCAATCGATCACGATGCATCATCAACTCGTTCATCGTCCCCTTGGCATTTAGCATGCCCATGTCTCCCCAGATACACTCCATGATTGCGTAAGTCCAATCGAGGTCCTCTATTGAAACCCCCGGAGCGCAAGCTGCACCCTTTAGGTGAAAAAGAAGAATTGGTATCGCAGCTGAGCCAGCCCCACCACCTGGTTGTATTTGTCGCACAGAGAGATTGCCCTTTTCCCCAAGAAGCGGGTGGCGCCAATGCGAAGGGGTGCTCGCAAATAAGTCTTTACTGAGTCGTTGAATGATTTGAAGAGATGAGGGTGCCCCGGGGACCTTCGAGGAGGTTGCTATCGAAGGGGAACCCTTAATAATTTCGAATATTGCCTGGTTGACGAGAATCCTCGCCCAACGATAGTAATTCCACATGGCTGCAATCCACATATCGGAATAGCGATGGTACTCTCCCCGGAAGATAGCAGCGGGATGGAAATGGTTTCCATTTTCTGTTGAAAAGAGCCACTGGCCGTCAAGAGACTCCTCCCATGTAGCAAGACGACTATCCAAGCGCTCTAATTTTTGGAGAGCATCTTTCCGGGCAGCACCTTGAAGGCTAGGGGAACGAAACCGTATACAAGAGGAAAGCTCGACAAACTGAGCAACCAGCAGTCCTAGTTCAGCCGCTGGCTCATCCTCCGGCGTCATAGCCTGGCGAGCGAAAGTCACCCAATCAAGAAACATTGGAGGGAGGTCCATGCCGGTTTCATAAGCGGTTATGAACTATTGTTGATCAGCGTCAAGAATCCCAATAAAAAAAGGCCCGCTCAACTAACCGTTGAGTAACATAGTTGCAATAGGGGTCGAACACCACCACACTGGGCTTGCTGCATGGGAAACCAACTCCGAATTAGAGCAGCGCCGCCAGCTACGTGAGCATAGACGGTCCCCGCACTCAATTCCGTGCCTTTAACTAGCTATTTGTTTTGTGAGTACCAACGCTGGGAAATAATGGGCGGCAAACATACCTCAAAAAGAGCCAACAAAACAACTAAACGACTTGTGACATCGACAGAGGGCTGTTGCTTGGACTGTATCAATTGACCTGCGGTACGAAGCGCGCTACCATATTGCCTACGAGCTGTTGACATAAGTTCGAGGTCGCCTTTAAGATTTGATAGCCCAGCCAGTCCAACAGCGGTGAAGATATCTCGCAAAGCAGGGTCCCAATGCCATCCGCCCATGCTCAGTTCTGCGGCAGTTCTAGGCTCGTCCGGGTGCCCAATAAGATAGCGGTTGATGTAAAACCGAAATCCTTGATCTTCGTAACTTTCCCCAATGGACGGATGCACACCTCCGTGGAGATAGGGAGCGAGGTCCGTCGAGAACCCCGCATGTGAAGATGGAGGCGAAGGCAGGGTCGAAGCGGCCGAGATTTGGTCATGAGGAAGGGTTGAAGCGGGAGGTTTCGACAAAGTCGGTTCGGTGGGGGTAGATCCCGAAGCCTCTGGGACATCATCTACACCCCACTGCGCATGAGCCTTCTGGATAACCTTGCTGCTCTCATCTCGAAACATAAGAGAAAGTTGGTCGCGATATCCCGGGCATTTCTTGCCAACCCGAACGCATTGGGAGCAATCGGGCCGGAGCTTGTCGCACTGCATAACAAGTGATCGACGTTAGTTGACCCATTCTCAGTACATTTAGTGGCCGATTAGAAAGATACACCGCAGCCACATTCAGCATATTAATATAAAATGAGAGGGAGAATTACCTTGATTCGACGGGTGCGACAACTCTGGCAGCCCTGAGAGGCCTTACCGCAATAAACCATGGCGTTTTTGTTGGGCAATGCGAGGAAGGGTAACAGGCGACAGATTTCTCACCCCGTCACCCTTGGTTCAGGCCGAACTTAGAGGACCAGTGATAGATAGAAGAGAAAACGGCGATCTGAACCCATATCAACGAGTGAATAACGACGAATCTGTTCACGTGTGGGAGATGCCGCTCCTATCCCATCAACCAGTGTAGCGTGAAGCCAACAATGCCCGAGTATATGTTGACAGAGTTCTAACTTTCTCTCCCAAAACCACACTATCTACCCTTTCAAGTCACAAACGTTAGCATTATGTGCTTATTTAGTGAATAAGATTCCAAGAACAAGGAAATGAGGAAAACCTTCCATAGCGGATGCAATGGAATGTATAAGCGATCTGGGTTTGATGGAAAGGACAACGTCGTGATGTGCTCCAGTTGATCTCTAACCTCTACAACTCCGACGCGGCAAAATCCTCCGTTTGTAGACTGTGACGCAAATCTCTGGTCAAGATGGTGTTTGGCACCTCAAATGCTTCATTCAGATGGAGCCGATGACTCCCAGGGCTTCCCAGCCAAGAACAAGAAAAATCGCAAGAAACGTGCTGGAGCGAAGAGAAAGGGCAAGTGTAATCAAGTTGGACATGTTCCTTGGTGAACGAGAAGGATTTTGCGGATAGGGACTTTACCTTGCCCGACAACAGATGGCGAGATCAGCAGCTCAGTGCTGTTTAATTACATGTAATCCAGGTCGTACACATGAGAACCGAATCCTTTGGCGCTAAATGCAAAACGGCGAAAGTGATATTTAGACAAATACCAGCTCGAATCAAATGAGGGGAGAGTGCATCGTTCGTTGGCTCGTTCGTTTTCTCGTAGGTTCGTTCGTATCGTGGATTCGTGGGATGGAGCGCAACGTGTTGCATGTACCCAGACGAGCGCGGTGATGGTACCAGCCAACAAAGAACCTCCCAGACAGATGCTGATTGGAAAGACGGTCGGATTTCCCAATCAACTAATCGGCCGGGGCCACGTAAAGAAGAGCAGCAAGATTGTCACCTTCCCAGATTGACAGCCGTATGGGACTGGAAGCTGTCGCCAATGTCGTCGTCGAAGCCCCCCAGAGGGAGAGTTGCATAATCAGAGGAGAGTCGCACAAAGTTGGGGTGGAGAACGAGCGGAAGCACGCCAAATATTAATCACTAATACACCCTCCTCCACCCTACTGCGACCTACGTAGGTGCCTTGCTCCAGCGGCACTGGAGGGCAGGGGATGCCAACATTGGCGGGAACCTTAGCGGACTGCCTGCCTGGAATTAGAGGGCTGCCAGCCGCTGCGCACCTCCACTGAGGTGCCCGTGTGTGTCTCGATTCCCTGCAATTTCCACACCTCGTGGGGCAATCACTAGCAGATCCATCTACTAGTCATCCAGCCCCAAAACAAAACGAGCCTCACCAGGAAAGACAAGGATGAGAACGAGGTTTGGCCTGATGGCTTCCGTGACGATGACATGTACCGACGTCTATCGTTTCTTGATACATAGTAGCCAACCTCAAATCGCCTCGTACTCACCGTAACTCTCAACCGCGCCAGCAGCACGATGACCAGAGGTGCATACCTGTGGGATCCAGACATGTGATTGTCTAGCTGGAGGAGAGGGTCGCCTGGGAAGAGGCGCTATTGGACCTCGATATAAGCCTACCGCCTCGAATCTGCCACTCAAGCCCCTAGAACCTGGCCAGGACTGACCGGCTCAACGATGAAGAGATGCTTGCTGCGAACCATCTCCGAATATGGAGGGATGACATGCCAGCTTTCGACTCGGGATTGTCCTGAGAGTCGATCGATGAGGCGGGGAAACAGGGGCAAGCCGAGGTTTTCGGGGATGCAACGGAATGACCTCAACTGGTGCAGGCATTCGCATTTAGTGCCTTAACTAACCCTACCTACCCAGCAGCATGAATGATATGCCCAAGTTGCCAAGACGCCTCATATACATAGCACAAGCATATAACAGGATGTATCGTGGTATTATCTTGCGCAAACTGCATCCGTTGCCCACCTTCGACTGTTAGTTGAGCCTCAGGAATTACGCCTTCCTCTCCTTCCTCAACCAGGAGCCGGAAATTGTGACCTGGTGGGTCATTGGATTATTGTAAGCTCCTGTGGAGCAGGGCGCCTTCCAACACAATGGATACTTTAATAATGGAAAGTACCGTCCTCTGTGCCAAGGGTATATTGCCTTCTGCTATTGACCGGCCTGGCCAACGGGGCGCCTTGCCCGCCAATGATATCGATCTGTTTTCACTGCGTAGTAGGTAGATCTACCAATCGACATGGGAATGGATGCTAATATTCCTCACCCTATCCTTTGTACGACCACTTGCTCCGTACACATATAGCACGCCGTACACGGTCGGATACGCTCTGGCCATTCTGATTCCCGCGCTAGGCAGCCTTACGCCATGAAACAAAGCCATCGGGATAGCCATATTATGAATATCAATGCAAAAGCCGCTATCTAAGTACTATGGGAATGCCAGAAGCGCGGTTAAGCTTGGCTCGCAGGTTTTCAGCTGACTGGACTCAGCTGGCGGCTTTCCAATCCCATGCAGGGCATAATTGGACAAAGACTGGTGCATCAGATTCAAAACAGCTTGCATGGCATGGCGGTGTTGTCCAAGACACGTGCCCACTCTATCCCAAAATACTCCCACTCCCACATCCTGCAGGTTGCAAGCGAGTTTGCCTCGCCAGAGAGTACAATCAGTCAACCTCGGGCCAAATGACAGCCATCTGGTCGGCCAGTGTACCCTTGTGTTGTCTATATCCTGTATTTCCCGTTCTAGTCCAGCCATATATACCCAATTCCAGACGCAAAAGTGAGGTACCAAACGAAGGCACGGTAAGGCTCCTGTATTATACACGCCCACCGATAGTAACGGCTCCACTGCAATCAGAGAATGCAGGAAAGACTTGCATTTTGCCGAAAGAATATCGAATACCGACAAGATATATAGATCTTGACGGCGCATACGACACTGCACCACGAGGGCGAGAGCGATTGCCGGTATATCCATGCAGCACCGGGGCTCGTCCCGCGGAGGTTACGGGCTGGCACGCCCAGGTGAAGATTGCCAAGGACTATATTTGTTCTTTAATGCTCTTAATTGCCATGTCCTATGGCTGATCGCCAAACCAGTCTCGCCATTCCTGGTATATTTGGTCCCTGACTGCCATGTGACCCTGGGTGCGCTATTACTTGAGATTAGGAAGGCTATATCTCCAAGAGTAATATAGGCAATGAACTCACTGGGTGAAACGTCTTTCCGTAGTATGTAGGCACATACCACATGTCTTGCTCTCTGGCTCCATCACCGCTCACCATCTGCAACGTAGGGTCTTTTTCGACCGCTGTCGCCATCATGCAGAGGGCTAGCTCGCCCCAGTCCTTGGATTGATGCGCAGATTCCATGCAGGTTTTCGTGTCAATTAGCGGGGACCAAGGAGGCAGAAGAGCCCCATCTTGCGTCGTCGAAGTACTATTTGAATCCGAATGCCCATCGTTATCGGGACCACCAACAAGAAAGAACCACGTCTCATTCCGGGTGTAGTCAGGCTCGATGACGCCAGGCTCGCAGAACCGGTGACCTTCGAACAAGTGGTCGTAATCCACGAAGAGAACCTTGGGTTCCGCAAAAGCGTCATTCACAGCGGCAACGGACCGTCGTATCTTCTCGTTGACTGCGAGCACCATCTCGTTCATCTTGTGCCGCAACTCACGTTTGAGTTTAGGGCCTCGCCACCATACTCCGAAGGAGCTCTCGTCACATTCCTCGGTATGTGCATTGAAAAATTGGGCATAGCCCGTCACGGTGATGGAGAACCAAGGACGCTTTTCCCATTGGACGCGATCCAGTATCTCCATGATAGCAAGCCGTAGGTAATTTTCAAAATCGGGACTGGCAAGCTGCTTCTCAGATCTTTGCAAAGCCTCTTCACATGTGCCAGAATAAAGGCTATAGAATCTGAAGATACAGCTGTTCATAATATCAAAGAAGCCAAGATCATTACCACCAACAGATAGGAGGGCAAAATCAGCGGTCTGTGATGTATTGAACCCACCAATTTGGCTCGGGTCGCTATTCACCAGAAGGTCGGTGATTGTCGAACCAGTACAGGAGAGGAGCTGGAACGAGGTAGAGGCTGGCTCTTCAAGTCTTTCAAGGTCATTGTATATGAGTAAAGGATGTGCGTGGATGCCATATCGACAGGGGTCCTCTGTGCCATTGACACCGGTTCCTATGCCAGCCGAGTATGAATCTCCCAAGGCAATGAAGCCCGTCGGGCGATGTCCAGGGCGGTGGGGGAAGACCGGATGAGGCTGGCTATCCTGAACCGCAGGCCACCACGCTGCAACCCCATCGTCCTTGTCCACGGTTTGCACTTGAAGACCAGGCTGCGTAGGCCATGCTTCCACGAGTGCCGGCAGCGGAGGGAGCAGGAGCGTCGCGAAGAAAGAGGTAGAGTATCTCATCTCGTCTCGTCTCCCAAATCGCCAGGTTCTCGTTTGATCGCGTTGGGACTACAGTAACACTGCACGATGTGTAGAAGATAGGCACGCTACATCGCGACGATAAGAAGGCGGATGGTGGTCAAAATTGAGGCGCGGTGATGGCTGATGTTTGACAGCGAGTGCCGCGTGATGTACCCGGCCACATGTTCCCGTTGCCTGATACGAGTGGTCCTCAGCGGTGGACCTAGCCTGGAGGTTCCCCGTTATCAAGATAGGCGCAGAGCGTAGTACAAAAGTACTAAGCAGTTACTGATTTGTGCAAGCTTTTTGACAGGCATCATAAGTTTTTTTATGTACCTAGTTATCAGACTACTGTAGAAAGGGACCCTGAGCTACAGTACCTCCTCTGCTTACCTGCGATCGCGGCATTGGTTTCATAACAGGTTTGTGGTATCTCGATGTTTCATGCAACAAATATCTGGCTATCATGGCAATTTGATAGAAGGAGTAGCCTCATAAGATCGTGGAAGGCGCAACAACGCCTTCCGCGAGATCTCACCCCTTCCCTCTAAGCAAGTCAATTGTATCTCAATGTAAGGTGCGGCCAGAACGTTGCAGGCAACCTTCCTCCATTGAATGGAAGAATGGCCAAATGGCTCTGCCAGATAATATCTACGCAGGAAGAATAGAAAACATTCTCAGAAATCGAAACCACGTTGTCGCTGTGCCAGCATTATCAGCATTCGGAACATCTCATTCGTGAAAATGCTCCGACTACATCCAACAACCCTCACAATCACTTCAGCGGAACTCAGAGATCTTGATCGGCGTTATTCACGAAAACATCGGCTCAAGAATAGCCCCAAGCCGAATGCACATTCACGCTATACAGATGCTTCACCACCTAGGGCAGATGATGATGAGTCGACAGATGTCAACGACGTCCCTACTCCGGCATCCTCGACTCCCAGCCAAGTAGCTGACGAGGATGCTGCCTCAATCGTGGCGCCCCTCCAGTCCGACTCTACACCATCCCATACCCCGCCGGGAACAACTACAGGTATCAATCGCCCGGGTATTCCCAATCCTCATTCAGTGGTCTAATATTGTATACCCATGTAGAAGAGGAGGAAGAGGATGACCAAGACGAAGACAATGCCGCTTTTTCAGACCTGGATGATCCAGAATCAGCGCTCGACTTAACTCCTCGAGCAGAATCATCTTCGGGCAAGACACGACATCTCTCAACAAACCATAGTGCCCCAGGGCCGCCAGACCTGCCTCCACCATTCTCGCAGACACCACGATCAAGAGCCATCGGTGTATGTATGCAGGCTCTCGCTGAAGAAGTCGGGATCAAATTAACTGTGGCCTTTTGGTCTACCTAGTCAACAGTGACCGTCAACCAAGAAGATCACTTGGTAAGTAAAATCCATCAACTGGTGGTGCTTTTGAGATTTTTCTAATGAATAATAAAGCAAGAATCCCCGCCTCTTCCATCTCGAGACCTTGGGGGTGTCCAAGAGGACGGGGACGGTTGATGGAGGCTACCTAACTACGTGCTGGGCAAAGGGGGTCAGAACAAACCGGTGCAGGCAGATAAGAAAGGCAGCATTGATAGATGGGGCATGCTCTAGATGACTGAAACCTATCGCGTATCGGACACCACTCTGTGTACCTAGGTATTCACGTATGCAGCATATTATCTTAGGTTAGACTCTAGAGCCGGCATAAAGAGGCTGGTTACATTGTTGGCTTGTTGGCGCCATGTAGGTCAGGTCACCCGATGCTGACCAAAGGACTAATGGACCAACGAGAGGCAGACGGTCAACTCCGTGAGTAAGCCCTGGGGTCCCCGACTCCTCCCACCAGCATCTACCCACACCAATTACTCATCGGCGAGTCGAGATGCGCGATTGGCTTTGGGCAAAAGTCGACCCTTCCAGCCAATTGAAACCTGTAAGTGGTCTCTCAGTGGGGCCCAGGGAATGAGACATAAATGAGTCTGAGCCATTCCTCGCTGGATTGTTGCTCCGGACCGGGCGGCATCCACTGGGACCCTGCTCCCTCCAGGCAGTGCGTGGCTGATAGGCTGAATGCAGCGGTGACCTGCAGCCGTAGAGTCTGTTTATTTGCACTGTATTGCGCGAGTCGCCAAAGTTCTCAGGTACCTAGCTTGGATTAGTTCCGCGCACATACTGGCAGCGTCTCTTAGCTCCGAGAGGTTCCCACCCCCCTGCGGAGACTTGGCCACCCTTAGATCGCGACATGGCGGCACAGTGCTGGGAGTGCTCGCTCGGCTCTCTTTCCCCAGGTCAACCAACTGTGGGAACGAACAAACTCGGCCGGCCTCAGATGTGATCAGCCAGCTGCAGGCGACAGAGAGCCCTTCGCTCGCCCTACTTCCTGTGCCTCCGTTCTCACATCTGCGCGCTCCTCTGCTCTTCCTGCCTACCATTCATACTTCTTCCTTCCCTCCTCCCATCCTCTCTCACTTTCTTCCTCTTCCCATCTCTTCCACACTTCCCACATCCTTCCACCATCAAGGAAGACTTACCCTCACCAACCTACTTACATCTGACCTTCCAGTCCACCTCAGTCCTACACGACCCTCACCCCATCTACGCGTCAATCGGCCGCACTTAACTCGTTGCCATCCAAGTCATTTCGCGTTCTCCTTCGCCTCCTCAGACACTTTAGACCTTTTAACTTCATCTCGTGCCTTCAATTGGCCCCATCGTCACACTTCCACCCACGTTGCCCTCGTCTCCTGGGCCTACCTCCTCACTACCACCTCTCCTGTCTTCACTCTTACCTTTACTCCAGCGCCTCAAAGCCCTCGCCTATTTAGGGCCACCTATCACCTTTGCGGTTTGTGCATGCAATTTGTTACTAACTCCACAGATTTGAACCTACGCAGTCGTCTTGTGTCCTCACACGAGATCCAATCATGGCATTCTTCAGTCGACAGTTCTCTCCTTCTCCGGTCCTGACCGTACCAGCCCAATCTCCCCACCAGGGACCGTTTGGCATGGCAGGCTTCCCACGCCCTCCAGCCCCAGCCTCTGCATCATTTGGCGGCTTTTCCAACCCCCTTGCGCCATTCCAAAGCAGCACTTCAACCAGCAGAAAGCGCTCGCGCGACGAGGCTGCCAGCAACCTTGAGCCTGACATCGTTCCCCCCAAGCCCGAAGAACCTGAAGAGGTATGGGAGTATGGCCCTGGGATGACTCTCATCAAATCCACCAAGACGTACGTTGCTGAAGCTGGTAGTCAGTCTGGCACTTGGTTGGAGGAGAAGAAGGCATCCGAGGATCAGGCGCGCATTCAAGCCGAATTGGACAGAAAGCAGCTTGCCCCACGAAGCAGCAAGCTCCAACGCGTCGTTGGGTCCAATAGCCACGACTCCCCTTCCCTGTCAGCAGCTGGCCCTACCAACGTTGGACGTGACGCTGCGCAGGCTGCCGTTGGTGACAACAAAACCCCCATCATTGACGACTTCACCTTGCATCTCGGCATTGGCTGGAGACAGTTGAGCAAAGATGAGCACATCCAGGCTGCTGCCAGAGGTTGGGCGCGCTACATTGAAAACCATTACCCCATCACCAATGCGCACATCCGTCTTGAGAGCCGGGGCCTCCAGTCCTACCTCGTTGAGGCTTCTGAGGGCTTTTTCCTCTTTTCCGAGGATCTTCGTCGAGGTCAGCTTGTCAGCACCACTGTAGATGGGGCGCTCAAGAATCTTGCAACTTCGCCTCCTACGTTCGATGGCTGCATCACTCTAAGTGCTGCCGACTCGCCGTCTCCCACCTCGACAGAGGCGCGCCACCTCCACTCTGCAATGGATGCTGAAATGGTCATGAACTAAATTTAACACCATTTCCCTCACCTGCCTCAACATCTGGTTTTGTCTATTTGGGATATTGGAGTTTGCTCTTAATTTATTGCGTTTCGGTGTTTCGGTTATGGCTGGGCGACCCGCTCCACCTTGCGGTTAAATGGTGGAAGGGAACGGGATTGGTATCGGTCGGGATCATGGAGTTCCAGAGAGAGCTTCGACTGGGAGTGGACAGCTAGACATTTAATCGTCGTATTTGCGTCTCAAAAAGAAAAGAAAAAGTTTATTTTATTCTCCATCTGCCTAGACTCATTTGACATTGGTACTTTTAAGTAAGTAAGGATTCCACGCTGGGCATCAAGGCGTTTTCGTAGCGTGGCACACGGTATTGATCTCCGAGGAATGTGAAGCCAATGGCTGTCCAAGGAAAGATACCCCGTGGAAATTACTTCAGCTTAATTTCCAACGCCTTCCGGACTGTCTCGCACGGGGTGCTGCACTGGCTTTATCTTACTCCCTCAATTCAATTCCCAAGAATGCATTTGAGTGTAGGGTAGGCATGCCCTTGAATCGTGTTGGGTGTGGGATCTGGCTCAGCTTAGTTGCATAAGACCGTCCGCAGATGGGTGCATGCATACGTAAGTGCTGGGTACTGGATGCGTACTAAAGCCGCACAAGAAGAGACAGGGACAGGTCCTCGATACTATGGAGCACCTACTTATTTCGGGGTGTAAAGCAGAACACAGGTACACAATTAGGCGTGCATAAGCTCCATCGGTGCTGGCAGGATACAGCGCAGAGCGACCAGCACCCAATTACCTTATACACTTTCCATGGCGGCGATAGCATCGACGTAATATCTTTCGCCAACCATGTCAAACCCAAACCAATTGTTCCTCCTCGCAGACCACATCAAGCTGTCGCTCCTCGAGAAGAAACGGGCACAGCAGCTGAATCTCGATGGTGACGACGGCGCTGGCTATCCCCAAGATGGCCACATCTCTCGCTCGCTCGACCAGTTCCGCGACGGCCTGGCCTCGCTGCAACAGGAACAAGCACGGTTAGAGTCCTCGGGCGATGCTTCGTACGTCTTCTGCACAACCCCTTCGGCTGGACCAAGGGAGAGGGAATGATGGCAACACTCCTCCTCCCCTACCCCAAGCTCTCGGCCACCTGCATCATGATCCAGCTTCACTAACAAGAACCATCCCAGCGGCGCCTCTACAATCAGCGACTCCATCGCACCTCTCCAGAAGCAGCTCGACGACCTCACCTCCCAATTCCACGGCTTCTCCAACCCGTCCACCTCGGCCACGCTCACCAGCCCCAACTCCCCGGCCCTCGCCAGCGACTTCGCCCACGCCGCCTCCACCACCGCCCAGAAGCACACCAAGTCCGTCCGCTTCAGCGACACGCCCCAGGAGCAGCAGCAGCCCGCCGACGACCTCTTCGGCGCCTACCGCGACGACCCGGATGTCAGGGACGACTCCGCCGGCTACCGCGACCACGCCGAGCAGCTCGACAACCAGCAGCTGCACGCCTACCACTCCCAGATCCTCGAGCAGCAGGACGAGCAGCTCGACCGCCTGGGCGAGTCCATCGGCCGCCAGCGGGAGCTCAGCATGCAGATCGGTGATGAGCTCGACAGCCACGTCGCCATGCTCGACGAGGTCGACGAGGTCGTTGACCGCCACCAAACCCGCCTGGATCGTGCCGGGAGGGTCCTGGGCAAGGTCGCTAGGGGTGCTGGTGAAAACAAGCAGATGACGGCCATTGTCGTCCTCATTATTATACTTGTCCTATTGATTGCAATTTTGAAATGAGCTAGATTAATTCCTGCGTTTCTTTCCTGGGTGGTTGGCTTAGCGTTCACGAATTGGCGTTCTGTTCACGGTCTGGCGTTTCCGAGGAATTCGATTGTTTGTTACTACGTTCCTTTTTGCCTCATAAGTTCTGGATAGTGAGTTCTGCATAAACGACTCTACATATATATATATATTGTCTGGCCAAGCATGTGTATCTTGGTCAATAGAACAACTTTCTTGCTTTTTGGACACGATTCGGTGATGGGAAGCTCAGGTATAATGCTGATTCTCAGTCTCTATCTGTACTAGCTGTTCTCTTCTTCTCTCAGGGTAAGCGGGGAAAAGCAAATATTTCATTCTCTGGTTTTATGACCCTTACATTCTAGTATAGTCATGTGTTGGTTCTGGGTAGGTGGTATGTCATGATGATCGGCTTCCGTCTCTTGAGTGTCAGCGGATAATGTCACCTTCCTTGTCAATGCCTTCCAAGCTTTCCAAGATATCGCTGCTACCCAGCGTCCCAGCGCCGCCCACTGTGGACTTTCCTTCGTTGGACCATACCTCGTGGAACTTGACCGTCTTATCGCTCGAGGCCACCACAAGGCAGCCCCCTTGGCTAAGCCGGTTGTTGGCCGAAGAACCCCGGCCCCCTGAAGTATTGGGATATGGAATGGCATACAACGCCCTCATCCCACGGTCCCAGGACACAGCAGCTACTTGCTTGCAGCTAGGCCAGCTGAAGACGGCAATCCGAAACGGGTGTTCCGGCTGAGTATAGCCAAAAGTCGCAGCGATTTCCCGTTTCGATGTTGACCATGTCAAGGACGTCACCTGAGCAGATACTGTGATGGTAGCCAGTGCAGCACCGGAGCTGGTGTGAAAAAAATTGATACATTGGTCGTTGGAACCACCTCCAGTTGCCACCAACCCTTCTCTCCAAGGACAAAACGCAATGGCTTTGACTGCAGCACCGTGTGGCCAACAGTGCCTTTCAACGCCGGGGCCAAAGTTTCGAACAGTTGCCGGGGAGGTTCTCCGTGTCTGGATTTCTGTGCTAGGGTCAGTGGAAAGACTACTTTCGCTACTCTCTGCCTTATGTGTAACTTCCTCCTCGCCATTGCCCGCGGATGTATGCGATCCTAGGTCCAGGTTTGTATTGCTAGGAAGTGCCTGGGTACCATCTTGAAAAGTCTCCCTATTCCTATTGACACGCTCCCCAAGAATTGTATCAACATCAAAGAGACAACAGAGATCGTCGTTCCCTCCAGATGCAAAAAGCTTTCCGCTAGTTGACCACGCAAGGCCACATATCTGTTGGCTGTGAATGGAAATCTTTGCGATCAGTACCATGTTGCCTGGCCAAGTATCTCGGGTCACTTCCCACCCGAGAGGCCATTCAACCATGTAATAGAACAATGTACCGGCTTGGTCTCCAACAATAAGATCCTTAGTACTAGTCGGACCGCCCGGATTAATTGGGTTACTGGATGGGCGCAAGGTAGACGATGGACGCCAGCTTACGCAGGCGACTCCGCAAGGATGTTGCACTTCGAAGCGCGGAAGACTGTCACACATTGATTTCAGGATCAGAGAGCCGTTCGACCGTCCGATGGCCAAGATGTTTTTCCGTCCTTCAGTCGATGAAAACCCCACCGAGGTTATCCAGCTACCGTCCTGCCGGGCGCTCTGGGAGGGAACGCCTCCTAGTTTCTCAGTCCAAGTGTAAAGGGTGTTTCTTAAACCAATAGCCAAGGTTTGACAACTAGGAGAATAGGCAAGAATAGAGCAGTAAAAATCATCTCGAAGCATCGGTGCGTCCAAGACCCTGTAGAATCATTTAGTTTGTACCAATACGTAATTGGACTCTGCATCGCTTGCTGAACGAGGTACGTACTTGATAGGAGCATCTGGAAGTTTACGGCATCCAGCTGGGCGCGAGCCTTCAAATGGGATATTAGCGAAGCCTTGCTATTATGAGGAATAAATAGAAAGAAAATATACCAATAGTGACGTGGTGTTCCCTTTCGTTCGACCACCTCGACCCATTCTATGTCGTCCTGGTAGCTATTTGTCCGTTGACTGTCTTTTGTTGCAAAGGGGCTATCAACGTCTGCTTCGGGCTGAAATCGAGTACCCGCCTCACGCGATCAATCTCCAGAGCAGAGGCGACGCAGCCTTGATATTTGTCTGAAGCTTCTCCGCGGGTGACATTCGCTGAAGCAAATGAAGCATTGAAGAGCTGGGCATGCGTACCGCTACGCAGAACACGGCCATGCCCGTCATCAACAGCAATTCCTGTCCTGATCACGGGGTTCAAGCTGGACAGAACACGTTCAGATGTCTGCATTGGTTCTTCGTCATCAAACACTAGCGTTCGTACTGCGATAACTGCTCGAGTTAAGTTAGACGCTGGCTTAGTGAAGGAGGAAGCAATGTTCTACCTGCTGGTAGGTCTAGCCGTGGAACACTCGGACTTGTTACTCTGGGCACATTAGATGACTGGCTATTAGACTCTCTCCTGCTGAAGAAAGGATCGTGAGAGGCCTCCTGACCCCGCAGAAGCTTTTCAGATGCCGAGAGACAATCATGTTGTTTCGTGGTTTGATACTTTTCTGATAAGGGAGAGTGGGCGTCTCTGATTGGGACGAATCGATCAGCTCTGTTGGTAAGAGAACTATGAGTTCGCCGGGACTGGTTTAAGAGAGGGGCCTGTTTTTTCCTTGACGTTGGAGTACAAGGTAGTCCTTGCTTGATGCTGCATTTTGCACCTGATCGCGACGTGGAAATAGGCGAGATGTCTGCTTTCAGGTCAGGGCTGAGGCGATTATTATCCTCTAATCCTGAAAGTTCGGTGGATGCTAGTACCGGCGTGTTATCAAATGAGACTGGGCCATCAAGTGCGAAGAGAGGTCTGGCTTTTCGAGGAGGACTGGACCGGTTAGGCGAGCACTCGCTTGAACTGTACCCGGAGTCACCAGGGCTCTGAAGATGCTGATTCTCTTTGGACGATTTGCGGAATTTGAAGTAGTGCGGCTCATTTTGGATTCTTCGTCTTGGCGTTTCGTGCACGTAACTAAGAAACGAGGACATGATGCATGCACTTCTGTCGTGTATGAATGCCGGGACTTCTCAGTGCGCTAGGAGAGAAGGAGAGGTAAGGCACAGTCTCCGATACAAACTTCTAATCGTTACAGGAGAAGGAGGGAAATAAGCGATGGGAAAGTAAGGCAAAAGGTGAGAAAGAGGACCTGCTCATCTCCAGAGCAGCTCCAAATATAAAAAATAAGATGCTGTAAGGTGTTGGCTGATTAGTTAGTGGTGAGTATCCATTCACCCCTGGGATATACGTGGGCGCAACAGAAATATCCGATGGGGTAAACATACTAGAGGAGAAGTCTTAGGGCAGTGGTGAGCGGAAGAAGGATCTGGAGGTAGATGTGCTGGAGAGCAGTAGGAGAAAGAATGGATGGCTGACGGAAGGGAAGGACCGCATTCAAGAAGGACTTCCATGATTAGTTGTCTGGGCGTCCACACGCCTTCCGAGATAAGAATCGCAAGGGATAAGAAAACTGATCAAGGAGAGGCAGAGTTGTACCTTCCTTGTCGTTCTTTCCAATGACGTAAATCGGGCCACATGATGGGGCATCGACGGACTGCACCTTCCTTACCTACAAAGTCAGGTGTTTCGCTCAGCTGGTACCTTAATGCCAGGAACTGCCCTAGACACTTCAAGGGCTAGCATGTAGGTACTCGGCATAGACAGGCAGAACACAGTAGAAGGTGGCTAAATACAGCTTTATTTGTTGCATATATACAGATGTACTGACGTCAATGAAGGGAGGCATGGCATAGCCACGAAAGAATGTCAAATATATACAGTGAAGACAATCCGTGGCCCCCGAACTCTGTCGCTGTGCGCGTATCGAACCCGCCGACACTCACCAGAGTGGCCGTCCAGGCAACACTCAGTTCCCAGGGTATCCAAAGCACAAGCAACCCACAAGTTCCTGCCCCAGCCAGTCGTGCTCTCCAAGGTATGTATGTATATATGTGGACATATATATATACGAGAAGAAGGGAAAAAAGAAATAGAAGAAAACCAAATCTCTTGAAGCTTCTACCCGCAACAGGCGGAGTCTTCCGCGCGAGAACAGCTCCCCAAACTAACCCAAGCTCTCCGGATCCAAGTCCGTTCAAGAGAGGTTGTTCTTGATGTTGTCGAACTTCGAGTTGGGGTAGCTGAGGCAGTTCTGGGTGCTGTCAAGGCTACCCATGCTGCTGAGGGCAGTGCTGATAAGTGAGTCAGAGCCAGTCTTGTCGGCCGATGCCTCCCAGAACATGCTGCCTCCGAGTCCGAGACCCTTAGCATATGAGACCTTTGTGCGGACCATATCGGGGGTATCGTATGAGATCATGGTCCTGCTGCTGGAGTCGTAGCTGTAGGTAGCACCGGCCGCTGAGTCGGTAATCACGGTAGCGCCGGCCTTGGGAAGGACTTTGTAGTCCCAGATTCCGCTCTCCCAGCTGCCTTCGCCGATAGTGGAGTAGGGCTTGCCTGGTCCATCGGTTCCCACAAAAGCTCTGCCGTAGATGGGCATACCCAGAATGATCTTGCTTGCAGGGACGCCAGCTGCGATGTATGCGTCGACCGCAGCCTTGGTGCTGAATGGAGTTGAGCTGGGGTTTGATGTGCTAGGATACAGGTTGGCTTGATGACCGCTGACACTGTCCCAGGAACCTGCATAGTCGTAGGCCATGAGGTTGATGTTGTCGAGGACGGAACCGAGCTGGGCTAGCTTAAGAACGTTGTAATGGCTAGGTCCTGCGGGAGCGGCAATGGAGAGTTGGAAGTGATAACCATTAGCATATGTTGCGGAGTACGAGTCGAGCTCCTGGCGAACTCGCTGAAGAAGGAGGACCATGTTATTGGCTTCAGTCTCACTGGCGGGGTACTCCCAGTCGACGTCAATGCCGTCAAAGCCCCAATCCTTCATGAATTCAACAGCGGTCTTGGCAAATGTAGCACGGGTAGCCTCGGTGGAGGCAGCAGCGGGAAAGTTGGTCGACCAAGTCCAGCCACCAATGGACAGCATGATCTTGAGCGAGCGATTTGCCTTCTTGAGCTTGTAGAGCTGCTTGACACAGCCATAGGCATTTGTTCCGATATCATTCCATGCTATCCCGTCACCGTTAGCAAAGTGCCAGAGAGCTTGTTTAGAAAGGGAAGCTGATGCTTACAGTCGTCAGAGTAATGCTTCTCCAAGTCGGCGTAGGTGTCACCCGAGTAACTTGTTCAATATTAGCCAGACTGGGTCACAAAAGCTTGAAGAGTATATAAGGTAGCTTACACCGTGCCATCTGCTCGGAGGTTCATGAAAGAATAGAGCACATGCGAAATTTTTGAAGCTTGAAGATCCGCAGGCTGGAAGTTGCGTCCGTAGATGCCCCTGAAAAATAGATGATCATTTAGAAGCTGTACAATGAGTCTATGAATGGTCACGATGGACTAACCAGTTGGTAAAGTAGACAGCATTGATGGATCCAGTTGCACGCGTGGAAAGGTCAGTGGAAGCCAAGTCCTCCATACGAGGAGTGGCACGCCCAAACGCAGACTGGGCAAGGGCCAGAAGAGCCAGCGACCGGGTGAAAAAAGACTTCATGATAACGGCTCTCGGTGATAAATTCAGGAAGAGAGACTTGAATGCAAGTTACCAGCACCAGGCTAGGTTAGACAAATGTCCAAGGAGTGGAAGTTGCTGGGGACTGGTTGGAAGGAGAGAGCTCTGCTCGTTGCTGATGAAGGAAAAGAAACCGGGACATGAGAGGGGAGACTTGATATGATTATATAGATGATGAGAAAACCGCCACAGGCATTATTATCGAAGGGAGCGCCCAGTCTCTTAGGTTTCATCTCCAATGCTGCTCCTCTGCAACCTTTCCACAAACCGCCAGAGTCAGGATCGAGCATGTGTGTCATGTTGCCCTGAACTCAGCCCACCCACGACATTCCCGCAAGTGATGTTACTTGTGGGAGGCAATGTGGCTGCATGACCCAGACATCAGATGAAGGAGCATGGAGTGAGCACGCATGGACCCAGATCGGATTTGGATGAATGACACCGCCATGGCATGAAACTATGGGGACTGAGGTCACCTTACAATGCCCCTCTCCCTCCTTGGAGGGAGGCGTTGATGAATGCAATGGATTAGAGCCAAGTCGTACTGGCTGTTGGGCAACGTTGCTCACCCGAGTACCGGTATCAGTAGGAGGTGAATTTGAAGGCAGAAAAGGCTGACTGTCTTCTGTGCTGAACCCAGGCTGTGGATCCCGCAAATCACACGGCTGTGGCCCAGTGTCGATATGGACAGGGACTCCCCCTTGTTCCTGATTTCTCATGTCACTCACTCAGAGCGTGGGCAAGGGGAGCGGCGGGCAGAACCGAGAAGGATTGCCTATTTGGATGGAGTTGGGCGATTCTTCGAGGGACAAGCGTCGGAAGTGACATGGACTTGCCGCTTTGAGATGGTGACAGATCTTGTAGCCACCCAAGGCTACCAAGGGCCCTGAGGGGCGGTAAACTCTATCATCTGATTCGTGATAGTACGCCGCATGAAGAAGACGTCGACTTGAACTTGGAATGAGGGTCATGAGAGGCTAGCCAGAGGCTCCCAAGTTACATCGCGTTCTCCACACTGTAGCCCTGATAGCCTCTTGGATAAGGACAGAGGTGGTAGACACTGTCAAGAGGACAGTCCACTGGGCAGTTCTTTGATGACAAGGCGTGGCGAAGGGTGGGCCAGGTGAGCCGTTGTGGAAAGAAGATGAAATCCAGAAGGGGCAAGGGCAGGGCAATTAAGGATCACCCCAGATAGCTATGTCAAGCGTTTCGGCTCGACTTTGGAAAAACCATGCCCCAAGAAGAATTTGGGTTTCAAGTGAAAGCCATCGTATGTTTGCCGAGCGCCGTGAAGAGGTCACCCCATAATCTGTCTCAGCCCCCGTTCCCGTTTGTTGGATAGAGCAGAGGTGTGAGGACCGGTCTTAGAGTAGGTACTTTCATGCTCCCAAGTGTGCTTGGCCCAGCAGCTCAGCTATCATGAAGCCACGGCCTCTGCTGAAAGGAGATATGGCAGATGGCAGCATGGTTGAAGGGCTAGATAGGCATGTGGCTTTGGCGATGCTACCCAATCAGCATCGTGGGGGACGATCGTCCCAAGCGTAGCTGTCATGTGCATGCGGGGACCGGATAGGTGGATGTGTGCACACGGCGTCACATTCTCCGCTCAGCAGCACGCGATGAGGTGTCTTGCGAAACCGCCGCCTTTTCGGAGGCTGAAGAGCTCCCAGGGGCCCTATCGCAAGGTAGCATGCGTGCGTGTCTGGCGTACCTAGGAAGAGAGGCAGCCGCTTGAAGCAAGAGTAGGGGAGCGTGGTGCCCGAGCTGGGGCGGCCGCAAGGCCGGGGGACTCATTACAGCTGCTGGATTGAGCTGTGGTGTGCATCCCCTCTGGTTGTAGGACCGCGACTTCGGTGTTGCGGGGAGCAGAGCAGGCGTAATTAAAATCGCTTTGCAACGTTACGCGGGGCCATGATTGGAATCATAGCCGGGTGTGAGTGAGCAAGATAAGTCGTCGTTTTGGGATGAAGGTATCGTCGAGGCAAGTGAGGAGGGGGGAGGAAGTATGCCAGAATATGTGAACGAATAGCTGTGATATTTAAAATGGCGGTGCCTGTATCGAATCGTCTGCATATGTGCCGAAAAGGCGATCGATAGACATAGGATAAATTCAATTTCTCGTATTCGAGGGCCCAACATGCCATCCCCTCCCTGCTTGCCAGCCATCGCAGCAGAACAACCGTAGGAGATCTCAGGACAAGCAGGGTGTGATTATCAGCCGACCGGATTGGATCTCCATCACGGAACTTGGCCAATAGAGATCAGACGGCCGTCTGTCTACCCACCTGCCTACCTGGGACTGCTCTTGGTTGATAGGCATTCCGCCTTGGGCCGAACCAAAAGGGACCAAGTCTCCAATTTAGTTTCTGTAAGGCGTGGAAGTAGCTTCACCTGTCTGACCTGTAAGATGGCTTGTTGATCCTAAAATGGCAAACCGGGTCATCAATATTGCAGTCTGCCCTGATGGATGAAACCCGTGGCGTTGATATGCTTATACACCTACCTAAGTACTACATGTGGCACGAGTGAGCAGACTTATTAAAGAGACATCTAACCATGATTCAACGGACGTAACAACACGGCGTAATTGGGCCATGATACGAGTGGCCACACTCAAGCGAAGGCTTGTAGTTTCGCGTTGTCCATCTAGGTGATGCCAGTAAGTAACGCGAGATGCCACCCTATCGTATATATTCTTTCTCTCGGTACCTCCATTGTTCAAGAATAGGCTGGAAGATCCGCGCGACGGAATGGATTGTACAAGTGTCGCGTGGGAGAACCTGTTCCTTGAGTTCCCTTTTGAGGGCACCCTGAAACCAATAGTTGAAGTTCTCTTTATATCGTAGGGATAACAGAAGGAGTGGTGAGACAGATGACTGCCCTGCTTGTTGGAGGGTAGAGCAGAGAAGAAAAAAAGCCCATCCATCTCTCCCACATTCCTTAGCAAGAGATACATTCTTTCTCATTTGTGCTCCTCCAAGAAGGGCCCTCGAAAGAGGAGCGCATTTGGCGCCAAGGATAGAGCGGTTAGCCGTGAAAATCTCAGAGTAATTCGATGCTTGGAGAGAAAGCGAAGGTTAACATAAGCTTCCGAGATGTTGCTCATGAGTCTGAGGGTCCATTCCGAAAGGCAACTCTCACGCGTCTGTACCCTTCCTATGGGTGGCGACGAAGAACCAGTATGTCCAACCGAAACCAATGAAATGCAGGGGAGCTTGAAAACATTGTTACTGAAGTATATTGGCCCTAAGGAAGGTGAATCCTTCCTTCATGATTAGCTCATCTATCAGAGATAGGTAGGTATGATTCATGGCCGCCCGGTGGGATGACTTCCGTTTCGGATTTCTGTATCGGAAATGTCTGCTGCGAGCGGAACTACCTCAGAGGGTAATAAAATGAGAATACGTTACTGTACTTGAAATTTGCGTTATGCATCAAAATATATGAAACTTTGATACCGAGTTGGAGAATCATGCCGTAGATGGATTTGATAGCAAACACATCAGACACCTCTGAGACCAACTTTTACGTGGCCTCACCACAGGGTGGCCTTGTCTCGGTTTCCTTTCCGACCACGTCCCTGGGAGCTGGTAGCCACCGACCTGATACAGGCACATAAATCGGCAGATTTTCATGCTGAGTCTTGGCTTTCCGTCTGATGTCGAGGAGGGATGTCACACAGCTGGGACCCCTGACATTGAGCTACCCCATCACCACACCACCTAGTGACATACCCGGTAGGCAACCTTTAGCTCCCGGGTACCCTCGCTGCTGGCAATGCCTAACATACAGCGACTGACAGCCCACAAGGACGTCAGACACAGCGGATGCTCTCCCCACATTGCGCGCTGGAGGAGGCGCCTTAGCAGGTCCCGTCCACAGCATCAAGCGAACATCGTCACATCAGCTCTTGGGTCAACTGCAGGTTCACTCAGCTACCCGCCTCCTGCACAGAGCACACACCATGGCGAGCGTAAGTCCAACAACTCTACCTCTCTCCCAGACCAGACCATCTCTGGGCGCTGGCATGTCCAGTATGGGGTGCAGGGGCCGCACTGTCTATTTAAACTGCTGGTGGGGTTGGGCAGTCTGGCTGACGTCTACACGTAGCACGGTGTAGCTCGAGCCTCTGGTCCGCGAACTGAGGAACAGCGCAAGCTCGATCTGGACAAAATTGATCGATATCGAAGTCTCGAGAACCAGGTCCGCCAGAAGGTGAGTTTCCACCGCACGATATGCGCCCTGCCTACACACCCTGCATCGCCGGGCCTCTCCCGGCGAGCGCATCTGTTGGACAGACCGGGTAGAGCTAATGGATCAACACCCCAGGCAGCGAATCAATCGTTTAGCGAAGAGACCTTTCAGTTGACATCCAAACTCCTCCGCATCAATCCCGAGTACTATACCGTATGGAACGTCCGCAGGCGCTGCCTAATCTCTGGCTTATTATCCGGACCATTGCCTGGGTCGTCGCCCTCGAAGGTGTTGCCGAGTTCTTCGGCGACCGACACTCCCACAACCTCTTCCGACGCTTCGTTGGCCTCATCCTCGACAAAGATCCAGCAACTCCCCGACTCCCGGACGACTGGGAACAATGGTACAACACCTGAGTCGTGGGCCGGCGACTTGGACACCATCAAATCCGAGCTGGCCTTCACCATCCCCCTCTTGATGGAATTTCCAAAATGCTACTGGATATGGCAATACCGCCTCTGGATATTGGATCAGGCCGTTGAGCGCCTTCCCGTGTCCGTCTCGAGGCGAATCTGGGAGGAGGAGCTAGGCCTTGTCAGCAAGATGCTGCACCGAGATACGAGGAACTTTCATGCTTGGGGCTACAGGAGACATGTTGTTACCAAGTTGGAGAGCTCGACGCTCAACGGCTCCAGCATGACCGAACCTGAGTTTGCGTACACGACCAGCAAGATCAACGCTGATCTGTCCAATTTCTCAGCCTGGCACAGCCGCAGCCAGCTGATCCCTCGCCTGCTAAACGAACGCAAGGCGGACCAAGCAGCACGGAAGGACTTCCTTGAAAAAGGTACGCCGCGCCTTATTCTCAATGGACTATGAGTGCCCATTAGCTTGCTAACATCCATTTCCAGAGCTAAATGTCGTCCGTGAGGGACTCAATGTGGGACCCGAAGATCAATCACTCTGGTTCTATCATCAATATCTTATCACCAACATCTTGGAAACGCCCGGTGATCAGACGATAGCTCCGGAACTAACTGACGAGGAGCGAAAATCGTACATTGAGAGTGAAATCGTTGAAATCAAAGATCTGCTGGAGGACTACGAAGATATCAAATGGATTTACGAGGCTCTGCTGGAGTACACCCTTGCCATTGATAAATTAACGAAGGCCGCACCAAGTAGCCATCAAGATTTGTCAAGTTGGCTGGGTAAGCTGAGGACACTTGATCCAATGAGAGCTGGACGCTGGTCAGACCTGGAGAAGCAATGGAGTCAAGCATAACGAAGATATAGCGCGGCCGACATCTACATAATAATCACAAGAGGTCAAATTGGGTATCTGTGATGGATTCATTGGGTTTCAATTACTGCGGAGTTATCATTTGTCTTCTTAGTTTCGTCTTCACAGCGGCGTGGAGCCATCGCACTTGCTTTTAACGACGCTTGCATCTTTCCCGACCACCGCGTCGATGTATTCCAGTAGTGTCTCAACAGGAATCATGTCCATCACCCCCAACGTAGGGTTTGATGACTTGAAAACCTTGCCACCGAACAGAACTCGCAAGTAGTACCCGCTCTCACTCTGGGAGGGGGTGGCCGAAGGTGCTGCCGTAGCGGTGGCGGTGGGGGCCACTGAGCTCGCGTATACGCAGGAGCAGGCCGAAGACACCTGATCCGCGTCCCGGCAGTTCGAGGGCCATGTAGGGCGCTCCGTCACCGAGCTGGTGGTGAAGGTTGCGCAGAGGGCCTTGGCCGACTCGGACTCGCGGATCACCTGCCTGAGGCAGTTGTTGTGGCTACAGTCGGGAGCGATGACGGTCGAGGTGGGCTTCGGAGAGTCGTCCTGTTTCTTGTACAGCTCAAAGACCACCTCGGAACCCATGCCGGGCCAGACCATGGCGTCGAGCTGCAGGATGGACAGAAGTCGCGAGACCGATCCGTCGTGCGCTATGTTGTGGAAGTAGATGGGGCTGTCTTTGCCTTCGATGACGGTTCTGAGGTGTGCGGCGAGCTCCCTGACCCAGACGCCCCAGGTGGCGGATGTGGCCCGCAGCGAGTCAGAGCTGTCGCGGTACATCTGGCTATACTCCCAGTTTCCAAGTCGGTAGACTGTGTTGGCAAGCTCCTGGGTCACACATGTCGTGCTGTTGGCGCCATCGACAAGCTTGCAAGGTAGCGGCTTATCATGGCACTGACGAGCCGAGAGGTTGTCGAAGTAATGGTCAAAGGAAGCGTGGAAACCGTCATCGTTGGCCGGGACGCCGGAGATGTCATCGAGAGTGGCGTAGAGCTCCTTGGCTTCGTCGAGGTGAAGTTTCCACTGGGGGTTGGAGTTGGATTTGATGCTGTTGAATAGGCTAGATCCCTTGCTGCAGCTATACTGCGGCTCGAGGCTGTCGATATTGGCCGCCTGGAGGACAAATAATATTAATACTGGTTTTCCACGGAACAAGGGTTTGGCAGATAGTCATTACCTGGATGCGCAATGGGAAGGGCTCGGTGGAACCCCACATGCCGTTGATGACCATACCTGCGACCTGGCTCGTGATAACGTTGTTCGTCACACGGAAGGCAACCTTGGACTTGTAGTCCTGATCCTTGGAAGGCAGAAACCCCAGCACATCATGGTACACCCCGAAGAGGTCGGCCCCATGCTGCCATGAGTCGTCGAGACCGGCAGCGGTGATCTGGGGGAACTGGCAGGTTCCTATCCAACCAGACGGCACGAAAGGGTTGATGGGGGAGATGAAGACCTGCCAATAACCTCTGGTGGCGTCGTGTCCTTGATGCGGCGCACCGTAGTAGTAGAGACCTTGTTCGTCACAGTTCCACTGATAAGACTCCACGGGAAACGCATTTGATGCGTAGGGTGTTCTTTTGTGGTGGCGATGGATCTGGCCAATGTCAGCTTGGTATCCTTCTCATTCCGTCTTGAATCTAGACGAGCTCGCGACTTGTTGACACTCACCACTTCAACATATTGAAGCTTGAACTCGTCACCAGGCTTGATGTACTCCTGCTTCCGCACATGGGGCATATTGCACCAGTTGTACACGCCATACTGGTCATCCGGCGTGTGTGAGGAGTTAAAGATGAAGCCATAGGTTCCCGTGCCGTGGAGAGCTTCCGTGAGATTGTTGACCTTGGACCCGGTCGGCGCATACCATCCTCCGTCGACAGCAGCTGTAGTAGGCCTGGCGAGCAGGCCGAGACCGACAGCCACAGTTGAGTACGCCCGAAGGGCCATTGTGCCGGTAAGTGAGAGGAAAAGGCCCAGCGCCAGAGTAGATATGAGGATGATGGTCCAGACGGGAACGGCCCTAGGTCTGGGTGGGAGAGGAGCGTGTGCGACGGAGACACGGAGGGGAGCCATCCATCATGTCCTTCAAGTACATATAAATATACAAAATACAGACTCTCCCTTGAGCTTTAATCACCTTCCTATACTTTATTACCTTGGCGGGCACTTCCCGAACTGCTGGGTGCCTGGCAGGGGCGCAAGGTACGTAAAGTACGTCGTGCACTAGGGAACCAAATTAATTTGGTGACTCGTTCTCCTGCGAACCCCGCTGGTATGACGCCCGGGCAAAGGTAATCGGTAGCTGAAGCGCAGAGAGTCCAAAGATCAAACGGCGGATCCAACCCGGAGCGAACCTCTTGGATTGACGATGGGGCAGCATCGCAGGGGTGTGACGTCTCGGGTAAACTGCTGAGCCAGTTGAAGGGCACGTGGACGGACCAGCAAGATTCACTGGACCTGATTAGAGTCACATCAAGCTCTTCCATTTACCAGAAAAAAAAACCTGAAAGTCCGAGTAATTATTGCACCAGGGTGCCTTGCATTTGGGTATTGAGTTGCATCTAGTATATAATTCATTAAATAGGCAAGCAAGAAACACTGGCTTGCGAACATGAAGCCGCCTGTTCGCCGGTCTGATGGACTCGTTGGTATATAAAGGACATGTAGAGAAATGCTGAGTGTCATTCACTCATTCTAAGTAGTATCATTCAATACGCCCTCCCTCTTCCACGCCCGCCTCTGTATCCTCGTTTCCCGCGTCCTCTTCCACGTGTTGCAACACGTCGGGTCGCGGGTATATCTTCATCGTCATCACTGGAAGAAGGGTTGCTAGACGCCGAAATGGCTGAGCCGCTCACGGATGCATCGTCGTGATCTCCAAGCCTGACAACTGTGGGACCCTGGGAGACCAAAGCCGAAGGAACCTTACGAGGCTTCGGTGGTCTGGGGCTGCTCTTGGCCGGCGTATCTTCTTGTGCTGACTTTTCTGCAGGAGACGCTGTCTCATCTGCCGTGCTCTGAGCTAGATCGGCCGTGCCTTTGGACTTCCGGCTCTTCATCTTAAAAGATTTGCCTTGTAGCTTCCGGCGCTCAGCCATGGAGAGAAATTCCTTACCAATTGCACTGGCATCGGCTGGCGGGCTGCTATCTCGGGGCTCCTGTCGTCTTGACCTAGTTCGACGCCCTATTTCTTCATCGCTATCGGTAAGGTTACCAGCCATAATCGTAGTAACACCTGATCGTCTGGGACGACCACGCCTCGTACGTTGATTGGGTAATTCTGGTTGCTCTTGAGGCTCCTCTTCGATTCCATTTCCGTTCACTTGGGCCTTGTCGTCATTTGGTTCTGTGACATGGCTGTCGTTCTCCTCTAGCTCTTCGGGGGAGGTTTGCTTGGGCTCGTCGATGGGTTTCTTCCTAGGCGGCCGACCGCGTCTCTTAGGAGTCGACCCATCCTTATTGAGATTGAGTTTGGGATTGAAGAGCTTGTGCACGGCAGCGGCAGCAAGATCAACCTCGCTGACAGGGGGGGCTTTCTTCTTGGTCGAAGCAGTAGGCTCATCATGCTCTTCTTCGATTTCGTCCACCTCACCCTCCTCAGGCTCGAAGTACGATTGTCGAGGCTTAGCATGTCGCAGCTTTGGTTCGTTTGCATCAAAACGGGGGGCAGGGCGACCTTTCTGGCATGCTAGGGTTACTGGGTCATCTGGCATTGGCATTGGTATTGGCATTGACATTGGTATTGGCATTGACATTGCCTCCTCAGCATCCTTTTCTGGAAGGTTGGCAGTTTCTTCCACACTCATGACAGCCTCTGGAACTGAAGTATTGGCTTGGAAAAGGGCTGGGTCCATGTTATCTAGGATATCAATTTGCGGCTCTTGCCACGTTGCGGCCCGTGGTTTCTTGTGGTGGTTTTTCCCTGCAACATAATCTGGGTCCTCGTTGTCGCGCTTAGCTCTTCTTTTTGCAGCGCGTATTGACTTTTTGACGAATTCTGGGATCTCGCGATTTTCTTTTTCGAGTATTTCGGCATCTGGTGCCTGGTAGGGGTCAAACAAGATCTTGTCGGGTGTATCGTCTTGTTCGTAGTAGCCCATGCCAATTCTTTGATGCGCAATTGCCGATGGATCGGGATAAAGGGAGTCGTCCATACCCTCAATCTCAGGAGGAGGTAAGGTGTCCAACATTTCGACATCGGCAGATTGATCATGAAGTTGTTCAGCCCCTTGATGACTGAGGTCGGCCGGTGCTCTCTGTGGTGTATCGAGTATGTGACTTTGGTCTCCATAGCCGTTGATAACTGGATGATCTGGCTGGGGAAAGCCAGCTTGTTCTGCCTCTTCTTGCCTGGGCCCTTCCTGTTCTACCAGGTCTTGAGCCTTGGCATTATTGGCTTGCGCGCGCAATCTTTGCATTCGCTTAGTATCATTGCTACGGCCCTCATCGCCCGCTGCTTTTAACCAGGATAGGTTGTGAATGCGGAAGTCGACTAGAGCCTCGATGCTGCGATCGTCTGCGATCGGGCGTGTGTCGTGACCAAGTGAGGTGTTCTTTGGTGTATATGCATTTGTGTTCCCTGAACGACGACAAGCTCCGCAGTTGCAGATGCCTCGGCATTTGGGACATTGCCACTGTTCGTCCTCTAGAACTCGCTGAGGCATCATATCGAACGCTCGGTAAAGAACGCCGTAACAATATCCCTCGCCGCATTGCGGATTCGTGCACTGATGGACTCGATAGCTGTAGTCTTTGTGACAGCAGACGTGGCATTTCCGCAATTCGCCCTTCTTTTGTTTTCGCTTGTACTTCTTCTTTGCCGGCGCCTCTTGCGCAGCATCTGGCTCAGAATCGCTCGGGGGCTTTTCCTCCTCTAGCTTTGTGATGTCCTTGAAAGGCCGTCTGCGAAGAGCCTCTTGGCAGATTTGCGCCACCGACTTCCGGGCTGACCGTTGCCTTGCTACCTCCAAGGGTTGTGGCGAAGTATGAATATCCACGAAGCCATCATTCTTGATCACCATGGCACTCCAAATTTCATGGTTGTGTACTAATTCGGCCCAGCTCCATTGCTCACACCACTTCAGTCCTGACAGGCAAGCGCAAGAACGTCCCATGGCGTAGCATTCCATGCATACGTCGTAGGCATCTTCGTCACCATTCAGCAAAGGCCGAACGCAGTGTTTGCAAGTGAGGAAGCGGTTAAAGATATTGGATCGGCAATAGGAGCAGGTAACACAAGAGTCGAACTCTACGAATTCCACATCTTTCTCCTTACTAGCGAACATTTCATCGACTAGTATCTCCGTAAATAGCTCCAATAGCTTTTTGAAATCGCTTGCCAATTGCTTGGCTCGTGGAGAGCTTTTGACGATGTCCTGCCCAAATCCTTTGAAGCTCATTTGCGTAAGCTCGGCATTCTCTTCGAGCTGCTGAAGCTGTTTGTAGTACTGGGACAAGGTGTAATATATCATGGCCTTGTTCTTGTACTGCTCATCTCTGCATACTAATCGTGTCTTGGGAAGAGCTTCATGGAGTGCAAGATCAAGTGTTTCGACTGTGGTGCGATTCCACGCTACTTTCATGGTTCTGGTTCCTCGATTCCATACTTGATGTGCAGCCAAAGGAGGAACTAAAATAAAGTCGCCGACCTTTTGCTCGACAACATAAACGTCAAAAGGGGCCTTTTTCCAGGCATTGATCTGGGCAAAATGTTTTTCGATTTCGATATCATGGCCGAGCATGGAAAGAAAGTACTCGCGCACTACATCGCGATCCTTCATCTCGGTCATGAACCAAATAGAGCTACCCTCCTGGTCGGTCCCGTTGGATTCTGACGCTTCCACCATGATATTTTGACCCAGGGATGCACACATTTCTCTGTGGGCGGGTGTATATGTGCCTTCATGGCCGATGTAACACATCAGGTTCTCGGCGCGCATTTCAGCCGGCAAGTTTGACATAAGGTCACCAGACGGGGCAGCAGTGGATTCGGCGCCGAAGATATCATCATCTTCAGCGCGAGGCTTGGTGTTGCTGCAGACATTTTGGTTGAGATACCAGAGGTGCGGATTAATGACCTTTTCCAGAGCATCTCGCCATTCGATGGGGCAATCGATGTCTTTCAAGTAAAGTCGCTGACGTCGCTCGTCTCGGAAGTTTGTCGGTGACCATTGCTCAGTCAGTTGCCGCATCGATCGGATGTAATGGCCTGTTGTCATGGGCATATCGCTTCCATTTCCTAGGTCTCGGACATTTTCCTCTACGCAAGTATTAGGCAGAGTGAAATTCAATGAATGAGTTAAAAGGGTGCACCTACGTTTCTTATCGTAGGTTTTCTCAAACCAGTCTATGTTGAATATTTGTTTGGGCAGGACTGCGTCCCAGCCATCAATGACCAAAGGCTTTCCCCCAAGGATGACGTGCATCAAAATCAGCTTTTCGAATTCTTGCTGACCAAGCGCACGAATCTGATTTCTGGAGACTCTTTGCACCCATTTTAAGTTCGCGGTATGGTCAACAAGCTCGTGGAGATCCAAGTCCGGTGGGATAGGGTCGAATTTCGCTTGAGGGTGTAGTGAGGTAGGCATTGCGACGTCTTGAATGTGGCGCTTGTTGTGACTGCAAGGTCTCCGGAGCTGTTCCTGTGGGCAGTCGGATTGCTAAAAAGTTCAGCGCATGGCGGACGCGAGGGCGGCTGACATGGGCCGGGTGAGATCCAGAAGTAATCGTTCCTCACTTTCGAGCAATAGTGAATGCGACACGGAAGTCGTGATGATGGTTCAAACATCGCGCCTTTAGTCAGCGACACGCGCTGAGGCACTAGGAAAAGGTGGGTCACGTGCGGTTCGATATCTTTGCCTTCACATCGGCCGGCGGTTTTTTCTTCGGTTGGCAACAGCTATATTCTTACCTAATTTAGAATTGTGTTTTCTATGATCAGATAAAGAGATTCTTTTGGTTTAGTCAATTGAAACTTTTCTATAGGTAGGATCGGCGTTAATTGGGGAATAAAGCATAATAGATCACTAATCAGTTGTGCAGATTTCCTTGCCTCATGAGATTCAACGCAATCCCCAAGACAACCTGTCGGGCTGTCTCCTGGCGAAATGGCCGGCTCCAGAGGTCAACGCTGAGATTGAGGGCCTCCAACTCTGTATGGGGTGTTTCCGAACGGGTTACAACTTTCCATTCGACAGCAGCTCGGATAAATGCTGTGTCCCCAAATGTTTCAACTCTAAGTGATGGAGGTCTGCCACCTTATCAACCGCCACAGACTGGTATCTTGTCGGCAATCCCAAAATCCTGGGTCCCCTATGCCGAGTTGACACGGATTGATAAGCCTGCTGGAACATATTACCTCATGTTTCCGTGTATCTTTTCTACCCTCCTAGCAGCACCAATGGCAATGCCTATGGCAACACCCGGAACAGTCCTGGGAACCTCGGCTTTGTTTTTTACTGGAGCTTTAATCATGAGAGGTGCTGGTTGCTCGATAAACGACCTGTGGGATAGGAATTTGGACCCTCAGGTGACCAGGACTCGTCTTCGTCCCATCGCTCGTGGCGCCATCACTCCATTTAAAGGTCTTGTCTTCACAGGATTCCAGCTTCTTGCGGGTCTCGGAGTACTGGTCCAGTTTCCATTCGAGTGTCTCTATTATGGGATACCCAGCTTGCTCTTTGTAGCGAGTTATCCTCTGGCCAAGAGGGTGACCTATTATCCCCAGTTTGTCCTGGGATTGACATTCTCTTGGGGTGCAATGATGGGATTTCCAGCCCTCGGTATCAACCTGTTCTCTAACGCTGACGCGCTGGCAGCAGCTGCGTGTCTCTATGCGTCAAACGTGGCATGGACTGTTTTATACGACATGATCTATGCTCATATGGATATCAAAGACGATGCCAAGGCTGGAATCAAGAGTATAGCCCTCAAGCATGACAAGGAGACAAAGCAGGTGTTGACTGGGCTAGCAGCTACCCAGATTGGCCTGCTTGCAGCCGCTGGATATGCAGCTGGCGCTGGCCCTATTTTCTTCCTGGGAAGCTGTGGCGGAGCTCTCGCCACCCTGGGTATCATGATCAAACGTGTGAATCTGAAGAGCGTGAAAGACTGTTGGTGGTGGTTTGTGAACGGCTGTTGGATCACAGGAGGTGTGGTAAGTTTAGGAATGGCCGGGGATTACGCTGTTCGCTATTATCAGCAACCTGCCGAACTTGATGAGATGGATATCGAGACCGAGAAGGAATCCTGACTGTAATATACTGCACGAAAAAACAAACCTCTGTACTGTGTAAGAACATTCATTTAGCGACATGTACAATATTGAGAGATGAGTCAAACTTGAGCTCGCGCCAAACTTGAGATTTTGAAATTCGAGATTTTGAGAGACTTTTTTATTTTCGTAGGTTCATCATTAGATACCTGTCTCCCCAATCGAAAAACCGAACCCGAAATGCCGATGCAAGCAAGCCGTTATGACTCCTCGTGCCCAAACATGACTTCTCCCCAATTCTTTTTGAATTCTTCGCTTAAGAGCGGGGCTTCTCCTTCTTCTCCTTCCACAGAGCAAGCAGACCGACACCAGAGACCTTGACAACCTTGAATCGCACACCGGGAATATCACCCTTGGCCTTGCCCTTGCGACCGAAACCAGCCAGGAGGACCTCGTCGTTCTCGTCCACGAAGTTCAGGCAACCGTCGTTGGGGACTACAGAACAAGAAGTTGTTAGTCAAATTCGGGCCTGCTGTGCTGGCCAATTGATGGGGAATCGTACCGAAAGCAGTGACCTTCTTGCCGTTCTTGATCAACTGAACACGAACGCACTTTCGGATAGCGGAGTTGGGCTGCTTGGCCTCAACACCGACCTTCTCCAGGACAATGCCCTTGGCGTGAGAGGAACCACCGAAGGGAGAGGACTTGAAAGCAGTACCGAGAGCACGGCGCTTCCAGTGAAGATCGGCCCATTTCTGGTCCTTGCGGTTGGTTCGCAACTTTCGTGCGGCGTTAAGACCACGGGGTTTGCCTCCAGCCATGATTGCTTCGTCGAGTTAGTATTCGGATGCTCCGTACGATAGAAGGTGTCGTGGTACGAGGCGGAAGAGTCCTACTCACCGATTTAATGTGTGTTGATCGCGGCGATTGGTGATAGTAAATCTTTTGGCGGAGTGCTGCAAATTGATGGGCTAAGCTAGGTCTTCGGAATTTCATAGGGTTTTTGGACCCTAGCAGGGAAAAATTGCGTGGGCAGATCCGCTCTGGCACGTGACAAGTCGTATGAGAATTGTTGGTGGTTCGCCATCGCTGCGCATCAACACTATTCCGGAAACACCCACGCTAAATGACAGGGGTCCCCGGCACTTTCAAGATGCCGTTCCGCATTCAGATATAACAGCAATCGGCTTTGAAAGTTCCTCTGGAAGAAATCTGAAAGAAGAGCATCATGAATATGCTTGGAGGTCTATGCTCAAATCATATGTTAACGCGCACGGCTCATGTAACACATCACTAGTTCGATGACCTGAGCCTGGAGCGTTTCTCTAGCATTCGGCATGAGCAGTGAAATTGCAAGAGGCTCAATATCCTGCTTACTTCAGCATCTCATTCCACTCCATATCATCAACAGACTGTCACGCCGTTCACTCCCACGACATCTGATTCTGGACAAGCGGTGAAATGGCACATCATAGACGGAACCAGAGCAGGCAGCAACGCGATCCTCCTCCTTCTCTTTTCTTGCATCCGTCTCCCGCAGGATCTCATGTGGAACTTCCAGGCATTTTGGCCCCAGGGGCTCCTGTTCCAGGACCTTCGGGCGGTCTTAGCAACGAACGATCTTTGAATCCAAGCAGCTCGTCCCTCTCCATTCACAGCGCAAATGGTCCACAAAGGGGCCCTAGATCCATTGAGAGTTCAAGAACTGCTGACAGGACAGATGCTTTGTGGGCTGAGATGCAAGCCACATTGCAGGAGGTCGAATTATCAGCATCTGGAGGAACTCATGTATTCGGGCCAGAACACGACCGTAAGCTTAATGAATTGCGGGCTGCACAAATCGCTCTTGCCCAAGCTTGGGCCCGAAGCGAAGCAGACGAGGTCATTGAGACAGCTATGCAGGAGAATATGACGGCAACAGCAGGGACTGCCGACCACCACAACCTCAAAACAGCTTTTGGGGATGCCTCAAAATCCGCGGGCGAGGGCACGGATGCTGCAAAGAGTACAGTGCAGTCCAATAGTGCCAGGCCGATGAGCAGGGGGGAAGAGGTTGAACGACTCGGTGCCAAGCTGGAAGAAGAGACCGAGGCCGATATTCTTCTGGCCAGAAAGCGTCGCGAAGCCAATGACCAATATTTTCAGCAGGTTAATGCTGGTGTGCTGGACGTCGTCGCCAGGCTGGAGGAGGTTGCTGTGGCTATGCGAGCCGTTGAGCAAGAGAGTAAAGATATCTGGAATGATGTTGAACTTCCGTCAGAAGCTATCAAAAACTAATATTGCTGGTCGACCACTGTGCAAGTCTCGGTCGGAACATTTGTCAATCAAGCGAGCGTCCATTTTCAGAATTATTACCTAGTTTGTTACATTACTGTACCTCCACTGACAACCTCAAGTTGATATTAAAGGATATTAATGAACGAATACTCCTAATGATAAGCCATTTTAGATCAATGAATCGACATATTTCGGGCTTTATATAACTTTTCTATAAATCAAGAGCCATCCGGACCTAATCTAGCATACGTATGTGTATTAGGTGCTTATTACTAGGTTGTGGAGGGGAAAGTTCGAGATATGAGTGTGTATTGTCATCTTGTTACCCACTTCCTATTGTACCACATAATAAACTCAACGTAGTGATTAATATGATTGGCCAGCAAGGCGCAGTCATCCTAGACGCAGTCAAGCAATTAAGGTCAGGACCCGTCAATTCTTTGGCACAAGCCTAAACACTGGAGTTGAAGCACAAGGCAAAAAGCTTGATCGCCTGCCCACCGGTCACACAGGTTTTACTCAGGAAGACATCATTGACCCTCCATTTCAGCGGGCATATTATCCAAGGAATCGGGCTGAACAAGGTTTTGTTGCAACACGAGAATCTCCCATCGAAAATCGCATCCAATACATGTCACTGACCCAAAGGTGCCGGGTCGTTTAAATGGCTGCCTGTGGTGCATTCCCAATCAAGCCTCCAGGCACCAATCACAGCGTCGGACATGTCTGCATTGTACCCAACGACACGTCAGTCCTGTGCATCTCGCTGGAGGTCATTCTTGCTTGCTCGTCCTCAAAGAGGAATGTCGCTCGTTTACTGCCTGCGTTCACTGGCCCAGCCGCAGTCTTAAGTACACGAGTCGTTTGCAGACTCCGATAGCATGAACGAGCCTCCTGCCAAACCTGGCAGTTCACAAGACCTGATGCAACCATCAGCCATCGGCTAACCTTCGGAGGGGAGGGGCCTTAATTGAGTGTAGACTTAGGTATGGCACTTCTGTAAGTACCTCGGCCCCCAAGGTACACAGAGCAAGCCCACATTTAGTATGTGGATGCTTGTACTGTGTCTAAATTTGCCCCATGTGTACATGCATCCACTGCTACGCCACCATTGAAGTCATCTGTTCAATATAAACGCCATTGCTCCCAGCGTCTTGACTCGGTCATCGAATGACCACATCACCCTACCTACAGAGTTCAACCGCTTCAGCGCATTCAACGCACCACAACGCAAAACAGACATCTTCACTTCCGAAGCCGCTATTGAATACCAGTTTTCGTCTCCTCAGAGGCCATCAGCACTCCACCCCCGACCCATCGCATCGCATCTCCGGCCAACAAAACATATCGCGCCCGAATCAACCAGCCCTCAGACACCATGCGTCCCGTCCAGTTCCTCGCAGCAGCCCTCGCCCTTGCCCCGGGATTAGTAGCTGCCAGCAAGTCTGCTATCGTTTGGTTTGACAACCCCAACACTCCCGACGATGTCATCAATAGAGCCAAGGACGACATTGTCAAGGCTGGAGGAAAGATCACCCACGTTTACACAATCATCAAGTATGTATCCATATTATGTCTAAAACTCTGTATAACACCCTGACCATCTCTTCTCCGATAGGGGTTTCTCTGTGGTCGCTCCCGAGACCGCACTCCAAGGTGTCCAAGCATGGGGCACCGAACACTCCGTACGAATCGAGGAGGACAATACTGTCTCTGTCAACGTCTGATTGAGGAGAATTTTGCGATGAATGATGATGGATTGTTGGCGAAAATAGGCTCTAAGCATCTTTTTTGAACTTTTGGCGACATGGCGAATTTCTGGGAAACCGCTCGAACGAGCAATGATACCTACCTTACCTGCTGATAGGGCCACACACTCTTTCGATAGCTTTGTAAGAAGTATGAAGAAGGGCGTTCGGGTTTTGATAGTTGCTTTCTTTTTTTTATAGACAAGAACACCTGGTTCGTTTCACAATACTTTGTAGACAAATACAATCATGACGAAGCTGTCTGTAGCCATGCGGAAGTGATGCTGCGATCTATTCTCTTGACAGTATCTCCTGAAAAGGGCCGGCGTACCTATACATTTCAAAGATACTATAATTAAATTATTTTGTCACAGATAAAGTGTTGCGGTCTGTTGATTTATGGAGTGGAAGGAGGGATGCGTCCCGCATAATCGTTGCATAAACCCACCGACGTTTAGGCTCCCTAATGCATACCTATGCCTAGGCGGTAGGTTCAAGTGGACTTAACAACCTCTACTCCAGAGGAGAGTCAACGCGACTCAGTAGCTGTCGTTGTTTAGACGCCCAACAGATCCCGAGATCAGAACAATAATGAGCTGCATGGTCATTCCATCGGTCGCAAACTCGAGTTTTTTGACATTGCCTACGAAGTAGCGGTCTTTGGATATGCTCCTTTGCGCCGCTTTCCACAACCTTATCGCTGAGCTCCCTATGCCTGTGCCAGCACCGACAGCTGGAATTCGACACTTATACTCTCGCTCCTTGCAGGCCGAACAACGATAGAGCGTTTCCGCCATGGTACCACCGGCCGGGAAGACGGCCGTTTCATACAGCCATGGCGCGCAGACCGCTCTGCTCAATGCCGTGGGTTCCCCTCCCGTCTCCTTGCTGGGCCTTATCCCCCACCGCATCGAATGTAGCTGCTCGTACTGACTGCCTGGTATACAGGTAAATCGAATGTTTGATCTCGGAAGAACGGTTCATTCTCTGGACGAGCTTAACAATGGTGTCATCCTCGGCCAAATTCTCCACGAGCTGGACCAGGACTTTGACCCTTCCAACCTTGAAACTAGCCAGGGCACATCTAAATATCTCACGAACAAGCGGAATATTCAGACGATATACAAGGGTCTATTTCGATTCATACGGCGGCAGATCCCAGAACTCGGCTGTCAAGCCAAGAAGGTCGATTACCATGCTATCGCCGAGAACCCAGATGCCCATGGTATCAGCCAGGTACTTCATAGCCCCTTCTGGTCTTGAGATATGTTTAACTAACAGATCATACAAGTTGCTTGCTGTCATGGTATCTGCAGCTGCGATGGGGCCCGATAACAAGAGATATATTCCCAAGATCCAGAGGAGCTTGGATCGTGATACTCAAGCTGAAATAATGCAGATTCTTCAGATTGTTCAGCAGGATATCGCCGCCTCTGAAGGGGATCAAGACTTGGATGAGGCCATAGATGCCGTCATGGAGGCTCGTGACATGGATCTCCTCGTTGAAGAACAAAACGCCGCTCTGCGACAGCAACTGGAAGCGACCAAGAAGAATCTATCAGACTATATCACTAGGCTCGAGTACCTCCAGCTAAGCCATGAGGAGCTCCGATACGAAAAGGAGAAAAACGACAGGGAGCTAGAGATTCTGCGTAAGGCGACGCAAGATGGCGCTAATAGCGCGGAATCAGTGAAGGTTCTTGAAGCTCAAGTACATGAGCAGATGGAAATCATTGCACGGAACGAGGAAACGATTCGGGCACACGAGAGAACCAAAGCTCAACTAGAAAGTGAGGTTCAGAGACTTACACAAAAAAGCATACAAGCGGACGACCTTCGCGACCAGGTTATTGAATGGAAACACAAAGCCGAAGAGTTGGAGAAGAAGGCCAATACTGCTGATAGATATAAGCAAAAACTGGAATCTCAGCAGCACTTAGTCAAAGAAGTCCAGAATCTTCAATATGAGAAGGCAGACTTGCAGGAACAGCTTCGGTCCCTGGTGGACGACAGAGAGCGGAATTCTCGCACGAGACAGGCGGAGGATGAGTTGACAAAAATGATAACGCAATCAGAACAGCATCTCTGGGACGAGCGCAGCCAGAAAAATCAGCTTATTAGGGATGTGGCTGCCTTGGAAGAAGAGCTGATGCGACTCAAAGCTCAACGCACACATGATGAAAGCTATATTCAAGACCTTCAGGAGCAAATTCAGCATGGAGGATCTACCGAAGCACCGACACAAGGCGAGGAGTCCCTCGGTGTGGAAGGATTAAGTTTGAATCTTGCCGCTGAGCTGGACAATGCTAGTAATGACGGCCAGCCGTTGATTCCTTTGGAGTTATCACGCTTAAAAGCAGAGAATGATTTGCTCCGAAGAACCATGGGCTCATCTGGCGATGCAGCTTTGTTGCGGAGAGAACTTGAAGATGAAAGAAATCAGAGGGAGCATCTCCAGAACAATTTCAACGAGATTTTCGAAAAACACACACTAGCTCAGGGCCAAATTGACGCTCTCATGGAGGACAAGATCGGTGAAGAGTCCGTATCCTCCAGAATCAAACCCACAGTCTGCTATAATACAGTTACTAATATGACCATGAAACAGAGCTCAAGCTTTCAGGGATCTCAGGACGCGCAGCGACCAACTTGAAGAAAATCTTGAGAAAGCTCAACGGCGTTTGGAGCAATTGGAAAATGTGAATGCTGACCAGACCAGGGAACTTGTGACAGTGAAGACTCAACTTTCTGCCGTCGAAAAGGACCAAACCGAAGCTATTGACGACCTGAAGAAGACCGACGTGCTAGTCTCAGAGTCACTACAGGGAGAGCTAGTAAGACTTCGTGAGAAGTATAATTTTGCCATTAGCGAACGAGACGCCCACAAGTCTCAGCTTGTAGAAGCTTTGCTGGAAAAGGACAGGCTTCGCAAAGGCTCGGAGGAAGGCAAAGACTTGGACGCCAAGGACTCGGATGGCCCAGAAATCTCATCCAAGGGTGCCGAAAAGATCGAGAAGTTGCGCGAGCGCCTCAAAGAGCGAAACGAAGTAAGTGGACATCACCAGAAAAGGGGAAGGGCCCAAATTTCACAGGTTTATGAACTACAATATTATTCTAAAAACTTCGCCTCTCTGCCTCAAGAAAGTCCAAGGGAGTGTCTTTGGGCAGAGAGGGAAACATTACGGTCACCGAGGCCCAGTGGTTCTCGGCTTCCCTCCCCACGCAAAGACAAGCCCACACAGTTTTATGTGCTGACAAAATGCCTGCTCTCAGCAACTCGAGAAGTCCGAAAGGGATCGTCTCGATTTACAGCGAAAGCTCAAGGCAGCGCTGGGTGGAGAGACCGCAGCTGCAGAGAAGGTATTCTATCTCACTCTCCAGGCATGTATCTTACACTGCTAACCAATAATTTTAAAAACGATCAAGGCGGCTACCGACGAACTTATCAGCAACCTCCGCAGGGAGAATTCTCTCATGGCCACCGCATGGTTTGGCCTTACCACACGCCTCCAAAGCAATCATGTTGTGTTGCAACGCCGGCATGATTCTCCAAAAAGTTGGGTCAACAAGCAGAGGCAGATGGTTAATGGTCAGTTGCGCCGCCGCGACTCCCTCTATCTCTACTGACGTGTATCTCTATTGGGCAGCTACCCCGAGAAGATAGGAGCTCATGGGTTAAGCCCTCCCGCCCCATGTCCTCGGTCCATACGACCCTGGCAGCGTTCTGAGACGGCCACCGCTCCCATCGCTGCGCCCTAAGAGTAAACCGTGTAGATTTCAGACCTAAAACCTTCTTTCTTATATATATACTACCTCAGCTATAAGTTCTATCACACCTGTTGTCAAGCTACCCCTTCGCGGCCGTCTCCCCCCTCTTTTGTTAAGTTTGATGACGCGACCTAGGCACTTCTACCCCCCTGCCGTGTGGCCTGCCATACCCTGGGGACCTTCTCAATGGTTACTGGACGACGATATTTAGCACTAGCATATTGTGTGGAGAGCTTTTTTACAAGGCTTGGGTGTGGGAATATGACAGCGATTCATTAGTCTTCTAAAGAGCCCCTGGTCACCAGTGATTGGTTTGTCCGCCACTGGCAGGTGGGTTTATCTACAATAGTTCACGTATTGGTTCTGCTCATGGGGACCGGTCGTGCAAAGCATATATTATTTGTTCCATTCATTCATTCACTAGGCGTGTTCGAGTAAATGTTTCATCAGATTACTCTATCTGGATTTGACGAGGATTTGTACAGGTGCCGTTGGAAAAACTTTTTAGCCCACAGTTATACAAGAGGACACTTTTCAGGGACTGGAGGCAAGACTTGATCTTTAGCCCCTTCAAGTACCCGAAATTTTCAACAGAGTTGAACTTAGTTCTTGGGGAGAATTCGGCTCAGGATGGTTGAGCCCTGGCCCTTGGAGCCAGAGTCAACAATTGCCAACATGCTCTTCCAGACTTGGCCAGGCTCCTGGCTGGCGTCGAGGCCTTTCCAGATACCGGTCTTTTGGTAGTAGTTAACCACGGGGGAAGTCTGGGCGTGGTAGGTCTTCAGACGCTTCTGTAGTGCCTCAGCGTTGTCGTCAGATCTTTGGACGAGGGGCTCTCCAGTGATGTCGTCAGTCATGGCCTGCTTGGGGGGGTTGAAGGTTCTGTGGTAGCTGCGACCGGATGCGGGGTGGACGAGTCGGCCAGTGATGCGCTCGACGAGGAGAGAGTCGTCGATTTGAAGCTCGACAGCATGCTGGAGGCTCTGGCTACGCTCCTTGAGCATGGCGTCGAGACCCTCGGCCTGGGGAACTGTGCGAGGGAATCCGTCGAGAATGAAGCTATAGCATGTGTTAAAATCCAATCGTAAATGGCGATCAGTTCTTTTTCACCTACCCTCCTTGGCATTCCTGGTTGTTGCTGAGCTCCTCCTTGATCATACCAATCATAATATCGTCGCGAACGAGACCACCCTGATCCATGATCTTCTTGGCTTCCCGTCCGAGAGGAGTCTTCTTTGCGACCTGGGAGCGGAGCATATCACCGGTAGCCTATGGTATCGGAAACAAGTAAGGTTAGCGACGCTGTACGGGCTGCTAGAGAAACGAGAACATGGACATACCAGATGGCAGCAGGAAAATCGCTCTTTCAGCTTGGGTGCCTGTGTGCCCTTGCCTACAAATATGGTGAGCCTAAGTCCGACAGCGGAAGAATTTTGAATAGGCGGTCTTGGGCGACGTACCAGCTCCGGGGGGTCCAATGAGGACCATGCGAACCTCCTCAGCCGTTGACGAGCCAGTGCCGAGCTGCTCAATCTTGCTAATGCGAGACTCGAGCTTTGCGACGACCTGCGTCAATTGCTTCAGTTCCTCTTCGATTCGAGACATGGTGGCTGTTGTGAAAGATCAATTGAGAGCGGGGCTGACAGCTCCAGTGATCAGATGGGAGAAGAGAGGTGAGAAGGGGACAGAGAGATGGGGAGGAGGGCGTCGTCGAGGGGCGTTGATGGAGGCTTTTGGATGGATGAAAGGGAAGAATCCAAACGGCGGCATTCAGAACTCTTAGCGGTACCTCTATACAAATTGTTGGGTGCGGTTGCCCGAACAGGCTGGGCCATGGGGAACAAGCTTGCCGAATGCGTTGTTTTAATTGGCCAACACCTTACTTCCCTTTCTGGACAAATGGAATTCCGACGCCGAATCGCGGATCATCAAGTGCTTCCAAGGTTCGCTCTGGTGAACACGAGCTCCCTGGCCGAGTCGACTGTTACCCTGACTATTGAAAAGGTGCCTGCCGAGCTCCTTTGCACATTCCGAGGCGCATCCAGCATTCATGTCGGAGCTCTGTATCTTGCTGGTGTACCGCACGTCAGTTCCTGGTAAATGAGTGTCTTGCTCAGTTGGCTTAAGTGAGCAGCTGGCAAGCCTCCCTGGCCAGCTTGACCCATTCAAAGTACCTCGTACATCACTGCCAGCCGGACTTTTTTTTACATGTGAAGCGACGTGACATCAGCTCCCGTGCCAGTGCAGGTAGGGACGGTTCGTTGCTTTGCCGAGAGCATTAATGGAACAGGACAGTTACCTAGGCATTGCGCAGGCAACGCTTTTCCGCCTGTCCGCAACTCTGGCCAACCAGCGTCTCATTCCGGGTTAGCCCTGAGCAGGAAGCCGATGGACATCTGCGCGTCGCGATCATTCTAGGCTAGTAAGAAAGGTACCCGCGCCGCTGCACTTATCCGCCAGCATCTCGCACTGTCGAGACGACGCAAAACAGGGTGGTAATATACGCGGCCTTACCCGTTCGTTTCTGAAGCAAGCAACCTAGCATATTCTTTACTAGCATAACCACTTGATTACTTAACTTGGGGCAATTCGGCTACACAAGTTTGATTTCCTGGCCCAAGCGATGTCGGATCGTCATTTATGTCAGCAAGATCAAACAATAGGTAGCCTTACATAGATGTGGCGTTAGCTAGAGCACGTGACCCTAGGTGTGGCTCAAGGTCCCCTCTAGTTGGAGCTCGACGAGGTGGGCTTCAAGGCAGCACCTCAAGTACGTGTGATCACCACTGCCTTACCAACCACGAGCATCTAAACAAACGACACTCTCTCTTCGTTCTCTTCTGAGAGCCTAATTATACACGGCCCACTCGGCATACCCGCCTTCTTTTTCTTTAATTCTACAACGATTGCCTACTAAGCGCCGACAGCTCCAGAATTGGTGCGAAACCACAAAGATGCCTACTACGACGGCGGAAACGCTATCTCTCGTCACTCGGAACGTGTCTGTCGCTCCTCTCGTCCTTTTGTCTGCCGTCGACCACTACAATCGTACGATACAGCAGAACAACAGTGCAAAGTCGAAACGAGTGGTTGGTGTACTTCTTGGGCAGAACGACGGCAAGAATGTGAGAGTATCAAACAGCTTCGCAGGTACGTCATCAACCACTCTTTTTACAGCATGGGAGCCTGAGCTAACTTTGCTCCAGTTCCTTTCGAAGAGGATGAGAAGGACCCTTCGGTGTGGTTCTTGGATCACAACTACGTCGAGTCTATGAACGATATGTTTAAGAAGGTCAACGCCAGAGAGAAGTTAATAGGCTGGTATCATTCCGGCCCAAAGCTTCGAGCCTCCGACTTGGAGATCAATGAGCTCTTCAAGCGCTATAACCCCAACCCTCTCCTGGTCATCATTGATGTCCAGCCAAAGGAGTCTGGCGTGCCTACGGACGCTTACTTCGCCGTAGAGGAGATCAAAGACGTTCGTTATTCCCCCCAAAGAGAGCCCCCAGATGGATTGACAGCGCTAACTATTCCACAGGATGGCACCACGACTTCAAGGACCTTTGTCCATACCCCCTCGATCATCGAGGCCGAAGAAGCAGAGGAGATCGGTGTCGAGCATCTGTTAAGAGATATCCGAGATGTCGCAGTCGGAACCCTATCAACCAGAGTCACCAACCAACTTCAATCTCTTCAAGGTCTCCACCTCCGCCTACGTGATATTGGCGCCTACCTTCAGAAGGTCCTTGATGGCGATCTCCCCGTCAACCACGCGATTCTTGGAAATCTTCAAGATGTGTTCAACCTCCTACCCAACCTTTCGACCCCCGAGAGCAGTGACAAGTCTGGCAGTGGTGACCTTGCAAATGCTCTGAGTATCAAGACCAACGATCAGCTCATGACCATCTACCTGAGCAGTCTGATACGCGCCATCACCGCGTTCCACGATCTCATCGAGAACAAGATCCAGAACAGACAACAACAGGAAGAGAAGGAAGCGAAGAAGGAGGTGAATGGAAAGGAAGAGAAGAAGGAAGGCGCCACCGGCGACAGCAAGGAGACGGCCGACAAGGACAAGGAGAGCAAGGAAAAGACAAAATAAAGATGAATCATCTAGCCAAATAGATCATTAAAGCAGCCACCCCAGAGGTCCGGGGTTGCATCCACTACACCACAGTAATTGCCATCGAGGGGCCGCATTTGTACATGTACCAGGATGGATTTGCAGGGTTAGGACGAGAGTAATGAAATTCAGCCACGACTAAGGCTGTCGATAGCTATCAAGAACTGTCTAAAATATATTGCAGCCTTGCCATCAGATCCTAGCCAGAAGACCCGCCAGCTCTTCTTTCGTGACAAATCTTCTCTCCATGTAACCACCGAGCAAATGGCCCCATTGGCTCGCTAACACGGCGGCGAGTAGATGTTTGCAGCATGGAACATGGCCAGGAACTGCACTACCATCCGAGCTCAGCCCTCCAAAGAGTCCCCCACTATGGTCATGTACCTCACCACCTGCGAAAGTAGATCGTTCTCCCGATGTAGGGAGAAAGGCGTCTACAGAAAAGCTGGCGCAGTTACAACTCCATGCACTGAGACGCACGACGTAGTTCCTTGGCGGCTCAGGAGGGCGGCCACGTCGGATCGGTTTAGCCACGGCCGATTTGACCAGGATGATGGAGCATGGTGGCTCGTCCTCCGCCGCGCTGTGCAGAGTCACCAGGGTGACAAGTTTGCGATCAACAAGGTCCAGGGCTGGGAGCAGAAGGTTCGGGAATAACACATGGAGGGTGAGGAAAAGACGGCGCCTGTCTGTTGGCTGTGTGGCAGCATCGCTCTCTTGCTCATTCACCGTGCATGCTGCGGATATGGCATCAATGAGGGCCGTGAGAACCTGGCGGTGGCTTGGTAAACTTTGCATCGTTCGCGAGATAGCTCATACTTCGACGCTTTGCTTTCAAAAGTTATGTATTCTTGAGAAGATAGAAAAATGTGAGTTTAAGTATTAGATTGGTGAGTCTTATCGGGTGGGTGCATTGTCGAGAAATTGGTGTTGAGCATTATCTCGGGTGGCAGTTTCAACTAGGGTCAAAATAGGTACTAGAGCACAGGTAGCAAGGATGATCTCAACAACGATGTAGTTACCAATAGAAGTCTGCTTTTTTATTATTATATGCTACAAGAGGTGTCTCTCTGTATGTAAAAGAATCTACAGGGTGGGACGAATTGGCTCAAGCTTCAAGTATTGTACAATATCCTGTGCATGGAACATGGCACATCCTTCATACCCATTCTTTGGGGTTTCTCAAGATCTCAGTGAGGAGCGACTCTCGAGTGTTCGGCTCGGGCTCGTGCATGTACTTCCACTCAGCCGTGCGTGGCAGGCTCATGAGAATACTCTCAACTCGCGAGCCAGGCGTGTTGAGGCCGAAGGCAGTGCCACGATCGTGGACAAGGTTGAACTCGACGTACTTGCCACGTCGGATCTGCTGCCATTCCTTCTCCTTCTCGTTGAAGTTCATGTTCTTGCGTCGCTCGATGATAGGGACGTAGGAGGGCAGGAAAGACTTGAGGCAGTCCTGAATGAATGCGAAAGTATTCTCGCGGTCGTGGCCCGAATCATCGAGATCGTCAAAGAAGATGCCGCCAATTCCACGTCCTTCACCTCGGTGCTTGTTGAAGAAGTACTCGTCGCACCACTTCTTGAAGCGGGGGTAGTACGTCTTGTCGTGGTTATCACAGACGTCCTTGAGGGTCTGATGGAAATGAACAGCGTCCTCCTCGAACAGGTAAGAGGGCGTCAGGTCACTTCCGCCACCAAACCACCAGGCCTGCGAAGTTCCATCAGGGTTCGCAGTCTCGAAGTAGCGGTAGTTCAGATGGACGGTGGGTGCCATGGGGTTTCGAGGGTGTAGAACCATGCTGAGACCAGCAGCAAAGAACTCGAGGGACTCGACATTAGGGTCCACGGACTTGTGATTGGCCCTCATCTTGGCAATGGCAGGCTTGGGAAGGGAGCCGTAGACGACGCTGACACCAACACCGGCCTTCTCGAAGACGTTTCCGTCTTGAAGAACGCAGCTGATGCCGCCGCCGCCGTTGGGGCGTGTCCACTCATCCTGACGGAACTTGTGGCCATCAACCCTCTCCAGTTCCCGAACAATAATCTGCTGTTGTTCCTTGATGAACTTCTCCATCCTGAGGCGCATGGAGGAGCTCTCGGTCACGCCGGCTTCGGCCTTCTTCAATGCATCCTTCTCGGCGAGGGTCGTAGCTTCGAGCTTCGCAGCGTTCTCGGTAGCCTGTTTCTCTACTTGTCAGAAAGAGTCCAGCAACACGGTTTAGCGACAGGCTCACAGCAGCACGAACATTGTAGTAAGCCAGAGGGGCGGCGAAGCCAACCGCTCCTGCAGCATAAATCAAGCTCCAGGAGGTCTTGGAAGACTGGCCAGCTCCAGATTTGGAGCTGAACTGCCTCGTGGCGTTCAATTGACGAGTGGATCGCGGTGCAGAGGCCTGACCAAGCTTGGTCGTGAGACGCTGGGCTTGTCGGCGGGCTGCCATGATGCTGTAGGTTGAGACGGGCGCAGTGCTTAATGACGGTGTTGCATGAACAATTTTCTCCCCACCACCTGCAACTTAGAGGTAGCCGGGAGTGATGAGCAACGCAAAGCGGAAAAGAACCAGACAAGGCGGCCGCAATGGGTAGATATACAAGAATCCCAATCAATTGGAAGGGGATGTGATGTGAAAAAAGTTTACAAGAGCTTACAAAATCTTACGATTTACAGCGGATAGAATCGGGGAAACTGCTATTGGATAGCCAGGGTCGGCCTCCAGACAGTTGACAGTTCGCTAGCTTTGGTGGAGGAACTGACCAACAATGGACGTAGGCCTGGAAATGCGCCGGAAAAGTCCAAGACAAATATCCCGACCAGGAACAAATATCAGGTGATAGAGAACATCAGGCAACCCCATTTCCCGCTAATGGTTGGAAGGCTGCTGATCTCACAGATTTTTGATCCTATGTACAAGAAGACTGTGACCGCGATCGGAATGACGAGGAAGGGAGCAGGACAAGGTGAGTAGGTGAGACTCAAAGAGGCCTCTCTCTAGAGCTTCTATGCAGCAGTCTTGAAACACCACCACCACGATTAACAGAGTCATCAAGTGCGCATAAGTGTGTCGTAATCGTATGTGGCTAATTGGTCAGGGAAGATACCTAGAATGCCGCTCGCGTAGAACAGGAACATGCGGAATATTTCAAGCTGCAGGTGTGTTTCCACTATGAGCAACCTGCATCGACCCTCACCGAGGCGGTTGAGTCACATCGGAGGGCCTCCCTCCCCATTTGGCGAGGACTGGAACTGCGTGTGCTCATCGCCACCACCGGATGGATCGCATCAGAGCCCCTTCTGCCTCGTTTTTCCCCCGTGATCACTTGGCGAGGCGGCTGATGCGCACAGTGCGGCCCATTAGCGGCTACATGCACTGTAGGCTCAACTGCATCCGGGCGTGAGCGCTGTACTGTGATCAATCAGCCTTAGATGGGGCTGGGTCTAGCGTGAACGTGAGAACCCCGCGTCTGTCCCTCTGCCTGTGTGTGAGAGGCGTAAAGTACCTGCACAGCACCCGGCGTTACTAATCTGGGGCCCGGCAGGCTGCTTGCGATATGCCACCACCCGCCTTATTAATGAAGGTACTTGCCTAAGTCCTCCCACCGACCTTTCGTTGCCCTTCTCTGCCGCATCAGCTGCTGCCTGCTGCCTTCGTGCCTCGTAGTATTTCATCCATCCCCGAACCTTGTTCCGTTTACACATCTCCATCCGCACCCTCGCATTTTCGATTTTACAACCTCCTTGCTCCAGACAGACGCAAGTATCCCACCGCCTTTTTTCGACGTCACCGCCAGCTTCACACGATCGCCACCATGCGTAGCAAGTTTAAGGACGAGCACCCCTTCGAGAAGCGCAAGGCTGAGGCCGAGCGCATCTGCCAGAAGTACTCCGATCGCATTCCTGTAAGCCTTCCTTTTCATTTGAGAATTCCCATCGCGTGCCTGATACGATATGCGCTGTGCCCGCCCTTCTCGTCGTCTAGAGCGGCGAGGCTGGCACCCCGCTTATCTGGTGATCGAGTACTTCGCAGGCCTCTTGATCCCACATCAGACTCGTTTTGCTAACAAGTATCAAATAGGTCATTTGTGAGAAGGTCGAGAAGAGCGATATCGCCACCATCGACAAGAAGAAGTATCTCGTCCCCTCCGACCTTACCGTCGGCCAGTTTGTCTACGTCATCCGCAAGCGAATCAAGCTCTCCCCCGAAAAGGCTATCTTCATCTTCGTCGATGAGGTCCTGCCCCCAACTGCTGCTCTCATGAGCAGCATCTACGAAGAGCACAAGGATGAGGATGGGTATGTACTGACTCTAAACTTCCTTACTCATGATCCGTCTGCTAACTCTCTCTCACAGGTTCCTTTACATCACTTACTCTGGGGAGAACACATTTGGGTCCTCTTGAGTCGCTCGCGACCCTCCGATCGACAAGACTGATGCCGGCGTTACTGGACGATTGGGTTTTCTTTGATGGGATGGTTGTAAGGATTTATCTTATACGAGTCCGTGAGCAAGCTCCTCACCGACGGCGGAACGCGCGCCACCTTTTCCGCTCCGAGAGGTGCGAAGCGAAGACAAATCCCTTGGCTCGTTTGACGCACCGGGTTTCTATCGGGATGGAGTACCTCCACAATATAGATGCGGGCAACGTTCGTTCGAAGAGTTCGTTGTTGGCATAACCGAGCCCTTTGCACTCGTCATTGTTTCCTCGCTTTCTTTTCGCGGGTTTCTTAAGTCGGCTTTACAATGTTGGACTGTTCAAGATGTTTATGGGTATGAAGAATGATAGAAATGCTAAGCAGGCAATAAATCCACCAAACCAGCCAAATCTAACCAGCTCCATCATTAAACGGGTGAAAGTCCGATGAGCGGACGTATTCTTGTAGCTAGATCAAAGAAGATGGCCCATTACACTTTTCGATTTTGATGCGGCAGTAGTTTCCTCTTGCCAATATGCTCATGCATTTAACCACCAATAAGCCCCACGGCAAACACCAGGTGTTCAGTCACCAGACCTCAGGATTGCTGTCCACAATCTTTCATCACTGTGAAGGGACGGGCGGAGTCATGACAGCCTTCTCCGACATGATTGCAAGCTTCTGCACCAAGTCGAGAGAAATTTCCGTTCAGACTGGTGTAGCCTGGCCGTGCTTTGATAATAAGTACTTATTCATTTGGGAATCTGTTATCATAGGTACCTCCCTAGGTAAAAAGTGTAAAAATGATATTATCAAGGGTCCTAATGATGTAAGTTCGGGACGTATTTTAGACTCTTGGAGCACCTTAGGCGCTTCGCCAAACATGACCCACCATTTCAATATCCATTGTAGCGCTGGGAATAAAAATAGCACTTTGTCTTTAGTAGAAGGGCTAGAATGGCGGTTCCAGCAAGAGCTTTTGTTCTCACAACACCATACCTTACTATCAAGTCAACAGGCTTCTCTCGATGCTTCATTGTGCAGTATTCCGGTATTCTCGAGGGTGTCGTGACGTGGGGGGCAGGTGACGTCAGCGCATCAGATGCATCACCAGTACATCACGAGGGTCGGTAAAGCAGCGCATACGAGTCCCGTGAGAAAACATACGTCTTGAGGATGCGCACAGGAGGAGTGCAACACCGATGTGCGCCGTAAGCAAATAGTCCGCTCGGGTCGGTATGTACCTGCATCACGATACGTAAGGTAGAAGGTCGCCAGCAAGCCAGAATCCATTCTGTTTGCAGGTGGACTCACGGCTTCAGGGCGCCATTGGTGGGGAAGGAAGGCGGCCAAGGGCCCCACCTGCCGTCCTTGATGTGCGTAGCCGCCTTTGCTGCCCCACGTCCCTTGATTGGATCTGAAGCTTCAAAACTTGGTCGAGTCCAAGGTGCTTGGGGCCGGCTTGAGTCTCGGTGGCCCGTGTTCCTCAAAATGGTCCTCTATGCTCCTATCAATTCTGCCAAGCCTGCGCTTCTTGGTGCTGACCTCCGCGGACATACTCTGAGACCAGCTTCACGCAAGCGCCTGCACCGACGCACGACGAGCCTGGGGCTGAATGATCAGCTCGGAATCGTGAGCATGAGAGCAGGCTCGGGTCCCTCTCTATCTCAGAGTGACGCCCATTCAAGACCAGCCAGCCAGCTTGTAGGTGCCGGCTCTATTGTGTGATTGTGGGTGAATGAACAATGGAACAAAGCGACCTCCTCGGCCCAGGTGAGCCAAATGTCAACAGCGGCAAACCCCAGCGTTTGTGTCCATTTTTGGAACCGCTGCAAAAATACCAAAATACAGACGTAAATCTTTAAGCGCTGCATGTCGAAGACCGCAATGGCTTGCCTGTGGGCCAGTTTTATCGCCGACGTTTTGACCACCCCTGGTTGCCATCATACACACTGATTTGACTGGCTGCAGAAGGCTTGGCGGAGCGCTTAACCAGTCGAACACTGGACGCACGACGAGCAGGTAGCCGGCCTGTGGCTGGGAGACCTGGAGCAATTGTAAAGGCATACACAGTGATTGGGCCTTCTGCCCTGCTTGCATTGAATGCCGTTTCAGTTCAGTTGGCGTGGTATTGCGCATCCAAAATTCTTCGGCGTTTGCTTATAGTTCGCCTTTGTTGCCCTCCCATTTCTATTGTCTTCTTTTGTGATTGACCTCAGCATACGCAACCTCTCACCTGGACCATGGATTGCTAGAGCTTCCATTTGTTTATTTCCTTCACGTCTCTTTCTTTATTTCTTAAATTTAGGAGCCTTCGCTTGGTCGAACTCCTTCTTCTTCTTCTCATTATTTCAGCATTGTCATCAAGCCCTCTACGCCTGCTGGTCACGGCCCAATAATACTCGATATTTGCCCCAAGTTGTCGTCCCTCTGGTAGCGACGTTTCAACTCCCTTTTACCCTTTACACTTTTCAAACGCATCTCTTTGAAATATTACAGTAAACAACAAGCGCAAGCACCCAAGATGGATAGATTCCACAAATTTACCTCGCGGGGTCATACCAATAACCCAGTCCCCGAGGTTCCAAGCTCTCTACGATCAGAGTCTTTCGAGTTATCTGACATACGAAAGGTCCAGAAAACCAAGGCTAACAACTCACCCTACATCACCCCTTATCTCGGCCTACGGTCTCGACTTTCTCAAATATGGATCAATCGCTGGACGATCCTACTACTCCTTGTCCTGGTTCGAGTGGTCATCCTCATCGGCCAGCTCAACTCCAACGTCGACGATGCGAAGGATAAAGCCCTATCGGCTTGCACCAAGGTCGAGGACTTGGGAAGTGCCATGGCATCGATGCCGCACTACTTGTCTCTTGGAGTGAATAATATGGCAGCCACCGGAATAGAAAAAGCCGTTGATGCAATGCTTGTCATGCTGGACCTCCTTATGACAGGTGTTGAGGCCATGATATATTTCTTCATCAGTTTCATGGTAGGCACCTATACCTGCCTCCTTACTGCTCTTGTTCACGGCGCCTTGGATGTGGTGGCTTCTGTCACGGAGGATGCTACCAAGGCCTTCAATACCGTCATCGACAGTGCTACAGGCGAGATTCAGACGATTTCAGGCGGTCTCGAAAAAACTCTCAATGATATCACAAAGGGAATCGAGGACTCTATCTTTGGAAGCATCCTTCCTGAGATTCCCACAGTGAACTTCACCGAACCCATCAACAAGCTCAAGAGCTTTGATATCAAAGCTGATGACTTTGTCAAGGACGTCAGAAAGCTGAATGACGATATTCCGACATTTGATGAGGTTCAGAATATGACCAAGGAGGCGATTGCAATCCCCTTTAACTTTGTCCGAAAGGCCCTCAACGACAGCTATGGGAACTATAAATTCAACCGGGACGTCTTCCCACTGGCCCAAAAAGAAAAGTTGACCTTTTGCTCAAATAACGACTCCCTGAATGGTTTTTTTGATGGGCTGTTCAGTCTCATTGCCAAGGCCAAGATCATCTTCATCGTGGTTTTGTCTCTTCTTGCAATCGCTGCAATCGCGCCAATGGCATGGCTAGAGATCAAAAGATGGAGAATGCAGCAACGCCATGCAAAGCTCATTGACGAGAATCGCTACGATTCAATGGATGTGGTCTACATATCCTCGCGCTCTCTTACCTCGACACTGGGCATCAAGTTTGGTTCGCGATTCACTGGCAAGCGGCAGATTCTTGCGCGGTGGTGCTTTGCCTACGCCACGTCTACCCCGGCTCTCTTCGTTCTCTCTTTGGCTATCGCAGGGTTTTTCTCGTGCCTCTGCCAAGTCATTATGCTTCAAGCCGTCAAGAACGAGGTTCCCGCACTGGCTCAAGAGGTCGGCTTGTTTGCTGACAACGTGGTATCAAGCATCAACTCTGTCTCGGAAGAATGGGCAACAGACGCCAATGGGATCATCAAGGGGCTGAACAGCGACATCAATGACGATGTTCTTTCCTATGTGACCAATGCTACAAGTGCCGTCAATAAGACCATCAATGTGTTCATGGACACCATGGATGACGGACTTCAAACTGTCTTTAACGGTACGGTTCTGCTTGATCCCATCAAGACCGTTATTCATTGTGTGATCGGCCTCAAGATTGAGAGCCTCCAGAAGGGCCTCACATGGGTGCATGACAATTCCAAGATTACTCTGCCGCTTTTCGCAAACGATACATTCAGCCTCGGCGCCAAGGAGTCTCTCAACGGTGACTCGGATCTTAACAGCTTCCTTGCATCTCCTTCTTCCGTTACAACCGATGAGGTATCTGGGGCAGTACAAAAGGTCACAGATTGGATGCATCGCAACATTGTGCAGGAAGCACTTATTTCTCTGGGAATTCTTCTCGCTTACATCATTGTCGTCTTGATTGGAGTGACACGAGCCCTCGCAGGCATGGCCATGCGTGGCGAGGCCCGACCAGGTGTTGAATCACACTACAATGAGGACGGTGAAGCACAAAACACCCAGGGTCGTTCACATGATCATCACCAGGGACAGAAGGATCAGTATCAGCATCGCTGGCAAGATGATGGCATCACCTCTGACACGTCTGACAGTCCCGTGCATTACGGTTCCGATGCCAAAGGAGGTGCCCATTACAGCTCTAGAGAGAAGAATGCCTTCTGAGCAGGTAGCAACAACAGTGGTGTGACAACGGATGGTTTTTTAGGATCTATATTAGCATAATTCCCAATTTTCTTGGTCTGATCTCATTTCTTGGATTTCCTCCCCTTTATCCGAATCCCTGCCATTCATTTTCAATAGAGTTACATGTACGCATTTTGTTTTTCTCGAGAGTGTAAGCAAGGAGTTTCTTATACTTATGCAGCCCGAGGGCGAATCTGCAGGGCGGCAGACACATGATACTGAGGCAGCCATAAATGAATCACAATCTACACTTCCTTCATTCCGCAGGCCGTTCCGAAAATTCCTATTCCTAACTTACCAGATGATCATCAAGAACGCGGGCCGCACTCAGCAGGCGGCATACAGACGCAGGCCACGGAGCTATATTGACTAATTACCGCTTTTGGCTACTCCGGATCGGAGTGCAGATGCTCCACTTTCGTGCATGCTGCAACGTGCTGCCGCTCTTCGGCAGAGCTCAAGGTGGAAGCAGCGCAGGTCCCTCCGTGCCTATCGGAAGTGTATGATTCAATAGAGTTCCAGGCCCTTCTCACCGTTTTTATAAATCTTCCAGCCGCCCACAATCCACCGCGTTCGTTCTGTTGTCACCAGCGTTCAACCAGCCCTCACGTCAATCGAACCGGGATCTCTCTATCTGTACTCTGCAATGGAGGCCATCAAGCAGACGTTTGCCGCCTGCAAGGCGCAAAACCGAGTGAGTCCGTTCTCGGCAGCCAGAAATCTGCCTCCAACGCCCCTCCTACTTAGCGCGGGGCAACATATCACCATTCGTCCTCGACGACGGTGCAGGCGTGGACAATTCAAGGAGAACTAACAAATTGGAACAGTCTGCCCTTGTCACATATGTTACCGCCGGTTATCCTCGCCCAGAAGACACGCCAGAGATTCTCCTAGCTTTGGAGAGGGGAGGTGCTGGTATGTTGAAACGCTCCCAATGAGCAATTCTTTCGCTATTTTTCAAGAGGAATTTTCAGCTGACAGCAAACCTCAGATGTGCTTGAGCTCGGTGTGCCTTTCACCGACCCAATTGCCGATGGCCCAACAATTCAGACCGCCAACACTGTACGTCTCGCTAGATTGATTCATTGGCATGCCTCGAAATCCCCTCGACTAATTGAATACTCGGGAAACAGGTAGCGCTACAGCATGGTGTCACAATCGAGTCCTCGCTCGAGATAGTCAAGACAGCCAGGAGCCGAGGTCTCAAGGCCCCCGTGATTTTCATGGGCTACTACAACCCGCTCCTGAACTACGGCGAGGAGCGTCTGCTGAAGGACTGCCAAGATGCTGGTGTTAATGGCTTCATTGTTGTCGACCTGCCGCCCGAGGAGGCTGTGTCCTTCCGCAAGCTCTGCTCCAAGGGAAGGTGAGTGTTGGATTCAGCCGTTTGTGCAGGGAAACTCATCTAACACTCGCCACAGCCTATCATATGTACCGCTCATCGCCCCCGCGACCTCAGACGCTCGAATGAAGATTCTTTGCCAGCTGGCCGATTCTTTCATCTACGTCGTCTCCAGACAGGGCGTCACTGGCGCCACGGGAACTCTCAACGCCAATCTGCCTGACCTCCTTGAGCGCGTCAAGAAATACAGCGGAAACAAGCCCGCTGCCGTCGGATTCGGCGTCAGCACTCGCGAGCACTTCCTCAGCGTAGCCTCCCTGGCCGACGGAGTGGTTGTCGGTAGCCAGATCGTCACCACCCTGCAAAAGGCAAAGGATGGAGAAGGATTCAGCGATGTCGAGAAGTACTGCGCCTACCTTTGCGGCCGCGACTCTCCCGATGGCAAGACCCGTGAGGTCGGCATTGTAGAAGCCATCGCCGCTGCTAAAGAGCCCCAAGGAGACAACGTCACCGTCAACGAAACCGTAACCGACGAGGACCTAGCGGCCGCCGATAAAGATCTCGTTGCTCAGCTCGCAGCCCTGCATGGCAAGATCCCCGACCGCTTCGGTGAGTTTGGTGGTCAATTCGTGCCTGAGAGTTTGATGGACTGTCTCTCCGAGCTGGAGGATGGCTTCAACAAGATCAAGGACGACCCCAAGTTCTGGGAGGAATACCGCTCGTACTACGACTACATGGGCCGGCCCGGCAGACTCCATCTTGCTGAGCGCTTGACCGAGTATGCTGGCGGTGCCAACATCTGGCTCAAGCGTGAGGATCTGAACCACACCGGAAGCCACAAGATCAACAACGCTCTTGGACAGCTGCTGCTGGCCAGAAGACTGGGCAAGACCAAGATCATTGCTGAGACCGGTGCTGGACAGCATGGTGTCGCCACTGCCACTGTCTGTGCCAAATTCGGCATGGAGTGCACTATCTACATGGGAGCTGAGGACGTTCGCCGACAGGCTCTCAACGTCTTCCGCATCCGGCTCTTGGGAGCCAAGGTCATCGCCGTCGAGGCCGGTACTAAGACCCTTCGTGACGCCGTCAACGAGGCTCTCCGTGCCTGGGTTACTGAACTCGATACCACCCACTACATCATCGGATCAGCCATCGGCCCCCACCCATTCCCCACCATTGTCCGTACTTTCCAGTCCATCATCGGCGAGGAGACCAAGAAGCAGATGCAGGAGAAGCGAGGCAAGCTCCCCGATGCTGTCGTCGCCTGCGTCGGAGGTGGCAGCAACGCCGTGGGCATGTTCTACCCCTTCTCCAACGACCCCAGCGTCAAGCTTCTAGGTGTTGAAGCCGGCGGCGACGGTGTCGACACCAACCGCCACAGCGCAACCCTCTCCGGCGGCTCCAAGGGTGTCTTGCACGGTGTACGGACATATGTCCTCCAGGACAAGCACGGCCAGATCCAGGACACCCACTCCGTCTCGGCTGGACTGGACTACCCCGGTGTTGGTCCCGAGCTCAGTCAGTGGAAGGATAACGAGCGAGCCAAGTTCATCGCCGCAACAGATGCCGAGGCCTTCCAGGGATTCCGTCTCATCAGCCAGCTCGAGGGTATCATCCCCGCGCTGGAAACTGCTCACGGTATTTACGGTGCCATCGAGCTAGCCAAGACGATGAAGAAGGACGAAGACGTTGTCATCTGCCTCAGCGGCCGTGGAGACAAGGACGTCCAGAGCGTGGCTGAGGAGCTGCCCAAGCTCGGCCCTCAAATTGGATGGGATCTGAGATTCTAAATAGCGTGTGTGATGATGTGAGGATATTTATTCATGGAGTTTAAGGCAAAAGGTTTTTCGATTTATCATAGTTTCTTTCTTCTGCATCAGATATCCAGTAGACATCTAGCTCGCTTGAGCTAAGTAAAAAATGGAAAAGAGATCACGAATACTTGGAAATGCGATCATGAGTTGCTATTATACATCTATACTGTCACAAATGATACAATGCGTTTAAATACAGGGTTTTGTTTTATTCTCCCTCAAGCCTTGGTCGTTACCTCGTCCTCCTCAGCGCTCTCAGCCTCAGCAAGGAGAGCTTCCTCGGCCTCCTCAGACAATTCCTCCACTCCCTCATACGCGGACAGATCCTCAATCCCGAGAATGAACTCCTCCAACTCCTGCTCTTGTAGCCTCGCCAGAGTCTCCCGACTCCTCCTGTTGAGGTGGCCGGGCGTCGCGTAGTCCAGGGCATACTGGATCAGGTCGCTCCTGTCCTCGATCTCCTTGGGCTCCAGCCCCAGGGCGACCCTCTCCTCGTTGAATCGCCTCTGCACGGCCTCGGTCTGCATGAGGAGCCAGCGCAGGTTCCAGCCACCCGGGCCGAGCTCCTTTATGCGGGCGGGCTTGCTCTTGAGCAGGTAGTTCTCCAGCCCCCCCTCGCGCTTGATCGTCTTGAGGACGCGCATGGTCAGGCGGGTCTTGATGTTGGCGCCGATGGCCGGGGAGAAGAAGCTCTTGACGAGGATGTTTGGCCGCCAGAACCGCTGGGTCTTGACCTTGTGCTTCTCCGAGACGTTGTTGCCGAACTGGATGCGGGCGGAGCCGTAGAGGCCCCTGTTTGATTGCTTGTAAACCTGGCGCTCGCCGTAGGGGTAGGGCGGGATGACTTTGTCGGGGAGGCGGGAGGGCTTGATCGTCTTTGTCTGGAGGGCTGATGAGGTGCTGAAAGCGCACGAGGTCTGCTGGCAGGTGCGTAGAATCCGCATGCCGCTGCTCAATGGAGAGGCGGTCCTAGAGAAGGACTGGAGGGGATTTGAGGGTGGCATGGTGCGATTGGCGGCTCGGAGGATCGAGCTAGACCGTGAAGAAGCCCCAGGGCCAGTATCTCGTTGCGGTGAGGGGGTTTCGATTTTCCTCTTCCCACCTATTGACGAGACCAGGATGACCAAAAATTGTGAGGATTGGTTGCTTTGGCTCGGGAGCGTGATGATCCGGGCCGGGCCGGATGCCAACATTTGGTGGCTACCCTATACCAATGACCTTTGCATTAATCCATGTCATGTGAGTCCGTGTAGCTTTCGTGATCTACCAAGGGCTTCATTTACCACGTTTTGACATAACAATTGAGAATGAATCCACTCTCGTCATCCTTGTTAGACCATATTGGCTGAATGAATTTTACAACATGTTTCCGCCAGTACATGATGCGGTTCTTACCAATAACCCGGACTTTGCCAATCTCTACAACAAGCTCACAAAGGTCATCCTCAACCCAGACGGCTCAACCAAGGAAGACCCCTCAGCCAAGGAGCGAGAGCATGTTCAAGAGGTAGGTTTCTGAATCCTAGGTCACGTTTATACGATTTCATGGTACCATTCCAATTTTCCTTGAACCCAAGCTAATCAGAGACGTAGGAGCTGAAGGCATACCGCCTCAAGGCAGCCAAGCAACATCTCATCACCAGGACCATTGCTACACTCTCTCCGCCTGAGCAATCGTCCACTGCCAACCGCAGAATTGCCAGACCCTCAGGCCGGCCTCAAGCACAAGCGCAGCCACAGCAAACTCCAAAACCAAGTCTACCGGAGCCGCTCCTCGATCTGCTTCTCATCCTACCCCCTCTCCTCAACCCTGCAGAGCCACTCCCCCAGGACTCCCTCTCCCTCCTCCTCTCCAGCCCGCCTCTCTCGGACCTCGAATCCCTCCTCCCGGACCTCACAAACCTAATCTCCTCGGCCCTCCGCTCCTCAGCCCTCGACCTAGCCCGCATCGCCCACCCTTCCACCAACCCATCCTACCTCCACCGCCACGTCGCCTCCCTCTCACAGACCCTGACCACCCTGACCACCCTCTCCGACGCCTCCACCGCCTCGCTTCACAGCGCCCGCATCCTCACCCTCACCGCCCTCACCGCCCTCCTGCACGACTACACCACGGCCCTCGGCCTCCTCCTCCGGGTCCTCGAGGCCAAGCACGGCGTCGTGGCCCGCAGCCTCGAGCTCCGCGCCTCCTCCGCCGTCCTGCAGGCCCAGCGATCCGAGCTCAACGCCGAGACGGCTCGCTGGGCGCTGCGCCGGGAGATCTACACGCCAGAGGCCGTGTCCGCGCTGAGGAACTACGCGTCGCACCTCCGGGACGCCAAGGTGCGCGCCGAGGAGCGGCTACGGGGGCTGGCGGCGGAGCTGGGCGAGTACGGGGTCGGAGTTGACGGCGGGGAGGGCAAGGAGAAGACGATGAAGGAGATGGCCAGGGTGTACCGGGAAATGATGCGGCAGGTGGCGGACGCCGAGGGGGACCTCGACCGCTTGGAAAGGGCCTAAGAGCTTCTGGAAGGACATTGGAACGTTCAAAAGGTTCATTTGATTTTCTGGTGCCCCTTGAATCAAACCAACCAGAATAATGATAGCGGGCGACACGTCAGTTTGATTATAGACCTCAGCACATAAATTCACGTATAACGGACAGTATGTTTTAAATGTTTCAATTTTGGATATCAAATGGTGATGCATCCCACACGGGCTCGTCACAGCAGCTTTAGATTTTTTTTTCTTCGGTTCGTCATACAAAGGGCAGGTGGGGTAGCCTCAGTCCAGCCCATCCTTTCCTGGTGGATTATTTAAGGTGATTTATACAATCTAGCCCTTGACGGCGAAGATGGCCTGGGCAAGGTGGTCGACATTGGAGCTGGTGATGCCAGCAACGGAGACACGGCCGTCCTTGGTCAGGTAGACGGAGTGGTCCTTGGTGATCTTGGCAACCTCCTCGGGGGTCAGGCCAGTGTAGGCGAACATGCCGATCTGGTTGGTGATGTGGGACCAGTCGTGCTTGGAGCCGAGCTTCTCGAGCTTGCCGCGGAGCAGGGTGCGCATGGTGATGATGCGGTCGGCCATCTCCTTGACCTCACCGAGCCACTGCTTGTAGAGCTTCTCGTCGTTGAGGATCTCAGCGGCGAGGCGAGCACCGTGGATGGGAGGGTTGGAGTACATGGGGCGGATGATGATCTTCAGCTGAGACTCGATGCGCTTGGCCTCCTCGGCATCAGCACCGACGACAGAGAAGACACCAGCACGCTCACCGTAGAGACCCTAGAAACGAAGGTCGATTAGCGTAAGTTCTTCGAATACGGGGTCTTTTGTGTTTTAGTACATACCATGTTCTTGGCGAAAGACTGGCAGAGGAGAATCTTGTGGCCCTCCTCGACGAAGTGGCGGACAGCGAAGGCATCACGGTCAGCATCACCACTGGCGAAACCCTGGTAGGCCATGTCGAAGAAGGGAACGTGGCCGAGCTCCTTGAAGACCTTGGAGAGCTCTCTCCACTGGTCCTGGCTGGGGTCAACACCGGTGGGGTTGTGAGCGCAGGCGTGGAGCAGGATGGTGCTGCCGGGGGGAGTGTTCTTGAGGTCTTCAACCAGTCCATCGAAGTCGAGGCCGATGGTCTCCTTGTTGTAATAGCGGTAGTCGACAGAGGTGATGCCAGCATCCTTGAAGATGGCCTTGTGGTTGGCCCAGGTAGGGGTGGGAACGCGGATCTTCTTCTCGCCGCTGTACCAGCGCTGGAGGAACTCGGCACCGATACGGAGAGCACCAGTTCCGGAGATGGTCTGGGTGATGGCAAGTCTGTCGAGGACGGGGGAGTTGGCACCGTAGGCGAGCTTGACGGCGGCCTTGGGGAACTCGGGGACACCGGTAATGCCAGCGTACTCCTTGTTCAGCGCCTTGGAGAGGAGACGCTCCTCAGCCTGGACGACGGAGGGGAGAACGTAGGGCTTGCCAGCGTCATCACGGTAGGCACCAACACCTAGGAGCAAATTGTCAATTGTCGTTGTCCATCTCTCTCCCAGTACTTTCACACAAAGACAAGACAGTATATAGGTGAGAAGGTCGTGGCATACCGAGATTGATCTTCTTGGGGTTGGAGTCGGCCTTGAAAGCTTCGGTGATACCTAGGAACGAATTGATGTTAGTTTCGATGCCAATTGAAGTGAGGAGGGGGGGTAAATTAATGAGGGGAGGAAGCATACCGAGAATGGCCTAAGAACAGGCAGAAGAGGTCGAGGTTAGCAACAAAGCGAATTGGATAGTAACAGAGTCCGGGATCCTAGGATTGGTCCCAATCTCAACGGCCGAAACAACTTACATCCTAGAAAATTGACATGTTAGCTCCGGGATCGGGGTCCTCTCGACTCAGCGTGGGCGACAACTTACTGGTGGGCCTTGGGGGACGTTGCTCCAGATGGAGAGGCCACGAGAAGCGACAGCAGTGACTGCTGCAGGGCGCACGAAAGCCCGGCGGGCGGCGGTGGTTCGGAGAGCGGAGAGCATGGTGACTGTGTGGTGGTGGATGGAGGGGAGAGTGGGAGAGAGAAGGTCTGGAGAGGAGGAGTAGGAGGATGTTCGCTTCTTGATGTAGGTACCTAATAGCAGGTATTATGACTAGCTGGAATGACTCCTCCTCCGTCGATGTTGGAGCTTAGAGTGTGTCGCATGGAACTTACGGTATGGATGTGTGCGAGGCACTACCTGGTCTGGGAAAGGTCGGAGTGGGCTCTGGCTCTCTCGCGTGGGGACTGGAGCTGGATGCTGCATGAGGTGGACAACAGTCAGTCGGTGCTCGTTGAATGTGCTCCAGGTTGTGCTGCCGTTTGACTGGATCGCCTGATGCGGGAGCTTACAGGCGGTGCCGCAGGTACGGGCGGTACTTACGACTGCCGCGGGCGCACCAGCCATCTGCGAGTACAGGTACCCGGTCGCAAACCGGAAGCTGCGCCTACGTCCCTGGCCAAAAATTATTGTGGTGCGACAATGAGCTCTGGGGATTCGAGGGCGCTTCCATTGCTTTGCTTGGCAGGGCTCCGGGGGAAACGAAATTAACCCACCGTGACCTCATGCGTTCGAGCTGCAGAGAGGTCCAGCCTAATCCAACTGATTCCCGATCATAGAACAAGCTATCCAACACCCTCGCACCTCCATCAAGGTCTGGGAACCATCACTATAGGCGAGCCTCTCACGGAGCAGACGTGCGAGGAGAGAAGGGGCAACCGCAGGCCAGAAGTTGTGGGGGAGACAGGTAGAAACGACCCAGAAGGTGGCAACCCCAAATCGGATGCAGATATGCAGATGAGAGCTACCCTGGCCAGCCCGGTGCATGATGATGATGGGCAGGCGGCTGAGAGGAGATCTCAGGCTCTCGCTGGCCGTGTCCGCACCAGCAACCTCCTCCCCCGGCCCGGCCTGCTGCAATTGCCCCTAACAGCCCACCGCCGCCCACTGCATTCTATTCCGTTAGCGCCGCCGTTGATGGGGCTGTCCATCATCATGTGCAGCAGAAAAGCAAAGAAAGGCGCAAGGGAAGCGTGAAAAATAGGGCTCGCAAGAAAAGGAACCGGAAGCTGGTCCAGGCTCGTCTCCAGCCCTCGAAACGGGTGGGCGGATGCGCTATACTAGCACCATCACCAATTCCCCCAGTGACTATCCCCCACGAATGTATTTGACTCATCTTCACCGGGTTGGGAGCTTCGAAGCGCCCTTCGAAACCGTACTCGATACGCGCCCCGGCACTCTTGTTCTCGGACTCTTCATGCTCCCGGCCGGTCCATCAGCTTTCATGACGCTAGCCCCATCGTTCAATCAGAATTGGCCCTCGTATGTGACGAAACATTGGCCATGAATAACACCAACCCTCGCCCCTAGGCATGCGGTCAGGAACGCATTGTATTTGTCCGCTTACCTACACCGACAAGAGGGGAATTACGTCTCGTGATTTGTATCGTCCGTCGGGAATCGTCGGATCTAATCAATCTTAATTTGTAGTACAGCAGGTATCCACTCGTTCCTCTCTGACTGTCCTCGCCGAACACTCCGGGGATTGGCTGGCAGGAGCTGTGTGCGGAGCGGCCACAATCCATGCTGAACTCGGGGTTTCGGCGAGAAATGTGGTGTTTTACTTGTGACTCGCAATCCCGCCTAGGCACCACGGCTGGCTAACCTACACCTGGGTCCACCCCGAACGTCTTCCGGGTTTTCGGCATCTAGAGTGAGAACTCCGACTGGATCCCGAACGATTCTATCGACACGCCGAAAATTTCCCCAGGAAATTACCCCAGACTGATGCATGCCCTAGATGTTAATCTGTGCCCAAACCTCCTTACGAGCTAAATCGATCGCCCGCCGAGGGGAACGCACACGAACAACAAGAAGGGAAACCTGAAAGGTGCAGGGTAGGATTGCAGCATGTAACGGTGGGTTCCAGTGACATGGCTGCGGTATGAATGCATGAAACCGGTGAAGGTTGCTTACGTCTATCGTCTGCACCTTCGAAGCCTATCCACTGTCTCGGACTCAAGAAGACGGGTGTGGGAAAAAAAATCAATTAAGGCCAGTGAATGGCGTTGACAATAACTACCGGCCAGTTTTCAGCCGAACCAGCATCTGATGAGGTATATGCACGTTTCGCTCATGCTCTAAATGCACCTATGTACAGGGTATGACGGGCTATGATCGATGATAAATCTCAGCTTAGGCAGCCAGCTCGGGCCTCGCGGGACCCGGTCGTCCAAGACCGTCGACCTGCTCATACTGATTGATAATGTTGTCTTCGACGCTCTCGTGGAAGACATCGACCTTGGTCTTGGCGAATTGACGGGCTGAGACCTTCTTCTCGAACAAAACATCCAACTCTGCAAATGTTCGGTCGCGTGGCTCTGGCAGGCGGAAGAAGGTGTAAACGATGCAGCAAAAGCAGAGGCCACCCTATATCGAATCAAGAGTTAGCATTGATTCTAGCGAGCGACAGGTGGCTGCCCCCAAGATGCGGGAAGAACAAAGCAAGAAATTGGCTGTGCGGACTTACCCAGAAGAAACCAACATAATTGGACCAGTTCCACGCATCGGGGTTAAGCATATAGGGAGTGAAGACACCCGTGATGATACCGACAACATTGCTGAAGACGAAGTTAGAGTCGGCCCAAAATGAGAACGGCCAAGAGCAGGGGGTCGTTACTTACTAGAGATTTCGGCCCAACACAACAGTCTTAATCTGGAGGCGACGAGATGACAGCTCGGCCACAAGAGAATAGGCAATGGTGCCGACTGTCAACTGGTAGATCAAGGCCCAGCCAACCATGATACTTCCCGTGGCCAATGCACCCTTGTCCCGGTTGGACTCTGGAACGAGACCAAGGAATCCAAGGATGAAGAGCATCGAGCACAGCCCGCAGAGACCGTACAGATAGAGAGACCGACGACCAATGCCGAAAGACATGAGAGTCCAGGCGCCGAATGTACCGACCATGTTGATTGCATACTGGCCCATGGCGAAGGCGTACGAATTGTATTCTGACAATCCGGCCTGCTTGAGGAAGTAGGTGGAGTAGTTGGAAAACACGTTTCCGCTCAGATTTTGCATAGCCCAGACCATGCACACAATCTCTGTACGTCGAAGATCAATTCCCTTGAAGCAGTCGAGGTAAGACGCTCCGGCAGTGAGCTTCTCCTCCAGCGCCGTGGTGTGGATCATCATAGCCACAGTCTCGTTCTCGTCAAAGTCAGTCTCTCGGTTCCTGCTGGTCAAGCGCAGCAGAGACTTTTTAGCTTCCTCGATCCGGCCTTTGCGGACCAGCCACCAAGGGGACTCGGGCGCAAAGTAGATACCGATGAACAGAGGGACAGGCCACATCCATTGGAGGCCATATGGAATTCGATAAGCCCACTCGTCTTGGCGGTCGAGCATGGAGAAAATGACAGCGATGCCAATCAACTGACCCATTCCCCAGCAGCAGTTGATGTACGTCGTCAGATACCCACGAAGAGCAACGGGGCAGACTTCCGAGGCGTAGGTGATGGTGATTGTCTGGAAGATACCCCAGGGGATGCCACAGAGAATCTCGGCAGCGAGAAGCGTCTGGACATTCTGGGCCACGAAGAAGAGGGTGATGAAACCAGAGAGCCAGATCAAGCAGGCGAGTAGGGTGTAGCGATACCCAAATCGCTCAGAGACGTAGCCATTAATGAATAGACCGATGATTTCACCACAGTATGCACCCTGTATATCCGCAAGTGAGGATTTAGCAAATCGGACTCTGAAGACAAAGGGAAATGAAAGCCCAGAGAGGCAGATCGGTGCCAGGCTGTGCTACATCATTGGATATCAATAACTTACGTTGCTCAGTCCCGCTTGCCATGCAGCTGGAATTTCCCAGGAACCATCTGCGAGTTGAACTCCGTACTTGCGATTGAACTGAGAGAAAGCGTCTATTAAAATGTGGATGCATTGTCAGTCTCCAATCATATCAGACTGCGCATATGTGTGCATGTATATGCATGTACATTGTCTGAGTGTGGGTGGGGGTCTTAGGTGTGTAGGATCAGCGTGTCTTTCAGTCTCAACCCGTTGATATCACATGTACCAACAGAGAAGCAGACAGAAACGAGCACAGGAATCAAGCATCGGGAATTAAAAAAGCACAGGATAGCAGGGCAGCATACAGAAGTTGTTTATCAGACAGACGTCGTAACCCTCCATCACGATGCAGGTCGAGATGAGGACACTAAAGAAGATGGCCTTTGGGTAGAGCTTGATTCCCTGCAACAGGGTCATGGAGTGCTCCTTCTCGGCAGCGGCACGGGCGCCTTGGACAACATGCTCATGCGTTTTGGATGTCTCATGGTGGTCATGGTCAGAGGCGGCGGTGATGTTGGGGGTGGCATCAGCGGGCGCCGAGTCGACGCCACTGGCCAGTTTTGCTTTTTCCGACATTTCAGCGCACGATGACTGAATGGCGGGTGCGATGTATCACAATGGGGCCGCCAGATATTACGGAAGACGCAGGAGGTACGCAGATGGAATGTCGCGTGCTCAATTGTCTCGGAGAGCGAGAGGATGAGGGAGTGGGAGAGAAAAATTCACTGGGAAAAAATAAAATTGGGACAGGATTGGTAAAAACGGGACTTCAAGAGGGAAATGCGGAGGAGGGGAACTGTATGGGGTTGCAATCATTCACCCCGCAAGGACGAGGACAGGCCAGCACAGATTCCACCTGGGGATTGGCTTGAATTGAGGTGAATTGGATGGAATGGTGTGAATCCGGGGACTGGGTTGCGTCAAGGGACTGGCTGCATATCACTCCATTGCTACTTTCTACGCTGCGAGGAGCATCATGTGGTGGTGCAGTGTGATGCATGCCAACGGCCAATGGCCCACCGATCCCGTCCCCATGCCATGATGGGATGAGTGCCATTGCTGATGGAAGTACTGGGGTGTTTGGAGGCGAGCTTGATCCGCTCAATGACAGAACAGCCGAGCAACGACAAGATGCAACGCTGTGTGGGCAGCCAGAGGCGATACTCAAGTATGTAAGGTAAGTAGAAGCCGGTGCTAGAAGACTGCCGCCAAGTTATTGGAAGTTTTAACGGTGTCTCGGCAGGTCCGTCGGCAGATGAATGTGCTTCTGACAGGCGCAGGGCAGGACAAGTTCGTCGTTAGGCTGCCCGACCCCGACTAGCAGCCAACCGCTTCGGGATAGTGGCCTGGCACCAAGACAGTACCTGCTAACCTGGGCCAAGTGCCACAGAGATCAGCACACTCGATAGGAGGAGGCTGGTGTTAATAGGCATCGTCCTGGTGGCAGCAGCCGAAAAAGAATACATTTCGAATGGGACGTATTCCCTCGAGATAGCACAAAAACTCAATCTGAAGGTTATCTCTGGTCTGGTGGCGTCTGGCCTTGAATATTTATCCGATGGTCGGGAAGAAAAGCGGAGTCCTCGGCCGACCGTCATCATGAGCCGGTTCAGGGTAGGCCGGGCTGCACGGAAGTTGAGTTCTTCGGCTGCTCCTCATCCTGGAGACGAGCGCTGCTGAGACGAAAGAGCCTTGGGGATGGCCCTTGGAATATTATCACGTATAGCCATCGAACCATTTGTTTAAGTAATTGGTCTGCTATCCGGTTCCCCCTTCTAGACCATTATGCGCGTACAGCAAATTAGTGGGATTCTAGCCCTGAATAGAAGGTCTTCATGTCCACGGACCCGAGAAGCCGGCAGCTAGCAGTCTGTGCTCTGTACTGCGTATGAAATAAATAGGCTCCATGGACGTCCATGGACGAGGACCTTCCCAATTAAACGTCTGGGCCATGGAACTGGCACTTACTAATGCGAAGGTCCCGGAAGCCTCCCGCTGCACCAGGTTCGCCGCGACCTTTGGGCCAGATCGGCTGCCGAGTTAGACTGATTGGCGCAGAAACGACTAATTCAAGTAGTGAGGCGATGGCCTGGTGGTGTCGATACATGCCCGCTGTGGCGCCCGCTATCTGCTGTTTTTATCCTCGATCAGACATCCATGATGTACTTGTGTTTCAGATCGGTGACTAGGCCTGCCGGGCCATTTTTCTCGTATTTTGACCACTCCTTCGGCCACTGCCGTATTCATCTGCTGAATCCTGCACCCCCCAATTATTTGCTGCCACCAATGACCTACCTAACTGAGTGCGAGTCCTTCTCAAAATGCCACTTGATTTTCCTGGCTGGTCTGGCCGATAACAATTGACAGGCGGCTGCTCGGCTCTACAGAAGTACCCATACCGGCTGCAGGAAATGAATGACCCAGCTATTTTGGGATCCGGACTCCACTGGGATTTGACCATCTTCCCTTTATTGCTACCTTCGATTTATAGTGCTTTCCTTGGCAGGAGAAACATGTTTTTTTGGGCGCATTTGGCAAGCTGCCCGAGGCAGGTACGTTCCTGCCTGGTGCCTTCATCTACACGATCCGTTGTCCCCAAGATGGGCTTGCCGGATGTCCGCATGGATGAAGATGTCTACAACGAAGCCATTCCTCTCCCCTCACTTGTTCAATTAAGCGCTTGAGCCAATCCAGGGGACCATCAGAGCATGATTTGCATCCCAACTGCTCCACTGTGCTCGGTCGACACCCCAGCTTGGTGCCGCCAGCTGGGCCCCCCCTGCCTGTACCCATCTCAAACCAGCAAAGGATATTCGAGCTGCATGTGAACTGCACTACCACGGAGTTCTCCAGCCGAGCTGAACTGGCAAAGCGATCGTGCCTCGCTAGCTCGCTTGTCTGTTTCTTGCCGTCCGTGTCGCTGTAGCCTTACCGTGACTACAGCACCACCTTCTTGGTGCTGAAACCTCCTAGACCAGCAATGCAACACCATGATATAGCCCATGAGACATGGGCCAAAGGCTGAGGCCAAGGACCAATCTGTGACAAGCTTCAAACCATTGAACTTCAGCTGTGACCTTCATCTCCCACGATTGGTAGCTGATCGCCGCAATTCCGAGGCCAGGAAGGATTCCTCCCACGCTCTAGCCCGCTCCTCTCCCCCACCTTGACCTTGACACCACCCCCCTGGCCTGGCTTCCCTCCTTGGTTTGTCTCATGCTCTACTTTTGGACGTCGTGCCCAGCTTTCCTTTCCACTTCGCCTTACTTATACATTGGGGTTCGTGTTTTCTCTCCTACACGTATGTCGATCCCAAGCTGTCAGTAGTTTCAATCGCGTGGAAGCTCTGAATCTGGTTCCTCCTGGATATCGAAACGAAAGGAAGATTGAATATACTTGACGCCAGTACGACAGCAACTAATAATCGGCCGCCATGCATCCCGTCTCTCCTTCGTCGGTGTCGCAAGCGGATACATTGGGCACATCGCCCTTCCATGACCAGGACACCCTCAAAGAGGTCTATGCCTCCCCGGACGCGCACTATCTAGGCACGCCAATCAACCGGGACCCGCCGCCAACTTCATACTATCGCTCCGACGACTTCCCTGAGGTCAAGCCTTCAGAAGACTTGGAAGTGTCTCACAAGCCTGCCAAGTTTGCTGGTGGCGACTACTACGCTCCCCGCGGAGGAGATGGCGAGGGAAAGATCGTGGTGGGCCGAGACGAAGCGCCATTACCGCCTACGCCTCGCAAGGACTGGAAGAAAAGTTGGAATGTTAGGATTTTACTAGTCATCGGCGGTATCCTTATCATTCTCGCAGTGATTCTCGGAGCGGTCCTGGGTTCAAGGGCCGCGAATAAGGGCAGCAACGGCGCCGGCGCAGACGGAGCAGCAACTACATCATCAGGGGCATTGGCAACAGCAAGCTCAATGACTGTAACAACGATACAGACTGGCAGCGTCACAACCACAGCCTCGGTGTCGCCGGCTACCAAGACACTAGAAAGTGTTGCGATCCCCGAAGCATCTGCCTTTGATGTCGGAAGGTCGTACAACGCAAGCTTCACGCGATACGGGACAAACGACGGAACTGGCGGTAGCAACTGCAATGTGGCGCTGAATGGCTGCGGCTTTTATAGCAAGGTAATTCACACCGCTCTCTCTCAATGTGAGGTTGAAGGATAACCAGAGTATACTAACAATCCATTTTTTATCAGCCTGGGTATGCTGCCGGCGTATCTCAAAATTTGTACGGCACTGGCCCCGGCAAGGGCAAGGGCCCGGCATGCGGCACATGCTGGTTTCTCGAGACATTCCGAGATGCTTCTGGCAACGAATTGAAAAACAACATCACCGTTATTGTCAACGACCTCTGCCCAGCAACTGCTGGCAGCGTTTGCCGCCAAACGAGCCTTTCCGACCTCAACTCGTGGGACACCCAAGTTGACTTCAACTTATGCACAGATTCTGGTGCATCGGACGCCATGTTCGGAGCCAACAGTGGTATTGGCTTGGCAGTAGGAAGGGCGACGAGAGTCGATTGCAAGTCCTGGTCGGGCGAGATACAGAGCTAGACACTGGCTTCTCAAGAAAGAAACCCAACCTTTACCCCCTGTTTTAATGATAAATGATATGATACCACCATGGGGGAGAGACGATAGGGAGCGCATGGAGTTCTGGGTTGGAGGGCACATGACACTATTCTGTACCTAACTTTTGGCGTTACTTTATTTTGGTTTACAGCGAGCCTAGAGTCGTCCCTAAAGGCGTTTATTATTTTTTCCACACATCTCTCCACCAATCTTTGAGGCCGTATGCCTTCTCCTCGGCTTCGAGACGAATGCGGGGACTGCTGCCACCGCCGAAATTCTCAAATATGCCCGCCGCTGCTGTCTGATGTCGTCCACCGCCCAGGCCGGGAGATTTCACCCGTGTGGTCCTCTCTTTAATCTCGTTTGCCAGCTGTGGCGCCACCTCTGCAAAGGCGCCCAAGAGTTCTCTCTGTAGGGAAAAGTACGGTTTCTTCGCTAGGTCGGGTGCCATCAAGTTGTAGGTCCGTGTAATGCTGTTGAGATTATCAATGGACAACTCCATATAAGTTCGCTCTGCAGCTTCCCAGTCGGGGTCCCTGAACGGCGGCAGCAGCGGCCGGGGTTTCTTATCTTCGAGCCCAGCCGACGGCTGCTCTGCCGCATCATCAGCAGAGCCTACCGCATCTGATTTTGGCGGTTTCCTCACCTCAACCATGACGGGGTCTTCGGTCAATCCAGGGGGGATGGTAGTCTCTTCCACCTTGCGGAAGCGCGGGTTGTGCCTCCTCTCCGCCTGGGCGTAGTCCTCGGCCCGCTGCATCTGCTCCAGCAGCGAGCCTCCCTTGGCGGCGATCATCCTGGCCGCGTGGCGCTTCCAGTCGTTGCGCAGCCTGGTGCGGAAGGTGTGCGCCGCCTTGGCGAGGTCCTGCTGCTTCTCGATCCAGGGGGGCACGATGTCCTGCCGCTGGATCATCTTGTTCATGATGTACTCGGTCGTGTCGATGAAGGGGTTGTCCGCCCTCGCGTCCCGCTCCACGCCCTTGCCGCGGGGGATGTTCTTGAACTGGCCCCTCGCGATGGCGTCCTCGATGCGCTCGTTGGCCAGCGCCGCGAGCCCCGTGATGGAGTTGGGCATCGCCCGCGCACCCGGCTGGAACCGCTCCCTGAACTCCCGCCTGAGCTCCTCCCGCTCCTCCGGCGTGAGGCCCTTGTTGCCCGACACGGCGGAGGCGGAAGAGGCCTTGGCTTCGGCCCCAGCGTAGGCGCTCGCCTTGTCGCGCGCGCTGGCCACGCGCTGCGAGGCGCTCATCGCGGGGTCCCTCTTGATGCGCATGTCGACGGGCACCGGGGTCCGGAACTTTCCCCGGAGCTCGGGCTTGAGCGGCTTCCTCGAGTCGTCCAGCATGCGGAGGACTGCGTCGTGCGTGGTCTCCTTGCCGGTCCAGGGGGCTGCCGTGGCGATGTGGTGGCTGCCCTCACCCACGGCCGACGAGGACGACGAGATGCCTGCCTCCGCGAACGCCGACGAGAACCGCTTCCTGAACTGGGCCTCCTTGACCTTGTTGAAGAGCTTCTCCTTGAGCTCCTCCGAGAACCCGGCGTCCTCTACTAGTTTCTGGCTGGTGCGGCCGCCAGTGAGGAGCGCATCCTCGGTGGCTTCCTGTAGTCGGCGTGTCATGGCGCCCGGCTCTGATGAGGAAGAGGAGGAGGAGGATTTGGGATCCTTTGGAGGAGGTTCCGAAGGCTGTGAGATATCCCTTTTCTTATCTTGCGATTCTACTACTGTCTGTTCCCGAGGACCCGATGATGTGTAGTTGCGGGTTTGGCAGCGCTTTGGCGGCCTGGCTAGCCGAAGACATCTTCGGCAGACCGACTGGCGAGGCACTATTGATGCCATTCGTCACGGCCGCTTCATTAAACACATGTGACTTGACGAGGTGAAGAGATGGTAGAGAGGTTGCTCTCTTGGTTCAACTGTAACGAGCCTTATTGTAACGCCTTAAAAGGTGCTGGCAGGGATTAGCTAGCTATTGGTGGAATCCTGCTGTCAGTTAGCTTAGGTAAGCAGCCCAGCAGCTATATAAGAGAGTATATTTTAGGTTTTCTGGATGTATATAACTACTATATTCGCTATAGGGTTACTTGCTCAGCTATTTCCATGCTAGAAAGAGCAGTATATATTAAGTTCTGGGTATCCTCATCCAAGAATATTTCCAGGTACTTCTGCAGGAGCACCCTCGACTTCTCCCAGTACCCAAGCTCAAATCCATTCTTCGCATCATCCCGATAGGGAAGCAAGGCATTCTTTCGGACTTGATTGGGAGCATATATCATCCACATGCATACGCACCGGATCTCCGCCCGCCGCAAAATCGAAGCTGCATCAGGGTGAAAAACATCTGTTAGGCTGGGCATAGACCACGATATACCCTCCTCGGATTTAAAGAGGCTATTCTCAGTCATCTGAGCAAGAAATGCCATGACATTCTCGTACTCGTAATCATCTTCAGGCGTATTACTTTCTTCACATGGTGCTAAACGCAAAGTCAGCCGCTTCTATGCTATCGCCCAACGCAGGGTGTGCTCAACCCACCACTTCTGTGGTAGAACTCGCGTATCAGCACCATCATGCAGGGCATGTCAGACCAGACTTCCTGATTGCCCAGTTTCAATGTACCCCCCTGCTTTGGGTCGGGTACTACCTGTTGCTTGAGAAGGCGGATAAACTCAAGAAGCTGGGACTGTTGATCATGACGTACGTCTGTAGCGAGATCTAGAATATAGCAGGAGACATGATAGGCGTGTAATCCTACTGCGTCGGTGTCTTGGGAAGCTGCAGCTGCATAGGTTTGCGCAGTGATCTGTTGCACTGCCTCAGCTACAGAGAACTGCTCGTCTTCTAGTAGTTTTCGGAAGATGGCTCTCTCTAGCTCGCCGCGGTGGTCCTGTTTTGCATTTCAATAACCACCCTCAGACAAGCGAAGCGCTGCTTTTTTTTCTCTCTTGTGTGTGTGCATGTGTGCGTGCAAGACCTGGACCTACCTCCTCGTTCATGATGCTGGTGATATTTGCATGCAAGAAGCGATGCTATAAGTTATGATAAGCCAGTGTCTACTCGCAATTGATGAGTCATCTTATCCTCTCTCGCTCATCTTGTGCTCATTTCTTCCTGATTTCAGATGAAGGGAACCCTTGACGTTGTATCTGTCGGAAGCGCACCTGGTCTCATGGAAATAAGCTATCCAACTTGCCAGCTAACTTCGGAGTAAGCAACGGCAGAGCTGAGAGTTATCCCAGACCCTTGTGATGATCTCTGGGTGTCTGGAACACACACACTTCGGTTCGTATTTAAGATTGGCGAACTGGGCTTGAATGACCACCATCATTGTACCACAACGGAGATAATGAGACTTATCAGGAGGATACGGACGGAGTCAATGGACTTAAGAAGTGAAGAATTCATGCATCTGCAGTCAAAGAGTGGAGCAACCGCGCGCGCGGGCAAAGTCATGAATTGATATGACGTGAATGAGGAAAAATAATCCGAGCTGCAATCGCTCCTCTGATACAACCCGTCTACTTAAGCTGCAAGCCAGGGATTCACTCCAATTGTTGCAACGTTCCTCTACCCATCCAAATTTTCAAATATTATATGATGGCCACATCCAAGACAGAGATCCCTCAGACGTTGAAGGGCAAAGTTGCCATAGTCACGGGTGCCTCACGGGGCCTTGGTGAGGGCTTCGCTTATGAGTTAGCCAAGAGAGGAGCCAAGGTGAGCAGCAATTCTTCACATGGAGGGCAAAAGGGATGAGGAGCCCAATCCGGCTGAAAGTTAAATATCGACCGCATTCTGAATTGAATTTCGAGAACTGATCACTCACACAGATCGTCGCGACTTACACATCCCCCAAGAGCGACCAGCAAGTGACCGCCCTGGCCGACAAGATCGCAGCCCTGGGCAACGGCTCGGAGTGCATCCACGTCAGGGCCGACCTGCGGTCCCCCGACAGCGCCGCCCAGATCGTCAAGAGCTCGCTCGAGGCGTTCGGCCACGCCGTCGACATCCTCGTCAACAACGCGGGCGCCGAGGTGGTCAAGCCCCTCGATGACATCACGACGGACGACTTCGACTTCGTCTACCACCTCAACGTCCGCGCCCCCCTCCTGCTGCTCCAGGCCGTGAGGCCGCACCTGCGCGCGCCCGGCGGCCGCATCATCAACATCTCATCCGTCGGCAGCCGCTCGGGCATGAAGAGCCTCTCCCTCTACTGCTCCTCCAAGGCGGCCCTCGAGGGCATGACGCGCTGCTGGGCGGCCGAGCTGGGCGGCGAGGGCCACACGGTGAACTCGGTCAACCCGGGCCCCGTGCAGAGTGAGATGCTGGACAACATACCCCGGGAGATCATCGAGATGCAGCTGGCGCAGACGCCGATACAGAATCGGCTCGGCACGGTGGACGATGTCGCGCAGATTGTGGCCTGGCTGGCGTCGGAGGAGAGTAGATGGGTGACCGGGCAGTGTATCTCTGCCAGTGGAGGATGGGCCTTGTACTGAGACGACGCTGGAGCTTCTTTCATTCTATAGCGTGCAATATATGACATTGTTCTGACTTGTTCCAGCTTATAACAAGAGTGTTTGTCTATTTCAGAGTTGCGTTTTGAATAGCTTATTTCTTCTTTTTTTACCGTAAGGAGGGAGTGTATCCCAAGATCGGGCCACACGTAGCTTTATTATACATCTTTATGTGAAACTAAATTACAGTCTATACACGAACCTTGAACACAGGAAAAACTTTGACAATCAAATCACACACATAGCCTACCTAGGCACAGGCACCAGCATCTCCAAAAACTCTAACAAGAGCTAGCCAGAGGTCAACAGGTAATGATATAAGTTGGCTATGTGGTCCCCAAGAGAGGAAGCTCATCATTCACCAACCACAACCACCTCTCCAAGCGACAATGTTAGTGTCCGACGTTATCATCCCTTCTAGCTAGGGCTAGATCAGAGCAAATGACCGGGTCCTAGGAAGCGTTGGTGGCGATCATCAGCGACAATCTGAAGAAGCTCTTTTCCAAGCACATCCAACATACAAGCCTGCGATCGATCAAGGCCCTGGCTTTCAGGAGTCAGCCCAAGCAGCGCAGCCTTGAGGTTCGAAAGAACGACAGGATCCGAGGCGCTATTAAGCGAGAGGGCTCTTGGATGATCGCAGGCTCGAATGTTGGATGTACTTGGAAAAGGGCTACTTCGGGTTTACGCTGATGATCACCATCATGTTGAATAGCTTATATTGTTACGAATTTTTCTTTTTCATTATTCGTGATTATCTCTCTTTTCCTTTTTTCCAAATTTAAGGGGTATCATTTGTTCTACATCTATTACAGAGAATAGAAAACATGTCTTCAACTCAACTCCTTTATATATGCTTATAGTGCATGCATTAATGCGAGAACCTGGCTGTTGAAGCGTCCGTTCGTCGTCTTTCTTGTGTTATATGCCGAAATTGCACATTTACGAGCTTCGCCTGCCGTATGGCTCATAGGGGAATAGCACTGCAACAATGGCGGCGACAATGTAGAGTGAAGCGCAGATGTAGATGGGTGCATCCGTCGAGGTATCAGCTTTGGCGGCCACAACGGCAGAGATGATGCCCATGATTCTGTTGAATGAGACGGAGATGCCGTTGCCAGTAGCACGATGGGCGCTGGGAAGAACCTCTGGGGTGTACGCATACAGAGTACCATAGTAGATGTTGAGACAGAATGAGATCAAGCAATTGAAAGCAATGTCCTGAGCGTTAGTCCTCACAGCGGTATAGGCGAAGAAGAAGGCCATGGTCATCAGGGAGCCGATGGCCATTGTGTACTTGCGGCCGAGGAGCTTGGTGTTACACATGAAAGCTCCGGCGAGAGGACCAAAGATACTGCTGGTGTTGTTCAGGGCATAGTTGCGCCAGTTCTCGTAGGGAGTGCGCTCGAACGAGGTGCCTCGGTTCTTGAGATATTGTCTGTAGTGAAATTCATGTTAGAGGTTGGGTCGAGGCTGGTCAAAGTACAAAGAGCCAATACTTACGGAAGGAAGACCAGATACAAGGGATAGGCCAGTCCGATCAGTGTCCAGGAGAGCCAGATCAAGAGGGTGGAAAGAGTCATCTTCTTGGTGCTGAAGAGGCCACGCATGTGAATCATCAGCTCGCCAACTGAGAACTTGCTCTTGCTGTGTGCCGAGGTGGCGGCGCCACAAGCCTCGAGCTGCTCAAGAGTGAGAGAGCAGGGCTTGTTGTACTTTGTGGCGATGTGCTGGAGAGTCTCAACAACTTCGGCATCCTTGCCCATGCCAAGAAGGTACTTGGGCGTCTCCATGAGGCGCACAATGGTGATACGGAGAATGGACAAGACGAACACAATGGAGCCACCGGTGAAGAGCACGTAGCGCCAGCCCCAGTTGTTATCCTTGGTGCACGTCTCGATGTCGGCGCAGTTCCACTTCTCGGGGACCATGAAGCCCCAGGCGATGAAGCCGGCAATGGCCTGTCCAACACCCCACCAGCAGGCCATCAGAGTTACGAGCCACTGCTTATGGCTGGGAAGGAACTCGAGGAAGACAGTTGTGTCCAGAACAAGGTTGCCACCGCCTCCGAAGCCAAGCAGGGCGACGAAGACGCCGAGCGCGGGCCAGTTGGGCATGCCACCAGCAATGATGCAGCTGATGGAGCAGATGAAGAGGGAGCAGTTGAAGGCGTACTTGCGGCCGATGATGTCGGCACCAAAGCCCCAGAAAATGGCACCCAGAAGCATTCCAACGTACACGGCGATTGTGAGTCCATTGGCGAAACCAACGCCACCAAACTCCATGAAGGACTGGCCAGCGACAATGGACTGGAAGAGGGTGATCATGGAGTCGACAGCATAGCCAAAACCATTGAGGAAAAACAGCTTCATGTGGTAAGGAGTCCAACCAATCTCGTCAATGGCCTTTTGAGAAGAGCAAGGAATCGTGGTCAGCACTGGCAACAGGGCAACGGCGAGGAAGGGCATCGGGAGAGGAGAGAGCCGGCAGATGGCATGTTCATCTGGGTCACGCAAAGCAAAACACACAAGGCTGTCACGCCGCGAGCAAACCACTTACGTTATTCACAAGATGCATCTTCATGTTCATGGCGGGGTCAACGTCCTGCAGCGCAAGCACATCGGATCCATTGATAGATGCATCTTCAGCATTTCTCACATCCTGGGGGCCGTCGATGTCTGCACTGGCGCCATTGTCCCTGCCATCGTGGCTCTTGATTTGCGCCTCGACGGACTTGGAATCGGCAGTAGGGTCACTCTTGGAAGCCATGGTCAACGCGCGCGAGTGAGAATCGCGCGGAATCCACTACGTATATTTGTAGTCTATCTGGAGCTTAGAGGAGCGCGAGAGATGTGTCGGAGAGATCTGGTGTAGACTTGCGACGGCAATGCAATTGGCGTCGCTTCAGAGGCTGGCTGGCTGTATTGTCAATTGAGCTTCAGGAGGATTGGCCTTCGCATGCAAGAGAAGGGGTCGAGAGCAATGCCAACGAGGGCTCGTGAGAAGGAAGCAGTGAGAAGGAGAGGCGACAGGACTGAACGGCAACAAAGAGGGGGGACTCCCGTCTTTATTTGAAGCAAGCAGTGGAGGTGGAAGGGGGGGGGGTTCATCAAGGCTGTCCATCAACTGAACATGTGCCGTCATTTACCTAAAGAGAACGGGTAGAAAAAAAACAAAGGGCCATGATTGGTCTCGCGGGCCATCATTTTAACTGCTTCTGGAGCTGGACTGGGGCGTCGCCAAGCAGGATCATGGAGGCGTTTACCTTACTAGCTTCTGAGCTTTGAGCCCGCCACTACGACTAGGTGCCGGCGCTTTTCCGCGACTAAGCGCAAGCGTGGCTGCGAGCAACGAACGAGAAGGCCCGATCGTGCTTCTTCCTTCCCTCGTGGTAATTCTTCCAGTCTTTACGCTTCTCGGGCGGCGCAGCCACTAAAGTTCCCGACTGAGCGAGTCCCTCTTGTCGACTCCGTCCCCCGGCCGTGGACATGACATGGAGGACAGACAGCCCAACCACCCTGCCGGTAAGCTGTGGGCTGTCTCGGTTGCTGGAGCCCTGTTTATCTCTCCCAGGATACTACGTTGCTGCCACCAACCAACGCAGAGCCAGAAGCTGGGCGAATCAAGACGGTTGGTTGTCTCGTGACACTGCCCTGACATCATGCCGCTATCTGGGTATCTAGGTAGGAACTGGAAATGTTCCAAGTGACCAAGGGTCTTTTGGTCCCCCAACCCTGGCGGCGCTGCCCTCGTGAGAAGCGAACAGTGGTGCCTCGTGGTATAATCTCTGGCCTGTGATAGGTCCCTGGAGTCATCAGCAGGGTTGCGGCTGGTGGCTTGATGGTGGTGGGGTTCTGTGCTGCCTCCCTAGCACGGGCACCTGTAGCGACGCCCAGCACTCCAGCCAAGGGAATTAACGGAGGGGCAGAGGTGGGGTTGGACCTCGACTCTCCCGAGTCCCACAGCGCTGTTCAACTTTGCTGTAGCGGGTTTTCAGCGCAGTTCGCAGCTCCGACACGCCACTCCATTGCGGCCCCACCATGGAAAAAGAAGAGAAATGAGACCAATGCTCGGATCCTCTTCTAGGGGTAATAATAATTATCAATATTAAGAGACAAAACCGTTCGAGGGAGCCAGAGGGAGAAAACCCCTCAAAGAGGGGCAGTCTAATGTGAGCCATGAATCACGTTGACCGCCGCAAGCACGTTCTTGAATCCGTTCTGGAGCCTGGCCTCAGCACTCGACCGAGCCTCACCGCAACTGAGGCGGCAATGTCCCCTCCAAGCTTGGGTTGTTCTGAAGCCGTAATGGAACGAAAAGACCTGAGAACTTTAACGTCACAAACAAGCCTCTCATTTTAGGGTATTAGTAAAACTCTCTCTAAGAGTTACAAGAGCAAAGTTACTCATACCTGTTCTTGATCGGTCTTTTTTTTTTGAACTCGAAGTTATAAACCCTTTACAACCTTTCATGTCCCGCTGAAACCATAAGCCTCGCGCCCTAGCATCATCGTAATACCGGACGGGTGCGCAAGAAAAAAAATTCGTGAAAAAGCATATAGTAGGTGATGCATTAAGTTGAGGTTGGAAATAATAGTGTTAACAACGGACAACTGTATTGTTACCGAGTTGTATCCATCAACTCCCTTCTGCTGGCATATTGGAAAGTCTAAGGAAAACCCGAGCAGTTCCAAACAACAGAATAACCACGGATGTACAGCCAGTATACGATTTCCATTTGCATTCAACAATTAAGTGGATCTTGAAGAACAAGAATGAGTGTCATAATGCAGCCAAACTGGTAGTGAAGCAAAGTAAGATTAATTAAGCAGATGTCGGCTCTCAGACGGTGTTTGCAGAGTGGCCCAATTGAATACTCCGTATGATTGATAATAGGTCAAACATATGATAGTTTAATCGCTGACCGTTAAGCCTTAGTTAAGAGCCATGGAAGATTCAAGGCCATAAAGCTGAGGCACAAAAACTGGTCAAAATCGTGAATAGGTGCGAACAAAGAGAACCTCTTATGTTAATATTCGGTCTGATTGACAATGGGATAACTGTGAGTGAAAGTGTTCCTGTCAGTCTCATCCCCTTTGTCTCCGTGGAAGTGAACCTCCACTATCAGTATTTCTTGTTGATTTGCATTTTTCTTTATTCTACTGCAATATGCCTGCAGTCTGCAGACAGCTAGAATCACCGAATGTCCAGATAAAAATGCAGCCATTGTTCAAGTATGAAATATTTAAGGCTATGGAATCCCACCAAGGGCAAAGGGAATCTACAGCTGAGCAAGCAATCCTGATCAAATCTTGAGATACCCCAACTCGACTTTCATACTCCCAACAAGGCAAGCAACCACTGTCTTCAAGCAACCCACATTCACCACACACCCAACACCCGCAAGAACAATCTCTTATTTGTTGGCAAAAATGTCTCCCGAAAACCGCCCAATCACACCCCCGATCGGCAGATCTGTCGTGAACGGCCAAACGGTGCCAGTCTTCCAGCGGGACAGCGCATTCCCTAACTCTGACTGGAATGCGAGTCGGCCACACCACATGTTTTGCCGGGATTGGCACGAGGTAATGAACGGCGAGAACCTGGATGACGAAGAGAAGAATCCAAGTGACGAAGAGAAGGCACGAGCATACTTTGTGGCCAAAAGAAGGTGGGTTCGCAGGAAGATCTGGCTCACGGAATGGACCAGGAACCTCCTCCCAGGAATGGAGTGGGGTCATGAGTTGGTGGAGAAGAAGAAGTAGGAGCGAAGATGGATCTATTCTATTACAGATGGCAAATAGATGGTAGATATGTCTGAAATTGAAACCACGGGCTAAGGCCTAGAACTTCAGTTTACAATTGTGTGCCCTCAGTAAGGAGGTGATATACTCCTTGTCGGCCTCCTTTTTCCTTCTGATGGTGAAGCTTCAAGCAAGTTAACATGATAAGAAGTGACGACGAATTACTCAAATAACAGCTGTGGCGATCACACCTGACTCGGCGCCACCGATCCTTTAAATTGCCCTGACTTGCAGATATTATAAGCTAATCTTACTTCTAGAGGAATACAACTCTTGATTTTCGGTTAGGAAAACGCCAAGTATTATTGCGGGTACAGATTCATTCGCCGCAGCTAGAATATCATGTCTTCCAAAGCAACCTTGGTCGAAGAAGAACTAACTTGATCATGTTTACGGCCGTGATTATAAGACTTCATCAGACTGAGGCATATATAAGGTTATTGGAACCATGGTGGCTAGAGATATTCTTTGTTCTGATGGTTGCGGAAAGCACCATCTTAGAAACGATGAATGCTTGCCCATGAGAACAAGATGCACCAAGCGCTATTATTGCAAAGACCTACTTAAACTTGACTGTGGTTATCTGTAAGTCTATGAATGTATGAGCTACATTCGTTGGTATCACTTATGTTGCATCTGCTTCTTCGATTCAGGAAACAATCCACAGACGTATACATGACGTTGAGCACTAAGCTTTTGCTGATCCATATCAATCTGATGTAGTTTCGCCCTGAGGAGCTTTGGCCTCAAGGAAAAGAGAGGAATATCACATTCTTTATGCCAATTAATCATTACTTGCTAGGCTCATGATGTAGCCCCCAAAAAAATACCATATGCTACCTCAATATCGAGGTTGAGTGTTCGTGAGAACAGCGTCGGGCTTGTCAACTCTGATACATCTATGTTTCCTTCAACTTTGCATGGTCCCTCATCATCACCATGAACTGTCAAGCTGCCACATCTTTAATTCATATAATTAGGATACGTCCCTCATGATATCCAATGTTTTCCCAGACCGGCAACGCCAAATCCCCACAAGTCTCGTCCCACTGTAGTAATTTTATTATGTAGATGATGAAGAGCTCACATGAGCCCGATGAAGAACCAACCCAATGAGAATATGTCTGGCTTTAGATATTCAAGAAAAAAAGAGGTAATAAAAATGCTTATGGGGAAGTGCTCAAAAGAATGAAAGTTAGATGAAAATGATGTAAAGGAAAGGGGGGGCGCATGCTTAATGGAAAATGTTTAATGAATGTGCGCGTGAAATGCTCGTTGCGAAAATCGTGGGCCCCAGAGGCCTTGGAATGCAAGATTCCCTATCGCCGTGACCTAGATGCGGCCACCATCGACAACCTCGCGTTCCAAGACTTCCTGCCCTGAATCTCCTGTTCGTCTTCTCTCAAGGACCCAACGGGTTTCGCCGCTGTCTTCTTCCTTTATGTACGAAACGCTATCTGTAGAGTGTCGGTGTTGATGTCCGGGCCTCGGCGTCGGAATACTTGGGCTAGTTGGCTCCTGGCCCCTTGTCCAATCAGCCGCGTTCATGCCTGAGAAAGCTGAAAGGGAAACGCGTTTATTGTTGGCGAGCGCTGACGTCTCTTGGTGTTTGCTGGGTTCGGACATGGCAGATAGCCTTGATTCCCTTGTGCCCAGCTGCGAAGGTGGCGGTTCCATGGCTGTACGGGTAAGGTTCGGAAGGCTCATCGTAATCGTCGGGCTCCCCGAGATGCTTCCTGGCTCGGATTCTGGCGCTGTTGCGGACACAACTGAGTTCTTCCGGGCATGCCAGCCATTGGCACCAGCGTAACCACCGGAATTGCCAGCCCAGGATGAAAATGGCAGATCACCTCTTTCTGACTTGGGAGACCCGTCCTTGCTAGAGGCAAGACTGACCTGTGAACCTCCCCAGGCCTTCGACCGCAATCTAAGAAGTGCAGAGAGGGACATGTCGTCGCCACGGTCCACCATCATAGCCAGTTGCGCCAGTCCAGGGCTTTGACCTGGTGTGGCGAAGCCGTGACCAGGCATCGTCATGCTCATGACGGAGTTGCGGTTGGAATATTCCGAGCGTTCGGTGATTGGAGTCAGGTTGGGTTCACGAGAGACAACACGGCCACTCATTGATCTGTCTACCCCACTCATTCCCTTTGGGCCAAAGAATCCCCCGTTTGCATACTCGTACTGCATGCCATTCGAAGAGCTGGAGCCATAGTGCTGGTTCGAAGGAGCCGAGTAGAATCCGAATTCTTGGCCATACCATCCATCGGAATCATTGGCTAGTGCGCTCGCATTGGCCTCGGCAATGATAGCATCATCGTCGAGATCAAAATCATCCATATTCTCATATGACGAGAACCCGTACTCATCGTTGCTGCCCACGCTCTCAGCAATAGGTGACCCACCATGCCCGGAAAAGCCATCTGCTTCATCTTGTTCTCCGTCTTCGCCTCTTGGAGCTGCGCCCCACTGGAACTTTCCGGAAGCTGCAGCCTTATGGGCTGCTGCGGCCAGGGCGGCTTGGTATGCTTCCATCGAACCTTGATCTTGGGCGAATGAGTTTGGTGCGGTTTCTGGGCCAGGCTGGGCTGTCTCTTCTTTCTCAGCCTTCCGTTGGCGCGCAGCATCAGTGCTCAGCGACGTGTGGGCTGTTGAGCGCGATATCCCAGATTGCCCTGAGTATCGTGAGCTCATATCGGATCCGTGTCGTTCGGGAGGATGTCCCTCCTCTTCTTGCTGTGGAGTCTGGGATTGCATCTCGGCTTGGGCCTCCGCCTGGGCCTTTGCAAAAGCCCCAGCTATAGGCCGGCCATATTGATCCGTGTCATTCCTGTCAAAGATTGACTCATCAAATGGAGCGTCATCCTCTTCAAGTATGGATGCAAGATCCTCGGCAAACTCGTCTTCAAATCCGACCGCTCCTTCATTGAAATACTGATCCAGTTCAAGCTTCCGTTTCGCCTCTGCTGCGAGCACCTGGGCCAGATCATCGGATCCAAAACCTGAGAGCGGCTGGTCACTAAGGCTTTGGATACCCAAGCCGGCCGGTGGGGACAGTAGATTGGGGTCCAGCTGATTTTCGCCGTCCTCGCCAAAAAGAGCCCGTGGGATATCTCGGGATGCCGCAAAGCCAATAATGTGGCCCTCTTCGTCGCGGGGGGTGGTTGCCATCGCTGGGTTGGGTGTTGGCATGAGCGAGGAATCGGCTGACCTTTGAAAGGAAAACCCTGCGAAATTCTCCTGATCATTGTCGGGATCGTCAAGATCTACATCCTCCTCAAGATAATAATCTTCTTCGTAATCCGCATTCACTCCCGGAATCCTTTCCTCCAACCCGTCATCGTCCATCATCGCGTCATAGTCAAACGAATCATCGTCAAAGTCGTCATATCGTGAGTCATGGGAGTCTCTAGGTTGAGGTTCTGCCTCCTGCGCAATCCTCCTCTCGGCTTCTCGTTGCCGGTGTCTCTCCTCCAACAACTTCTCGGCATTGGCGGCACCGATCATGTCAAAACTGAATCGGGAAGAAGTGCTCTTCATGTGTCGTGGCAACATAGAGAGTCGGTCCTTATTGGACATGTCGGACGCTAACGAGGGGTTGCCTGAACGTGTGGTGCTGGTGGAATTGACAGCTCGAAGGGGTGATACTATTGAGCCGTCACTCATGCGTGATGCCCTGGGCTTTTGAGATCCCGCAGGTGAAGGGATACGGCCATGTGTAGAGCTTGGTCGAGCGACCGCCGATGAGGCGGCACGCTGGGGTTGATGAGGCAAAGGTATTGCAGGCTGGGTGTTGCTTTGTTCCGGCAATACTGTAGGCTGCTGAGCATCGTTCCTTACCTGGCCATTCTGGGGGGGTTTGGACTGCACAGGAGGTCGTCTAGGAGCACTGAAATCATGAACTCGGGTCCCCCTGATCCGTGGATCGTACATTGGCTCGTCGGTATCACCACTCATCGGCTGGGGTAAGAAATCTGGAGCATGCTGGCTGTTCTTCCTTCTCATCAAAAGAGTCGACATGGGGTTTTTCAAAAACGGAAGAGACTTTTTGGTCTTTTGTGGCTCGAGGTTGACCGGGTTCGGTGGAAGCGTGGAATAATCAGCGGGAACCCTCATGTTGGGGCCGCGTCGTCCTGTTGCTGTTGAAGCCGGGTTCGAATGCAGAGAGTGCCCGCCAACGAAGACGGGCTGCCCAGACACATAAGCTCCTGGCTGAACATTGGTATCAATTGGAGCGGGCATTGGCCGCCGGCGTTCGGTCGTCGACGGGGTTTGGAATGGCGCAGAATCATGACGACTGTCAGCTTGAGCCTTTAGGCCCCGGCGATAATTTTCGAGAGCCACGCCGCCAATGAAGCCAGATTCCATCATGTTGCTTGGTTGAGAACGCTGCTGGGTTGAGGGCGAGGGCCAGTTCTCTTTCTGGGTCACCAAGCCGGCAGCATCGCTGCGCTTTCTCTCGATAGACTCTCGATCGCCGTCTGGAGAAGCTACTCGGGCAATGGGGGGCAGCATAGGCGGTAGCGAGGATCGGAGGGAGGACCCAGCTCCATCTCGTTGTGAAGGAGCCGTTGTGTCGAAGTTGTTTAGCAAGGGCGGGCCCCTGCTTGAGGCAGAAGCAACCGAGTTGCTGAGGGGAGTGGCGAGGAGGGGGATATGGTCGTTGTATCTGTCGTGGTTAGAGGAGTACTGGCTGTCATAGTCGGGTCCTGGGGGGTTTGTAGTCGGCCCCCCTCTTCGGTGGAACCGCAGATGAGAGAGCATGGCTGAGCTGCCTGGCCAGCTGCCTCTAATATGTGTGTGTGCGTGTGGTGTGTGTGTATCTCGTGTGTGTGTGGTAGCCGTGTGTCCGAGGCTCCCAAGGTACCTTTTTGCGGGTATGGGCAAGTTCGAATTTACAAGAATAGCATAGCATATGCTAGCGTATGGTCTCGTATCGAATCAACAAAGAAACGAAAGGAAGGGCTGGGCACGGCGTGCTGCGGCACCTGAATCAGGCAGGAATGGGTTAAAAGGAGGGGCGCTGCCGGCTCGAGAAAGCCAGCGATGTTGAACTTGACTGCCGCGAACACCAATTGATGCGCCCGCGATCATGACTTCAGGAGAAGCCGGGCGTTGAGCATGGTGGATGCGCTCGGTTGCACAGACGGTGAGCGGCAGTTGGCAGCCCGCGAAGGTTGAGCAGCTTGAAACTATAGCAGGCTCGGAGGGGCTAGGCAAGAACTCGGCGACGGTCCAACTGGTATTACCTCAAGGCCGTCTCCAATTGTCAAGACGGGAGTCAATGGAAAGACAGGCGCAGCGCTGCGAAGTGGGCAAACACGGAGCGACAATTAATTGACCAGGCCGCAAACAGCGACAGGTCTACATAGTAATGATCCGATGCGTAGGTACTGGCCGCGCTAGTCCGTTAGGCGTCACTATTATGGGGACTACTGGGTAAGGTACCGCCCAGCGGCTGCGACGTAGGAAGGTACCAGCTATAGCCGGCGGCCGGTGGGTTCTAACGGGGGCTACGGGGGAAAAGTCTGTGCTGTCTTCGCTAAGAAACATCGTCACGGAAATGAAGTGTGTGAATACAACATGGCAATGTATATTATGAGATGCAGAATATAGTGCCAGCACCAGGCACGCGTCTTACGCAGCAGACAATCCATCCATGGACAAATGAAGGCCGCAGACGCCTCAAGCACGCCACATGAGTAATTCCATTCCACCGTCGAATTCTATGTAACATGCCATGAAAATGCCCGCTAGTGCATAGTACCAACTAGTACCAGCTGTGCACTAGTCTTGGCTGATGGATTGAAGAATGGGCCTGCTCTGTTGCTGTCGACAAGCCAAGTAGTGATGGGCATAAGCTTTGCCACCACCTCGATCTATGTGCCTCGTGTTCAGCGACAGGCCCCTAGATCATGTCACCCTCCCAAGCGTCCAGGTCCCTTTCAAGTTGCATGTGCTTGGGTCTTGTTTGTTGTCTTCTCGTATTTGCACACCAGACCCTTGTCCTTGCCAAAGGCTCAAAGACAGCAACGCATACATACAAGCCTACCATGAACCAGTGAGACCTATGGGGTGTCAGCATCAAAGCTAACAAGGCCCCGCATTAACAGAACATTCCATTCCAACAGGCTATCCTATCAACCCCACGATTCAGGCGAAATAAGGTGACTTTGACGGAGGAAAAAAAAGCCAGATTTGGCTGCGATATTTTTACCTATACTTTGACTAGGTGCGTGCGGAGTTTGATACTACTCGAATGTAACGCCAGCAAGACTACCTTCCCGCCTCCACTCGTCCAACACCTTGGCAAAGACATTGATGCCTTCGCCAAACGTGCCGCCCTGCGCCAGCTGGCGAGCATTGTCACCTTTAAGAAGCGTGCCTTCGTCATTGATATAACTTGGAAGGCAGATACTGAGAGGAGATGCCCAGGTAGCTCTAGACAAAATCGTACCGGTCCACGCACCTACCGCCTCTGGCGTGGGCTCGATAACCAGATTACCAGGGTCCTTGCTTCTCTTTGTGGTCTCTGCCACAATGTGTGCCACATGCTCAGCGAGAAGGTCGAACAAGAAGGTGTAACTCGCTGATGCTCCGGCCTGCGCTGGGCCTGTTAGGAACATGTTGGGAAACCTAGGGACAAGCACGCCGTGAAGAGTCGTGGGTCCTTGGGCGAGCCAAGATTCACGCATGTTGGTCCCATCCTTCCCAACGATGGAAGCATTGCACATCGTACTAGGCTCGGACATATCAGAGGCCGGAGATCGATAGCCCGTGCCAAACACCAAAACATCTACATCATACTCCTTGCCACCGACGACAAGACCCTTTGGCGTAGCTTTGGTGATGCCCTCGGGGTCGGTCTGAACCAACTCGACATTGGGCTTATTAAATATGGTGAGATATTCGTCATGGAAGCACGGTCTCTTGCACCAAGACGGGTACCAAGCTTTGAGTTTCTCGGCTGTCTCCGCGTCTTTGACCGTCTCCTCGACACGTTTCCTGATTCTCTCAGCTCGTGGAGCATCCGTTACCAATGCTGTAGTGATGTGTTGTGGGATGTCAGCCATCGCCACCGGTTCATGGGGCCCACCGATGAGAAGCTTGTATGTATCAATCGTTGTCCAGGCATCGTTCACCAAGTCTTCCCCAGGTTTTTCGCCGTTGAGATGGCCAACAAAGTTACTATTGCGGGCCTTCCACCATCCGGGCTTGGCTGCGATCTTGTCCCAATCTTCCTGTTTAAATTCTCTCTGGCCGCGGTTGTCCACGCTAGCAGGCGTTCGTTGGAAAACATAGAGTTTCTCGGCCCACTTCGAAAGCTCCGTCGCACACTGCACACCTGTGGCTCCCGTGCCGATAAACCCAACCTTCTTGCCTTTGAGGCCAGACAACGCCCAGTCTGTGGGTGAGCCACCACTGATGTCGTACCTCCAGCGGCCGGTATGGATCGACTTGCCCTGGAAGGTCTCAAAGCCATCGATCTTTGGTGCTTTGGGGTGGTTGAGCACGCCATTGGCGAGGACGACAAACTGGGCTGTGACATTGATAGAAACGGGCTCCTCCTTTGGGCCCCTATTTTGCTTGATTGTAACGAACCATCTTCGCTTCTCGTCGTCCCAGGCAAAAGATTCCATATAGGAACGGAAAACCCCTTTATCTGAGAGCTTGTAGTGCTCGGCGATTCGCTCCGCGTGGAGTCTGATGTCTGGACCATACGAATAACGGTGGGTGGGCCTGTATCCTGTCTCTTCAAGGAACGGCAGGTAGATGGAGCTCTCGGTGTCACACATCAAGCCAGGGTACCTATTCCAGTACCATGTTCCTCCAAACCCTCCTGCCGTGTCAACAAAGCGAATGTCTTCCGGCTTGAAACCGGCCTTGATGAAGTACACGGCGAATTGAAGAGAGCAAAAGCCGCCGCCAAGTAGGAGGAACTTGATATCGTCTCCATCCTTGAGATTGGGCTCCTTGACATTCAGAGCGTCATGATCAACCCAGGGATCCTCAACCAAATCGTGGAGACGTGATGACGAGCTGAGTTCTAGATCGACATACTGAGAGCCGGCATCAGGTCGGATGCGCTTGAGCTTCTCCTCCTCGTACTTTTGGCTGATGAAAGCAAGATCAGGACCGGATCCACTGTTGGACCCCATGGTTTCTATTGTTTTACAAACAGTTGACAGGAACTAAGCAGTATGATTGCGAATGATGGAGGGATTCGAGGCAGCTGGTGCTCCCGAAACTGCGGGGTCACTTTATATATGCTGTTGGCCAACATCAGGATGCAGGACTGGGTCCATTGGCTGTTGGCCGTACGGGCTTGCATATGCGCCGGACGCAGCTGCATTCCTTCTCTCAATATTTTCGTTATCGGGTTAGTATTCGTAAGCTTCTGTTGCGTCTGTGCATGGCCCCCCTTGCAGTCAATACCCATCGGTATCCGGTATGTCGTGCGAGATTTTATCGAACGAGGCCAACGGCAGACTCAAGGTGAGCGGAGTACTTCTATAGTGCGTTACATACACCCTAATATAGAATGGGAACCTCAAACAGCTTCGAACCTGGCTCGCATTCGGTCTCCAGGGGCACTCGGATTCGTACACATGCTCTGGATGGCCTCGCTTTGGGTCACTGTAGAGGCTCCACAGTGTTGAGCGTCACCGGGAATTAATTGACTGCAGGGGAGCCACGGAGAAATGAATTGGGAGATCCAACCCTCGCCAGGTTCTCATTGGAGGAGCTACCAGTCGAACGGCATTTCGAACGGCACTCCAGCTGCAAGGCTGTCCTACCCAAAGAGGGCCAAAGACCCAACCGGACGAGGTGGTGTGAAGCTTTCGTATCAGCTAGGTGGGCGGGTGTATGCAGGTAGGTATGTAGTAATATTCGACGTGAATAATAATACATTGAACAGAAGCGGCACCGAAATGCCATCCAGGAACAAAAGGTGTGTGGTGTTGAATTGGGATGGCTGCATACCTTGTTAATTAGCACCTGCCTATAGAACTCGAGGCGCTCCTCCCCGCATCTCCGGGCGGCCACAGCCGGTGCTAAGATGGAAGGCGCGAACATGGTGCGCTACGGCCCCAAAAGCCAGGCGCTGCCGCCTGTAATTTTAAGTTGGTGCCTGCCCGGGCCATCTGACATCAGACTGCCACCAAAAAGCTCCTCCAATCAGCCCCTCCGGCGATCTTTGCAAGGAGTCACGTCACCTCCATCACAAGAGCCCTCCTTCCACACCGACAAGGCCAAGAAGCTTATGAGCCTAACGCGCCTTTCGCAGACGATGATCAGCCTTAGCGGCTTGCGCCAGTGTGCGCGTCTGACAATCTCTTCCCCAGCTGCCCTTTGCCCCCTGTCGTGACCCCCTAAGTTCCAGCCACTCAGCTCCTCGTGCCTCTCACACACGTAGCTCTTACTCTCAAGCCCAGCCAGCTGACCGTAGAGTCTTGTCTCGTTCTTCAAGGCTGCTGTTTCCCGTCACCTGCCACGCCGTAGTGACTCTTTCTCTGCGTATTGCTTTGCCCAGCTCGTCACGCCCACACGTAACCAGAAGACGAAATTACAAATACTGAGCAGCCCGTCTGCGTGATTCTTTTCAAGATGGCCGCCTCAAAGACCCCAGCCGCAGCTGCCAGCGAAATGCAGAACCGTACGCGCAAAGAGAAGAAATTTGACGAGTTCGAGGCCACTCTGCCCGATCCCAAGTCCCCCAAGTACGAGGTGGCGCGAGCATCTCAATCTGGACTCGGTAGCATCTTCAAGAGGATTGGCGATCTTAATCCATTTGGAAAGGCCGTTACCAAGGATGACACTGTCTGGCTCCTAGATAATACCGCCTTCCGCTCTTCACGCTTCCAGCCATGGCAGGCTGAATATGTCGCTGCCGTCTTTGAACGAGACCCATACTGCAAGGTAGCTGATGTGGTATCCAACATCGCGCATACCGTGGGGTTGGCAGACGATGCGGCCGAAAGAGACACAATCGAGGAGCGCATCTTGCCTTTCCTATGGGACATCCGGATGGTCAGAATCGTCAAGCTGGAGAATCAGGGGAAAGTTGTCAAGATGACCCCAACGAACATCAACGGCATCTCCACGGAGGTCTTGAAAGTCCCTAGCGCAGACGCGGGACGTATCATCAAGACCTCGACAGTGGTCCCGCGGGGCGCAAATGGCTTGCTTGAAGCCAAGACCGTCTACGCCGGTCCTGAAGGCTGGGGTATCATAAGTGGTGAGTAAGCTCTTCCACACAGATATGAAGTTTGTTCCATCTGCAGAGCGGGACCAAGCTAACCAAACTCGAATAGATATCGACGATACCATCAAAGTGACATTAACTAGCGATCCCACCGGCATCGTTGAAACGACTTTTGCTGATGAGCCCACGCCGGTGTCTGGGATGCCAGAGTTGTATGCGCAAATCAAGTCGCATCTCCCCGAGGACACACCTTGGTTTTACTTGTCTGCCTCTCCGTACAACTTATACCCTTTCCTGAGACAGTTCCGCGAGCAGTACTTCCCTCATGGTACTCTCATCTTGAGAGACTTCAGCTGGAAGACCATCTCCGGGTTACTCTCGGCATTGACTGTGGGCACTGAAGAGTACAAGACGGATCGGATGAAAAAAATCAACTCATGGCTGCCTCAGCGCAAGATGGTGGCAATTGGTGATTCGACTCAGTCTGATCCTGAGGCTTACGGCGAGATGTGAGTTCAGAATCAGTGTTTTCTTTTCACAAAACAGCATTGGCTAACGCGGATCAACGTAGCTACCGTCTATTCCCGGGGTGGGTGAAGCTCATTCTCATCCGGAAAGTTGAGGACGTTGCGGCTGTTGGACTTGAGGAGAAGAATGAGCCACAACGATTCGAAACGGCATTTGAAGGAATACCCAGAGAGGCATGGCACGTCTTCACCGACCCCAGCGAGTGCCTGCAGATCATCAAGGATGCTGTCGCCAAGGAGGATTGATTGGATATGATGTTCATGGTGTGAGTCTTGTTCTGTATCGTGTTTTTCCAAATTTGTATGCCTCTTCCTTCTCTCTGCTTAGGGAAACACGGTGTGCGTAGAGAAGCGAATATGTTTTAATGGGGTTTCTGCTTGTTCAATGAATTATGTATAGATTACGATGTTATCCATAGATACCAGGCTAGGAATGCTGAGTTCGACACGATTTTATGATCATCCAGTTCTTACATGAGCAGTTCTTCGCTCTATTCTTCCCATCTAGCAGCTGCCGGAGTGGTGGTGACATTGATGCCAGCGATGTGAAGAAAATACAATTTATCCCGACCAGCTACACGATGCCTTTGGATGTTAATAAAGACAAAGAAGATTTTCAGATGAAACCCAACACAACTAAACAACCAGTAATCCTTGGCTACGGCTTTCCTCCGACGCCGGTCGGCTAGAATCGGACTACTGATCTCATCACAGCCCCCGCAAGGATTCCAAAGGTAAGCTACTATTCGTGATTAAGCTGTCATCTCATCCACACAAAATCAAAGCCGAAATCCGAGACGCCTCAATTAATCCACCCACGGCAACACAGTTCATCCAAACCAGGGTCGAGGATCTGGTTCCGCTCGTAACATGAGGTCTAGTCTATCATGCGACGTATGCAGGTACGTCCCCAAGAGCGGCTGGCCATTGTTAGCTGGCCAATCGTGTATCCAAATGGTAAAGGTTCACCTAAAGGTGACTAACTGCAACGACTTATAGACGAGCCAAGGTGAAGTGTGTTCATTCTGGTAGTCCTCCCTGTAGAAGGTGCAGCAAGAACAAAATAACAGGCTGCACCTTGATACGGCCACAAGTCCCATCATCCAGCCAGAGGCCCAGAAATTCCCCTGCTGGCTCCGTGGCCAAAAGGCCTTCGCAGCGCAGAGCTCATGTATCGCCCTCACAGCCTGGATCTTCTTCCCGGGAACAGGAGGAAACCCAACCACAATCACAACAGAGAACTTTGAGTCCATGCGATGCCGTGGAGGATGTCGGCCAACACATTCTCAGTCTTCCCAGATCAGTGATCCTCAAATCGCTCCATCTTTTCTCAAACAAGTTCCCTGAGCTGTCCATTCTTCACACACCAACTATCCTCTCCGACTTAGAGCCAGCCTCTTCTCGACCAGAGGAACTCAATGCGTTGATTGGGGCGGTTCTTGCTGTCACAAGAGCACAGGCTTCCCTAGGGGGTGCACCATGGGCCAGCCAGCTTCTCGAAAGGGAGAAGTACGCCTTGTACTCCAGGTCTCTCCTCTCCGATTTGATCCTGTCCCCTCCTAAAATTCAGGTTGTACAAGCCTTGCTCATCATCACGCTTCATGAATGGGGCTCGAGAGATTTCCACAAGGCGTGGGTCTATTGCGGTAAGTGTCCTACTTATTCATCATCCTAGTTCAGCTATGCCGTTGAGAGTGTGTAGTTGACTGAGAACCACGCTCGAATACGAAGGCATCGCCATCCGTATTATGCAAGCTCTTCACAGCATGCGTGTCGCCCCGTGCGCTCTTGACCCGTCCGGTGAGCGTGAAAGCCGCAATCCTACCGCCGTTGCCACCGAGACACGCACCTACTGGGGCTGTTTCATCATGGACTGCATGGTCAACTCTGGAACCTACAACCCGCCCATGCTACCCATGCCAGAGATGATCAAGCTCAAAATACCGAGACCCCTCAACGCGGTCGACTTCACTTTTGGCCCGGATGCTGCAGATACGAGCTCGAGTGAGCGTCCGCCCTTTGTTCCCGAGCCATCAACACCCGCCGTTCAATCATTTTCTGGTGGGACGCTCGATGTCGCTCAGAGCTTCGAGGTTCTTGTTGGTGGGTTCGACATTTGGGCCAAGGTCATGGAGTTCCTGTTCAATGATGGACGCAAAGCCCCGGGCATGTGTGCACCACATAACTGTCCCTGGGTTCCCGGCTCGCCTTGGTCCATAACCTGGGGGCGCTTGTTAACCTGGAGGGCCGGCCAGCATCGTAATCTACATTATCCCACCACCTCTGTAGCCATGCATATGGCCTTGGGATATGGAGAGACGTTTACATATGTGAACCTATTGTACTACGTCAGGTAAGTCAAAGATCGATAAGCCCTTTGAGCCTCTTGTTCTTGAAATTCCTTGACACGTCTTCGAAATTTAACTCACATGCTCTCCCAATAGTGTCTTGCTGCTTCATCGGGAATACGCTCCTTTCCTGCCCACCCCAGAATCTACTCCTGTCGGTCCTATCGATCCTCCGAGGCTGGAGGCCACGGCGCCCGAGAACTGGTGGGAAGACAGTGTGGCCCAAATAGTCCAATCTGCTGAAAATATTGCCAAGTTACTCCATGAAGCATCCGAGTGTGGCACACAACTCATGACGCCCTTTATTGGCTTCTGCGCCTTCTCCGCCGCGTTCATCCTGATCTATGTCCACCACTTTCCGAAAATGAATCTAGGCCGCAGTCCCGACGCGGAGAAATACGAGAAGATTTGTCTTTCCTATCTCGAGGAGTTCCGGGGTGTTTGGAAAATAGCTGATGGATGGGTGAGAGCCGACATTTTGGGCCTGTGACATCAACACCCCTCTCCATGAGACGAAGGCTAACATACGCTTTAACCCAGATCAAAACCCTGCACCATGTTTCCCTCCTCTATGCGCGGGCGTCTACCACAAGCACATATCGTGGTAGAACGCGCGCAGACTTTGAGCACTTCCACCAGTCGGTCAACGAATTCCGAGTTGTTGATCGGTCGAAGCAGCAGAATCAGGAGATGGATCAGGCAGCGACGGGGCCCGAGCATGTAGTTCCCGAGAGCGGCGGCATCTGTACAGACGACCTATCGCCAGATACGAACTTCTTGCTCAGTCAGCTACTTGCGGAGGTGAGCAGCAACATGGAAGAGCAAGGTCCGTGGTCTCAATGGTGGCCTCTGGGCGAAATCGAGCTACCATCAGCTCCAGCAGACTCTGGGTTTGATCTGGGGGGTTACGGCACTGAGAATTGATTCGAAATCCCATTACGGCCATCCTTGCTTTTGATTCTCTCCGAGTGGCCGACCCATGATTTGTTGATGGGGTTGGAAATGCGACCTCGGGTTTCGGCTTTGACGTTCATACCCGGAAGTCAAACGCGAGGGACAACCGTCGCTTTCTCGAGGCTCAGAATCCAGGGCATCCTTTCACATATATTAATAGATCTACAGAATATCCCGCGAGTTGATTTCTATTCATATCGTCCATATCATCTTTACATGTTCTGAACTTATACCATCTAACAATGGCACCTGCTAAAACAGAAGCCCAGCATGCACCCTCAATAGAGACCAAACAAGGTCTACAAACCCCCGAAAGCCAACTCCTACATCGATCATTGATTCACACCCCAGAAATGGTAGAATCGGCTTCCGGTCTGGAAATCCGCCTGGCTGACGGGCGCACAATCCTCGACGCCTGCGGCGGCGCCGCCGTCTCGGTGCTGGGCCACAACAACCAGCAGGTCCTCGAAGCAATGCTCGCCCAGGCACAGAAGGTCGCCTACGTCCACACGCAAGCATACACCACGCCGGCAGCCGAGGAGCTCGCCGGCCTCCTGGTCGAGAACGGCCGGCCCCACGGGCTGGAGAAGGCGTTCTTCGTCGGGAGCGGGAGCGAAGCCATCGAGTCGGCGGCGAAACTGGCCAGGCAGTACTTTTACGAGAAGGGCGAGCCCCAGAGACTTCACTTCGTGTCCAGGCGGCAGGCGTACCACGGGAACAGCATGGCTGCCATGTCGCTGTCGAGCAACGTCGTCCGCAAACTACCCTACCAAGGGTTCGGCTACCCGAATGTGTCCCATGTCACCCCCGCCTATGAATACAGATACAAGCTGGACGGCGAGGACGAGGACGGGTTTACGAGGCGACTACTCAGTGAGCTGGACGACGAGTTCCAGAGGCTAGAGCCCGGGAATGTCATTGCCTTCGTGGCAGAACCAGTCATCGGTGCTACGGCCGGCTGTGTGCCCCCGCCGCGAGGGTACCTATCCGGCGTGAGGTCTCTATGCGACAAGTACGGCATTCTACTCATCCTCGACGAGGTCATGTGCGGGGCGGGCCGGTGCGGGACGTTCTTCGCGTTTGAGCAGGAAGGGGACGTCAGGCCGGATATCGTCACTCTGGCAAAGGGCCTGGGAGGGGGCTACGCTCCCATTGCCGGCATCTTGATACACGAGAAAGTGGTTGATGTGCTCCGAAAGGGAAGTGGCTCGTTCGTCAACGGGCACACGTACCAAGCCCACCCCATCGTATGCGCAACTGCGCTTGCAGTGCAGAAGATCATCAGGCAGGACAGGTTGGTGGAGCGATGTGCCGAGTTGGGACCTGTTCTTGAGGGTATGCTTCGAGAAGAACTCCAAGACTGCATATCAGTAGGCGATATCCGTGGGCGGGGCCTCTTCTGGGGCGTAGAGTTTGTCAGAGACAAGGCGACAAAGGAGACCTTCGACCCCGCGATTGGCTTCGGCGTCCAAGTTCAGCAGGAGGCGTTTCGCAGAGGAGTGGCCGTATATCCTGGCTCCGGGACCGTGGATGGGATGAAGGGGGATCATGTGTTGCTGGCGCCGCCCTACACAGTTAAGCTGGATGAGCTGAGGCTGGTTTGCAACGTCCTGAAGGAGGCAATTAGATCTCAGGAAGAAGTCCATCTCCGTAATTTAACAGACGGCTAAACTCGCTGGCAGAAGACTCGGATGGGATATCGTGCAGTTGCAATATCTGCAGGGGGCGGGAGTGGTGTATGCGCGCCCCCAGTCGCAGAGCTTTCATCGTATTCTATTGACAGGGCATTATCTATATTGCCTATATTATTCCCGATTGGCACTTCACTCTGCTTCGTGTTGAACGTTGTGACGAGTACGAACCCAAGGTAGTTTTGGTTCGTTTCTTCGATCTATCTGTTGTGTTGGCACCTCTGGTTTAATACCCCCCATACTTTCTACTGAAAAAGTCCTGGGCTTGTTCACCAACGCATACTAGCACAGGATCTCTAACGAGGGATAGTTGGGTGTATGATACTACCCTACCTACGTGAATAGACCCTTTCCGCGGGGGAGGGGAGGGGAAGGGGAGATTGGTGTGATGCAAGGCACCAAAAGAGGAAGATGATTCATCTAAGAGAGGCAGAAAATATGAGAGTAGCTTGCCCGTGCAATACACACGTCGGCATCAGATGCAAATGTAAATCTTCCCAATGCCCATCATATGCAACTTTGGATCCCGAATACATCCGATATGTAGATCCACGATCATATGATTGAGGGACCCTGAAAGAAACGGTCTGTCTGGTTGCTACCACGATATGTTTCGGGGTCTTTTTCACCGCCTGGCGATGCATTTGATCCCAGTTGGGAGCTTTGGGTATCAACAGCACAGGTATCGCATCTATTTTCGCCCAGAGGCGAGGAGGCATCAGTGCTCTCACATGGCTTCGGGTTTTGGACCCGACCGTGGATTAGAAATTGCCCGTTAGGTAGCACTTCACATCCGAGTGCGGAGGCACCCTGCACGAGGGTGGGGGAAAGGGATTGCATGTGAGATGACGAGATCCCTGCCCTTGGTTGAAATCCCACCATGTGGCAGGCTCCAGACGATGGAGTGAGCATGGGGAGAAGGGGACCGATCCTGGGGAGCAGCTTGCAGCCTACGCTGATTCTGGCATGCCCAACGCTCATCACACGGCGCGTCGCTCTAAGATGTTATCATGAAACGCTGATTCGCCGTTCTACCCCGCGTCAATGGAAAGGCAGGCCTCGGTCGCAGGGAGGAAACACGAAATTCAAATGTGAAGCTAGCTGCGTCGCATCGTAAGAGGCTGCGGCGCTAACCCGCCTATCCCGCAACAAAGGGGAAAAGGTGAGAGAGCTAGACAGCAGCCGCATCTCCATCCAGAGCTCCGGTGTTGATGATCATCGAACCATTGGGCGATGGCGTGATACCCGTGCTTTTCCCAGTGATGATGGAGGCCAGGCCTGATGGCGGAGTTTTCGGCGGGAGCTTGGCTGCTGTCTGGTGCCTGGCTGCCTGGTTGGTCATCAACACAGGCAGAACAGGCCCGAACACGCTGACAGCGGCGAGCGAACCGAACCGGTGGAGAGGAGCTCCTCCACTCCGACCACCACCACCACAACATCCACGACGCGACCCTAAACTCCTAACTCCTGGGTCAGCGCGTTGAACAGTAATTTCGAGGTTCGGCAGGCAGGAAAAGGTGCTCTTAGCCTAACCAAACCATTTCCAGCCCTAGTTCGAAGCCCGGAGCAGGATCCCGGACCGGACCCGGAGAGAGCGGCAAAAAAATGGGCGGCACCGGAGGCTCCGAAATCGGAAAGGTGCTCTCTGCTTTTCTGTTTTGGGTTTAAAGCTGCATAACGATACGACTGCCGTGTCATTTTTATTTGTTGAGGGGCAGCACTCGAGGGCCATTGTCTGGCTCTTTATTGGTTGCCGCCATCTTATCTGGCAGTCGGCGCAAACACACCAAGGAGGGGGGGCAATCTGTGCCTGGGTCCTGGGTGATGGAGGAGCAGATGAGCATCTACACCCTGTTGAGTTTGCTGTTGTAGGGGGACGGAGGCCTGCTGTTGGCCAGTTGGGAAGTTCCCTAACTGAAGTGGTGGCCTGTCGATAGAATTGAAGCAACCATCCCAAAGTGTGCGAGTGCTACCATTCTAACTCTGTCCTACTATTTATTCCCACAGCCCTCCCAGGTCTAGCACAAAGTTTCCCCTGATTCTGAACTTTTTACTTTTCTCAGAGTCGCAAACACTAAAAAAATCCTCTTGACCCATATAACGTAGTCGCGTCTCTCTTCCATATAAATCCTTCTCCCTGACCTCTGCTGCTGCACCCCGGACCGGACTGTCTTGCCTCTTTTTTCCCAATTGCTCCGCTCTACATTTCCTATTCCCAAAGTCGGCTGCTTGCGGCTTATCGATAGTCACCACTCACCCAAGCAGCGCCTGTGGAGGACCTGCCTGCCTAATCCTGGTAATTCGTTCCGCAAACGCCCGCCGCCCAGCTTTGCCCACCACTGTTCGTCCGTGCGCCAGGTTGCGTCAAAAAGTGCACCTCCCGCGACTCACCCCAGCCTTGCAGCTCGGAAGAATCCTTGGTCGCACAAAGCTTCCTCAGCAGCCTTTCTCGGGTCAATAATCACTGCCTGGCGCATTCTCCCCAACGGCAGTCTTTCTCGCTGCTAATTCCACCCAACTCCCTACCTCTTTGAAAGAGTACTCTCACACAAGCACCATGTACGCGACTCGAGTTCTCCGACAGGCTGCTGTCCAAGCCCAGCGCACCCCTTCCATCCGCTTCCTGGGGCCTCGCACCATTCCCTGTATGTTGATACGGCATCAATTAGCCAATTCCTCTCCCAAAGTCAAGTGTGCGTGCCATGAATACTGACCAAGTCTGCCATTCCACAGCCTCCATCGACCACACTCCCAAGCCTCACCCAGCCTCCCCCGACGGCAAGCTCCCCGCGTCCTTCGTCTCCAACTCTCCCTCCCGCCACTCCTCCTTCAGCTCCTACCGCGACCATGCCCAGCAGCACGGTCCTCTCCAGAAGAGCATTCGCTACTCTGAGGCCAACGGCGTCGGTGGTACCTCTGGGTCTGCCCTGGGCTCCGTAGCCGCACCCGCCGGCATGTACTTCGACACCTCCGAGCTCCCCGCCCGCTTCCGCCGGGCACCCATCGAGCTCGAGGAGATCGAGGCCGTCGAGTCTGGCGGTGCCGCCCTCTTCGGCTAAATTCATCGCCTCCTCCTATGAATCGGAGAGAGGAGAGTGTCAAAGGGGAGTGGAGGAAAAATGGTCACAATCAGATTTGGGACCAACATCAAGAATGTGATGCCAAGGTGGGGGAGAGTAGTTCGTCATGATTGTCACGAATATCAAAAATAAAGCCGATGGTGCCTACGCGGCATGGACGGTTCAGCCAGGAGTGAAGGAGACGCACGCAAATGCCTGAAGGATGGAATGAGCGTGGTGACCTTTCGAACAAAAGGGTGTGCCTCGAGCACTTCACTCTCCTAATCGGTTGAGGACAACTGTGTCATGACTTTACAAGGGCTAGAAAGAGGGCGTGTCTGGCCACCAGGCGTTCGCAGGTTGCGAATGAACTGGTTTGTTGGGAGCGGCTTGAAACACCAGTATCAGTTTCCCATTTCACGGCTCAGGCGAGGCACTCGTCTACGCTTCGTCTCCTTCACCTTCTTCGGCTCGGGGGGTGATTCCCCAGCGATGAGACGATATACATTATTGTACAGATTTTATCTAGCATGAAAATTTTGTTTCAACTCTCATATACGCCCTCCCTAACAAGTGAACGGTCCACGATTCATATGTGAATGTAATTTAACTAAGGTAGGTTATAGCGATTCAAGCGACTGAGATAAACATTGCACACCGAGGTAGACACTTCAGCATTAAATTTCAGCGTAACATCAAATTGATAGTTAACCTAGTAATAGATATAATATCAAGCCAAATATCGTAGAATAGTGTACTATTCTCGTATTATTATGTTCAGTTGAAAACGAGGTCTGTGCCTTATATGAAAAGTGCTTCAATATGCCATGTTTTATTTTGCCCACTTGCCATTCAAGTACTTCTAAGTTTTAGACAGATACTACAGGTTTCAGGGATTCAAAAGCTACTTCTACACACCCACATCACCGACATTCCCCAGGTCAACATCCTAGCTTGTGATTCCAGACGTTGTCAACTTGAGTTATCATTCACTATTCATGACCCACCCTGTATCTTCGATGTCTTTATTGTCGGATACCACACCTAAGGAAATTTCCCATCGTGATTGATGAGCACCTGCTAAGGTTGAGCAATTGAGGTTTCTCCGCTCATGGTTCGACCCGTTGAATCTTAGAAGCATAGAATTGCCCAAACAAACACTAGTGTGTTTTGTGATAAATCGTTGTCATATTGAGGGCACGAGAGCCTCGAAGTACAATCGTGTTTATCTATAGTCTCATTCCTCAACACTCTGCCGATGAAGAGATGGAGATGAGCCATCTCGACTCCGTGAACTCGCATATCCCCCCACACACCCGCCGATTTCTACTCACATTGAGACTACTCGGTGCCTTCCTGGAGAGGACACTGACAACCCAGATGGCCTAGCTGCCTTGTAACAGCTGTTGGCAGAATTGACGACCTTGAGATTGCTTAGACTCAATGAATAGCTAAAGGCATAACACCGGTAGTGATTATTTGAGCAAATAAAATAGAAAATTAAACAATGGGTGGTGGCTGGAAATGAATTGGCCTACTGACCTTGATGACTCGCAGAGAAATTATAAAAAATGGACGTTTTCTTTCCAACCCAAGACATCACTTGATGACAAGCCCATTTACAGAATTATACCAAGAGTACTTGTGCATACTTAGTTGCGAGTGGGAACAATAAACCAACAATACAGCTTGTAGAGCCAAGCTGGAATGCCCAGGAGGATCTGCAAATGGCAATAACAGCTAGGCTTCTCCTCCTCCTGATACTCATTACTTACAAACTCAATTTTGCCTCGGGCATAAAGGTACGTAAGATCCCAACAGTAAATGCTAATTGGAAACGGAAGACTACATGCGCGTAGAGAGGAAGACCACTGCCCTCCGCTCCAAAAGATACTCTCCCGCTTCTTATTACAACCTGTACTTTCACCCAAACACCTCTTTGATGAAACTGAAGGGTGAAGAATCCTTGGAGGTGGGCCTCCCGAAAGGTTCCTCTGGGAACCGGCCGAGGTTCGACAATGAGTCAAGAACACCACTTTCAAGTTACTATTGCAGCTGACAGAGTGCCTGCTACGAGTCTTCCAGAAGTTAAGTAGTGTGCTTATAGTGACTGGTGGTCAGAATGATGGGGATAGGGTGTGAACAACAGTTAGCAATAGCGATTGGAACATCGATACAACAACTGGAAAGCAAGTTGACGGCTTTAGAATAGACAATGGATATGCTATGCCGTACTTGAATTCTACCGAGAATGGTCTAGGGGAAAGTGAAAGCCAAGTGATCGAAGCTTGGTAGAGAATATCGCTTTGTATTGTCGGTTCCATCACAACTTGACTCTCAACTGGAACGCCCAAAATCACGAAATAATCCTCAGGCCCTAGCTTTGGATGAAGTACTACAATGTGTCTAAAACAATTACCTCAAATGCCGTGTTTGGAAAGAGTACATCGGAACAATACTTGGAAATCGGCGTTGAGTCGGCGTACTGGCTTGTTGGTCACGACCACTCAAGGATGAATCATGGCACACCGCTATATCGGACGTCTATATAACGATCGTACATTGTCACACATAATCGGTTGGCAAGATACACAACTTAATCGCCTTTCGATTCCAGATTCACTCGTGAGACGCAAATACGAGACACAAACAACCACAGGAGACTTGGGCCACTTCCCGCCTGGATTGGATATGCGAAGCTAAAATCCCCGGCAAGGTTCTAGCTTGTTCAAGCAAACCAAAAAAAAAAGAGGCGAGCCTGCACGCTGATAATGACCTGGACTCGATAGCCTAAAGCATCGCACCAAGTCCAACCCGTGAGGCCTGACCCACGTGGCGGCTCGATTAACGAGATCCGAGACCCTGTATCGCACATTGCAGGTCCGCCGAAGATTTGAAAGATACAGGCGTGGGAAGTCAGGTAAGAAGAAGGAAGAAATGGCGAGACTAAGTGTTCACCCCCCGGCCACCTTCGAATTCCCCCATACTCACTGTTCAGAATGATTGAAGTAACGCCATGAATGTGTACCATGGCAACTAAAGTCTCGGTTGCTAGCCGTATCATGTAAATAATGCGCTGTTCAACCTTGTCCAATATGTGTAGGTCGCTTCTTCATGCGCACACGTTATCAGATATATGTATCCATGACACACAACACAACATGTGGACCTGACCGCCTGACGATTCGGAAGCCATTAGGTGCATCTGATAATAAAGGGGTACGAATGGGCAGAAGAGTGGCCTTGCACGCATAATCTGGCAAGCTGGAAGAGAGGACGTGGGAGGACTCTTTGTTTATCGGTCATTCGGTGGCAGTTGCCCAGAGAGACGGCTGCAGTTTTCCAGTATTGCGACAACAAACCACTGCTAGTAAATGTCATTTATTGGTGCCAAAAGATCCTTTGAATGATTATCCGACGCAGGTTGACTCATATGTGGCGTAAGCAGCATTGAAGCTCAGGTGCCTGCTCTGGCGAGGCAACAGCACTCAGAAGACCGCTAAGCGATCGACATTTTCCCCCGGACGGGCTCGAAGTAGTTGCGCTGCATGCTTTGCATTTCCTTAGATTTCGGTAGCGATCATCTTTTAGGCGTGAGACGATAAGATGCATGTTCCCCATCCTAGGCGAGTGTCCTGGTCGTATTGCATCAAAGGAAGGTGTCCCAGATCCTCCGATGTAACGCAAGAACGCAGTCCGGCCGTTCCAGAATTTAATTATGCCAAGCCGAGGGTGCCCTTTGGGAGCTAATCTGTTCCCCGGGATGGTGTATAGAGTCAGAGAAGCCGCCGGGGATCAGTCCTTGGCAAGACACGGACAACAAATAGTATCCGACTACTGGTTGGACAGCTCATCTAGCCGACCGTTTGAATCTTTCTAGAAGGGAAGGAGCAGATTTCGATAGCCGTTTGCCAAGATGGAGATCGGCCATACACAGAAGTCTTACAATCACTTGGATGCGATACGCGGAGCGCATGTTCACTGGGAGAGCTCTACGTTAAGATGTGTATAAATAGGGAATTAGCGCGAGGATAGGGTATACGACTATTGAAGGGATTTTCCACTTGCAAGGTGTTTAATTTAATGAGAAGAACACTCCAACGGAGGCTAATATTGCCATGTCAGCGACCGATATCAGATCCAGGAGCGTCCTTCCTGCTGCCCCCCTACCCTACCGGGAGCGTGGGCAGACTGACTCTTATCACAAAGGAGCAAGGCCCGACCATGTCCACTGCTAAACAGGGCATGGGAGGCATGCTTCACGGATGAGATAGCTTCAACACGCTAGGCTCTGCCAAGCAATCCATCGCGTGACGCTCACGGCGATGAGTCTTGTGCGGATCGACCGTCTGATCAATCACTGTTCAACCAACTATCTATGGCCTCCTCCAGCTGGCATGGATCCCCGGGGCCGCCGAACCTATCCGCAAACTAACCTTCAGATCTCTGTGGCCCACGGAACGCAACTGGCCCCCGGCTCAGTACTGCATGACCCTTGAACTAAGCGTTGAGGCCCGAGGCTATCATCCTCATTCCTGCCAGTAATAGAACAAGGCGATGGATTCCTCCCGTGGTTGGCTCACCTGAAATCAGTTAAACCTTTCTCGCCATCTACCGGGCTCTACTAGTCGGTTTCTTATCCGCCCCTCGTCAGCTTCTTGTCCTTGTCCTGGTGTTTTTATTCCCTAACGGCAACGGCAAGCCCGTGTGGCGCCTGGCGCTCCGCTCGCTGATAACAGACAGCTGTTATAACTGGCTGGGGGGCGATGGATATGGATCGTATTGTGCATATGTATGTGCTACGGTGCAATGTGTGCGCGGTGTGTAGATCCGAAACGCAGCTATGGGAGGGGCAAGACAAGCAGCTGATACCATGTTGGGGAACGTGTCTGCCGTAAGGGATGAATGCCCATCCCGCGATTGGCAGCGCGATGGGATGGAGAGACGTTTCAAAGGCCACTAGAGGCCATCAGTGACGTCCATGGCTTGATATCCTCCGCTTCGACAGACTGACGCCAACTCGGCTTGGTTAGCTGGGCGTTTTGCGTACCGCACAGTGCGCGCTGCCTCGTCGGCGGTAAAACGCGAGTCGACGGTGAAGCGCGACATGACTGGTTGCGGGTTTGCCAAGGCCTTTGCAAGCCGCTGTACTTTCTCCACGATGCCCCAAGGCGATCTAAAAGCTGCAGGCGCGGCCTTAATGTGAGGGCACTTTGTAAGATTGAATCTCCAGGCTCCCTCCCCTGCTTGGCACTGCGCCAGCATGCAAGTACCTGCCTTAAAGACTTAGTCATGAAGCTGGGGATTCGATGTGAGGCTGCGATTCAAATTGATGTCGCTCAGCGGTGTGACCCAGAGACACAGAGGACAGCAGGAAACGCTCCGGTTGCCTTTCTCCTGAAGCCATCGCCTAGCAGCGGCATTGCATCGAGGACCGGCTGGAACAAGCGTTGTACCACCTCAGCACAGCTCCAACAGCTGCTACCCCAACCGAAAAGCTTCCTGCTGAGAAACGGGCCGACATGCAGCTCACATGCTGTGTGTGGATGTAGCTCAGGATTTCCTGCGCTCCAACAGTCCCCCTAAGCCCAACTCGTCCCCCAAGCCCGTAGTGGCGTCGAGGATGATCGAGTTAGCGGCTGGGGATCATTGCGGTACCCCATTCTTCTGCGTCTAGCGGTCTCTTTGTTGCTTTGATGTAACCTTTACTCACATACCTGTTGGCCGGTGGATCGTGGCATCGTCGTCTTGCACACCTAATCCATCCAATGTCCATCCAGGATGCGTTTCCCGTCCAGCCAACGGCCACATGGCGCGATCTTGCAAGATGCCAGTACTGCAACATATTGAAGATTGCGGTCCAGAATGCCTGCTACCCCATCCTGGTCACGTACGAGTCTGCTTGGGCGCTCAAGCCCTCCATTCGGCCGGGTCTTGAAACCAGCCATGGAGCTTGTTCCTTACCCTGCTGTTGCCGCCGGGGGTGGTTGGACGAGGGGGGATGAGGGCTCGAAATTAGTTCAAAGCCAGAAGCCGGTGCTGCTCTTCTCCTCTGACCGGTCCCAGACCAGACTGTTGCCGTCAGTGATTTTCTTGTAGTGCGTTCCCATAATTTGCCTCGGATGCGGAACCCTGTCGCCGCCAGTGGGAGTTGGAAGGGGTTCTGGCCACTGATTGGCCACATCAGGCTAGGGCGCTGTCTCCGGACAGGGGCACTGATAGCGCATCCCAGTCAGCGGAGCCAAATGCCTTATCCACCAATGACAGCCCAGGGGATGTCAGTTATCGCAGGCTAACGCAATTCCGGGTGCTCACCAAGGGAAGACACCAGTTGACAGGAAATTTCGATACACCTAGAATTCGGCCGCCACCGTCGCCATCAATCACCGATTCATGCTGGTTTGCCTCCTGGTGTTACACCACTAGGCGGTGGTGGCTGGACGTCGTTCCCGCAGGCCTTGACCTCGCCTTCTCCATTGATCTCCAGACTTTCTGCTTGTGGGGATGATTGAAGCTTAATGATGCCTAGAGAAAACGTTACGTACAAACCTCTGGGGGAAAAGCTTCAGTATTCCTGGAGAACCTGGGGAGCATTCACTAGAAGCCGGAACGGTTGTCGTTCTGGGAAATCATGCGTGCTTGGGCGGATTCGTTTACGTAAGACTGTGCACATCCCTACTTGTCCCTCTCCGCACGTAGACATACCTCGACAAAGACCATTCCGTGATCAATGCCGACGGTACCGGCTAGAATCAAAATCAGTATTCATTACATGATGGTAAGCTTGGAATGGAGCCATAGTTTGATGGGGAAGCGTCGGCGATTCCCCACAATCTCACCATAAACATGCTGGAATCGTTCGGTGTGAGGAAACATATCGCTTTTACCTTAGCGTCTTTCGGCAGCAGGGAGATACGAAGATGATGCCACAATCGGGCGGCCGATATCGAGATGCAGGGAATGGAGGCCAAAGCACATGCCCTGCAACCTCCGAGCAAAAGCTCAGGTGACGACGGCCAGCTCCTACGGGAATAACGAGTGGTGGCCATCGTCAGCATCAAACAGCACTTTTGGGCCCTCTTTTCATTGGAGTCCTCTTTCTCCATCTACGATAGACATCGGGTCGCTCCAGATGAATATGGTGTGACATGAGCAATTCCCCCCTCCACCCCACTTCCCTTTCTCTTATCTCTGTTGGCATTAGGTCTTTGGAAACTTGGAACGAGATGCTGCTGCCTGACCCCCCAAAATTAGGACTCTTGACCCGAATCCCCTTGAAGTAGGTATTTTTGTATGGGCCTTGCGATTTCCGTCTTAGTCGAAAACCTCCGCGGCTCTTCACCCCCTCTTCCAGTAGCTCCCATCACACCCCCTTCATGGAATGCGGTGGCCGAGCTTCTAGAAAAAAACCCTCATTTCTAGCGCCCGGTGGCCTGGCGATGGGCCATCGGGAAGCAGGCCGCGCATGCAATGTATTTTTAAGCTCTCTTCGTACATGCGTATACAGAGATCTGGCATACACGGTCAACGTCTAAACGACACGCGAGAAGAGCGCCCGCTCACTATGGTGATTCCTGCCCGTTTCGGCACGTGAATGTGGTAACAGTGACAATCAATTACGAGACAGTAAAATAAATTAGGTGTTGGTTCTGGACGCTGCTCTCTCTGCTTTCTCACCGGTCGGCTCCCTCTTTGCCAAGCCAATATATAACCGCGCGAGCCTCGGGACATGCCATAAGACATCTCTTGCACGGGTCCCGCGCCCAAGATGCTAGTTTCGGTTTAACTGGGACAACGTAAAACGAAAAGCTAAATAATTGAATGCCTCATGACGGTTAGCAAAGTAAAAGAACACTAAGGTAAAGTGGCATCATGTGGCTGAACTAGAGCGTGCTAAAACAGACCATATCATCACCATGTTATGACTACAACAAACCCACAGCCGGATCTTCGCTGAGAACTGCCTTCGCAGATTTCGTTTCCCTAGCCGTTGCAGAGTCCGCACCACTGCCGTGGTAACCCAAGTCGCGGAAAGAGTCTGCGAGACCTTGGCAGAATGAGATAGAGTGCTGTATCACGGGCTCGCCACATCTCGTTATCAACAACTGTTTTCTCAAACTCGGCATTGCTACAATTGGAATGAGGTCAAGGGTTTCGCTTAGGCAGAGATATGACAATTGTCCCAAGATATCACAGATTGGCAGTGCTCCTTCTCCCCACAAGGCCAGCAGCTTGGAAATTGCTACCTTAATTGATGCCAAGCATCTCGACGCGCCACAGATATGGAACTTTTCAAACCCCACAAAAAAGCCCATGTCTTGAGGAGGGGAAGGGGTTTTTCCCTTTCTTCTGACAGCCTAGACGGGAAGGTGGCAAGAGGCGACGGTGCTGGGGATACACATTGGTTCGCCACAACACAGCTTGTCCTGGCAAAGGGCCATCTCTCAGCGAATACTGGCCAGGCTGGCTGACATGGTATACCACACAGGCTGCCCGGGGATGCATCAAAGACCCATCCATGATCCATGCGCTGGGGGTAGTTGCACAGAGATGGTTAGACTCGTAAATTTAAGAGTTGAGTCCATCAGCACCAGACCAAGGAACATTCTACAGATGGTTCCATGAGCCTACAACCACACGGGATATGGACCGTGTTGGAGTAAGTAGCAGCCCCCAGCGAGCAACGATTAAACAATTAAGGATGGCGGGCCTCCGTACCAATAGTGCGTGTTAGTGTCAGAAGTAGAAACGAAGCCTGTATCGAAACGCAAAACCATATGTAATGAGGCAGGTAATGACTATGTCATGACACATTCGGTAGCTGTACACTTATGTGCGGGGCAACCGGCCTCATTTCTGGCGTTGACTAAGAGCACAAACGTTATCGAGGCAGATGATTCGGGGGTGGACTCAATCAGATCACCAGCCGCTTAGGGAAAAACTCCCGTTTAAGCAGAAGTTCTCACATGTAATGAAGGTAGTACATACGTACCGCGTGATTACCCAAGCAGACTCGGTGTCTATGGGAGACCAAAAAAAAGCTTCACGAACAACTACCGTCTCACGATGGAAATTGGTCAAAATTATTGGTTCCTAGTCAAGCAGGTTTGCCTTGCGACGCGTGTGTACATCCTATAGAAGGAAAAGACTTCTAGAAGCTTTCCTGTGCGAGATAAGACGGCGCTCGTCCTCCATTAAACTCGCCAGCTGTAGCTCCCGCAGCCTTCCTTGCCCTGCCTTGCATGGGTGTGCCATGGTTGTAACCAACTAAGCAGTGTTTGTTCCAATCATAGCAGTTTCCATCGAGGAAACATGACAGCCGCTTCGAGGAGCTTCCCTTTTGGCATTGGGCTGGAGGGGTGAAGCAACCGTGGGCGATTGAACCCCTCCCCAGCTCCAGGATAGATAGATGCTGGATGTCTCAATGTATGCGTACAGGTAACAGGGCCACAGTCGATTCGTGGCCCGCGCCCGCCCCGGAGATGGGCGAGCTGGACTGTGCCAGCGAATGGATCACGCGAGCAGGGGTGAGATGCCTCTTATCAGGGACGATCATTGGCTATGCTGTTTGCGGGCATCCAGCAGGATTGCCTACCTAATAAACTCGGTGCTAGGGGGTCTTCCATTGCGCATTGCGCGAAGAGACATGGGCAACATTGGTATTATCGGCCTTTGACGAGTCATATTGTGGTGATGGTCAACCTAGATTTCCAGGGCTATGGGCGCCTGTGATTTTCGGAGCAAGTTTGGACGAGGCAAGGTCGGCGGGCAGACTTGGACAGGACACCAGCAGCGCCTTCCTTCCCACCGTATTGCCTTCTTTCCTATCAGCTCCCCACCCCTTCCTTCCCCTTCCCTCCCCAACCTGGCTGCGCTTGCTGCACACCCACCCCCTCTTCCCTTCCACCCCTCGCCCCTTCCCCAACGGAGACTAAGACTCAATTGCGCCTGCCTTTTGTCTAGCTGGCTGGCATATTCTGACCGCGAGCTGGTCTAGTTTTGGCAAGTCCAGTACAATGGGCGACAATCCACACGGAGTACCGAGCGTGGTACGTACCGCATGGAGCCCGTGCGGCCTTGGCTCTTCCCACTGAGACGGTGCATTCGATGATACATGCTCCATGCTTCTGTGTGCATGCCACCCTGGCTCCAGGCGCATGCACAATTTGGTGTGAGCTCGCATCGATGCTGAGAGATGGCTTGGCGTAGGGTCCTTCTGAATCTGACCCTCCAGGCCCAAGTCGTTGTGTCGGGGATCAGCGCACCCGACCACAGAGGCGACACTGGCAGGAGGACGAGCGTCCCATCCATCCATTCCCGTCCTGAACTTTTGTTATAAGGCCTGCAGCCTTCCCACCCTCATACCGCGTTCTCCTTTCCTTTCCTCTCCTTCCACTATCCTTGACTCAAGGCATCTTGGGTATCCTCCGTCTTTCCTTTGACCTTTAATAGTGTTGCATCTGCCTCATCCTCTTGGAGTGGTGGACCCAAGTCAACATACACCATAATGTCTTCCAAGGACTCTATTCCCGCCGCCGATGGCGAGAAGGGCCTCAAGGCCCAGCCAGTTACTACTGGCGAGGTCCACGATGGTAACATCGAGACCTCTTTCGACCAAGAGCCTTGGGCGACCAGGGTTGGTCTGAACCTGGACTCGTTCAAGTGCAAGGTCTACGGTCACGGTATTGTCGAACTTGACCGCCCAATGAAGACGCGCCATCTGCACATGATTGCCATTGGTGGTTCCATTGGTGCCGGTTTCTTCGTCGGTTCCGGTGGTGCTCTCAGCAAAGGTGTAAGTAAACTCATTCCTCTCCTTCGAGGGCCGCCTCGCTCAATCGTCGGCGCTCGCTTCGCTGAGGGCTTTCCCGCAACCGCTTGCAATCCCCATTGGAGGAGCCATTTCCACCGCCCAGAAGCAATGACTGACCCTCATTTTGTAACAGGGCCCTGGTTCGGTTCTGATTGATTTCTTGATCATCGGTGTCATGATGTTCAACACTGGTAAGTGAAGCGCAAGAGAAATTCGAACAACGCAATCCACAATGGGACTAACAGAGACGTTCTAGTCTTCGCTCTTGGTGAACTCGCTATTATGTATCCCGTCTCCGGTGGTTTCTACACGTACTCGACCCGCTTTATCGATCCATCATGGGGTTTCGCTATGGGGTGGAATTACGTCTTCCAATGGGCTATTGTCGTGCCTCTCGAATTAACAGTGTGTGCCATTACCATCGGATACTGGGACTCGGAAACTAGCATCGGTGTGTGGATTGCCGTGTTCCTAGTCATCATCATCATCGTGAGCGTCTTCGGTGGTATTGGATATGCCGAGGAAGAGTTCTGGTCATCCATCCTGAAGCTCAGCGCCACGATCATCTTCATGATCATTTCCTTCGTCCTCGTTCTGGGTGGTGGCCCCAAGGGCGGCCGCTATGACGAGTACTGGGGAGCCCGCTACTGGTATGATCCCGGTGCTTTCAAGAACGGATTCAAGGGCTTCTGCTCCGTCTTCGTTACTGCTGCCTTCTCCTTCTCCGGTACTGAGCTGGTCGGTCTCGCTGCTGCTGAGTCCCGCAACCCTGTCAAGTCGATGCCTGGTGCTATCCGACAGGTGTTCTGGCGTATCACGCTCTTCTACATCCTCGGTCTCTTCTTCGTCGGCCTCCTCGTTGACTGCAACGATCCGTCGCTGCTCTCCACCGCTGCCTTTTCCGATGCCAAGGCCTCACCCTTCGTGCTTGTCGCCAAGTATGCTGGCCTGAAGGGCTTCGACCACTTCATGAATGTCATCATTCTTGTCTCTGTCGTGTCCATCGGTGTCTCTGGTGTCTATGGTGGTTCCCGTACTCTCACTGCCCTGGCCCAGCAAGGCTATGCCCCCAAGCTGTTCACATACATTGACCGCTCTGGTCGTCCTCTCCCCTCTACCATCGCCGTCATCGTTTGCGGTGCTCTCGGTTTCATCAACCTCAACGCCGATGGTGTCACTGTCTTCAACTGGCTTCTTGCTCTGTCAGGTCTCGCCGCTCTTTTCACTTGGGGATCTATTTGCCTGGCTCACATTCGGTTCCGTTCCGCATGGGCCTACCACGGCCACACCTTGGATGAGATTCCATTCCACGCCGTCGGTGGTGTCTATGGCTCTTATCTCGGTCTCTCCCTTTGCGTCCTCGTCCTCATCGCCCAGGTATGTATAGATGTACTCCGATGAACTGGCTTCATAATGCTGACTGATATGGTAGATTTACGTTGCCATTGCTGCTCCCATTGGACAGTCTGGTGTTGGTGATGCAGAGAACTTCTTCATGCAGTGTCTGGCCATTCCCGTCGTTTTGGTCTTCTGGCTCATTGGTTTCCTCTGGAAGCGAACTGGCTGGCTCAAGGTTAGCCAGATTGATGTCGACACTGATCGTCGTGAACTTGACTGGGAGTTCATCAACGCCGAGCGTGCCCAGGTTGCCGCCCTGCCTAAATGGAGGCAATTCGTGGCCAAGATTTTCTAAATGGGGAGGCTTTCATAATCGCATTGGCTCTTTCGTCTTGTGAGATGAGATGGATGCGGTCGATGATCTGTACATGGATTTCAAGTCGCCTTGCACATGACGATTTTACATCCTCGACTAGTATTTTCCTGTGCAACCTGTTGGAACATTAGATACCATTTTTACTATTTATAATTGTCAAATAAGAACAAGCATTGACTGAACCGAGCTCACCTCAATCGACGTTTTAACATGGTGAAATGTTTTCAGGGTCTTGATGACCAGAAAGAGCCGCAGATCGCGGCGACTTCGGCCTTGCATGCATGATGCATGCAAGTAAGTGTATCATCGCGTCGAGAGTAGCATTGAAAGCATGTGTGGTTGCATGAGTAAGTTTTCGATATGGGGAGGCATATTATAAATAATCCCCTTCACAGCTGCACACTTCTATTTCGATTTTCCTCAACTGATATTTAGTCATACACTGCTCGTCATCAACGCCCTACGGGTCATGTCAAGTCCAGACTGGGGGGTGCACGCCCTTCTGGTGGATATGAGGGTGGAGTAAGTAATCATCCCACGATTCCCAGCCAAAGCGCGGATACTGCCGCCACTAGCCGAAGAGCCAGGCGCGAACCGTGTTCACAGCTTATAAACCTGGTTAGATGGGCAGGAAATGTATGTTCTTGCGAGCTGTGGATGGGTGTATGGTTGATGGTGTATACACAAACTTCGCGGCATACTTAAGGGTGAATTCAACATATTCCAGAAGCCACGAACGATGGGGCTGCCCATCTCAGAACGGGCTCCTCCCCATTCGCAGTACGTAAAAGACTGCAGCTAAGCGGCATTGTCGAATCCACCAAATCTCCAGGTTCGGTAGGAGAACTGAGGAGCTTTGACCGAACGAAATACGTAGGGCGCGCATCCCATGGCATGTCGAAAGTGGCCAGGTTTGCACGGCATTGGCTCGTTTCCCTGGTCGAAGCTTCTCACGACACACGTGGTGGAGATGCCTCGTTTTCCACGTTAGCTAAAAGTTTTCGACAACATGTTCACTAGGTAAGCCGGGAGCAGGCTCTTTGAAGAGCCGACTGGCCCGGATCGGACGGTGGGCACGGACGAGGAAATTTGGTGATGAGATGCTTGCTTGCATCCTTCATCGCTTGGCTTGATCCATGGCGAGGAGCAGCAATCACATCATCTTGTGTCAATCTTAGCACATCCAGGAGCAATGAGTTCATGGGGCAAATCAGCTCAGATATTTGTCAGGAGACGAGTGACAGCGGTTGTTCCCAGAAGAAAGTACCTACCTACGGTATCCTCAGCCTTGATTTTGGTCCCGAGTTTAGCAAAACAGAGAGGTTTCTGCTAGGTTCATCTCCCCTTTTCTTACAATATTTTGTATCCTCTCTATATTCAACACACAACTAGTATGCAGCCAGCCCACGGCCACACAAGGCACAGCGAACCCAAAAAGCCACCTCAACAGAATTATTGTGGAAGTCAGTCACATAATAATGCTTCCTATTATGACAGTAAGCATATAATGTTGCCTAACAATTACTCAATAGTTTCTTGTTGTTTCTATTGACTACCTATTATTCGTCAATATCCTAGCCTGTGTTGGAAAGTTGTGATTAAAACACCTCAGTTCCTTTGACTCTGACACTCACTTGCCAAGCCCGTCTCAATACTTCGGGAGAATGGCAATATCAGTACCACACATAGAATCATCGTAGCTTTACAAAGCCTGGTCCATGAGGAGTAAAAGATACCTGAGAAACGAAGCGTTTAGGCAAGAGGGAAACGCTAGTTTCCATCTGAAGCGTAGCCAGTGCAATACCACCTTCGGGGGGTCCGGCAAGGCCATCCTACCCTAAAAGCTGTTCCAGTTTCTCTGTTTACAGATTCCGAATCCCAAGGTCTTCGAAAGCGCAAAACCTGTCAGGGAAATCACTGGTTTCGTCGACGAGTCATCCATGGCTGCGATTAGTGCGATCCCGTTCGACTGAATTCCCAAGAATTTTGTTTCCTTTACCTCGGGGTGTTTGTCTTGTCGGTTATCCTTGTCCTTCTTTTCTTTGTCAGTTCGAGGCAAAATCTTCCTGAGAAACCTTTACTAATGGATTCGTTGTATGCCGCTGCTGCCGTCACAGCTTTCTCATACAGATGGTACCGTTTGCACAGGATAGTTAGTCTGTCAAAAACTCCACATGGCATCTTTTAGACAAAATTGGCCGCAGCAAGCACCCCAATCGACGGGGAGGGAATTATCATATCCCTTGCATATTCTTCTACTAAATCTTGGGGGCACATGAGGTTTTCAAGCTCAGCTCAGTCCAGAAAGGAGCAGCCCTGTATTAGAGCCAGTAACGTCCCTACAGTTACAGTCGCGATTAAATCTCAACATAAAATCCAAGATGGCATCAAGTTCATCATTCATCTCTAAAGAATATCCTTTAAGGAAAAAATTAACAGACGGTCTGGGTTGATATCTGGCTAGTTACCGCTCCACCATGGCACGGGCATCGTTCACAGTTGACCTCGCCATCGTCTTCAGGACGATCCTCTCGTCAGCTTCGCGGAACTTTTCCCATGAGTCTAAGCCCTCCTTTGCCTGAATACTCAGCGTCTCGTAGCCCTGCTTGATCACCTCTGTCACTTGCTGAGGCGTTAAGCTGCTTGGTCGTTTCTTCCCCTCTGCGAGCATCTGCTTGTAATGAGCGCTCACGTTGATCAGTGTATCAATCGAGTTGGTGTGGCGGTTCGAGAGGCGGTAATTCTCCTTGAACTTTGTCAGGATTTCACCGGACTCCACCACCTTGTAGAAGAGGTCGTCGTAGGCAGCTGGGGTCGGCAAGAATGCCTCTCCTGCAGATAATGATAGAGCCACCAAATTTACTACATGATCCAGCAAAGTGTCGATCCGCGGCAGATCCTTGAGATCAGCATTGTACTGGCTCAGGAATCGGATCAAGGATAACAGCGAGCGAAATAATTCTGGCCAGTGATACTTAAGCCGCGTCCTCGACCTCGAGAGATGAGAGATGACGCGCAACAAAATCCCCACACAGAGGGTATACATTCTCACGTCCAGGCGCTTCCTGAGATTGTGGTTAATAGCATCAACCATTACGTCCAACAGGCAAGCTGCCAGCACCCTATCTCCCTTGACAAGGGGAAGATAGGGTTGACGATGGCGGCAGAGGCGCACGGGTGTTGCCGACCCTTCGGCACAGATTCTTTTGCAGATAGCAGGGTCTTCTATTAGTTGTCGGAGCACCATGAGATTCATATGAGCGTAGTCAGACGCCCTTTGTGAAAGATGCGCGTGTTGTAAGAAGTATGATGTCAGTGAGAGGTAACTGGCAAAGGGCTGCTCCTCGCCCTCTACCGCAGGGACGGCGACCAAGTTGGCACAGAATAATTTGTTCGCATGCGCAAAGTCATACGTTGATAGTAGAATGGCAGCATTATCTCCCGGGCTTGAAAAGATCAGTTCGTGCTGGACCAGAAACAAGAAAGCGGTTTCAGAGGGTCATCACTTACAGTTTGGTGAACATTTGTTTGGTAGTTTCAGCATCATATACGGGCTTCTTCTCCGGTTTCGGCCCAGGTATAATGAAGCCAAGCCCAATCATGTTCAGCGTCCTGGAGAGAGTCCAGCCCTCGGGGAGATCATCTTGGACATCCACGTACTCGGCCCGCACTACCTGGCATGTGTATCCAATGCAGCGGATGATCTTCTGAATGGTCGACTCGTTGACAAAGTCGCTTAGTCGCATCTGGTATGGATTCCGAAACTCGAACTTGTTGTAATTTGACAAGAGACCAATTAGTGTAAATGGTTCGAGTATTTGGCCCGGCATGTCCGAATCTTGTATAAACTGCGCGGGGTGTGTGAGTCCGTGATATCGGTTTCTTCTGCTGGCCAAGCACCCACCTTGATTATAGACGGGAACAAGTCTCTTTGGATCATGTACGTGAGCAGCGTCGTCTGGTAAGCCCCCGCAGTAGTCGCAAGGAGAACCTCGACTGCCTTGTGCCGTACCTCCACTAATCGCCATGGTTAGTCTTGATATCAACTCCATCAGTCCGCCAGGGGAGGGTCGCGCCCACAGGTCTGCCCGTTCCGAATCAGTCCATCGAGAGCACCGACACAATCTGTAAAGACCGTGTCTACTTGATCAAGGCCCGCCAACACGGAGATGATATCTGAGCTCGGGTGGGGGTATCGCTTGCCCAGGACCGAGGAAAGGAAGACGCTCAGGGTCTACGGATTACGCGGTCAGCCAGTCGACCACTATTGCTTCGTCTAGGGGGGCCGTCGGGCATACGTCAAGGGCATTCGCAGGGGAGGAGCCTCGTCCATGCTTCAGAGTCTCAACCGCTCGAGCGAAGAGCTCTCTTGTCCGAGATTCGAGCAGGAGTATCTCGTCTGGTGGGATTTCGTTGAGGATCGATCTCAAGGCGGCGCGATCTTGTCGGTGGAGGAAAAACTCCCTCCAGAAGCCCTCGGACTTTTCGCTAATGTCATCTTCCTAGCAGGTCGTATTTCCATCAGTCGACGAGGGGGGGCAACGGGGTCAGGGCGTCCGGCCGGATCAGATGCTAACCTGTCGCTGAATGTTAGAATGCGCGTGGCACAGCAAACGGAATATTACCGGGACACAGACCTTGAATAGGGTTTCATACAGACTGATGATTTTGGGAGTGAAGACCTCTGGTTGAGGTTGGCGGGTGAGGGGTGATGCTTCCATGTGAATCTAATTTCCCAGGGCCTTTGAGTGTATTCATGTCGTTAAGCTTGACATTTGATACCCAATTTGAGAAGCCACCATCATCCGCAGCTAAAGTGGTAGTACAGTTTTATCATCACTTATTCGCACGGTATCACTCTGTTGGTCAGCTTATTTACAGTTTTATCTCTTGTACGCACTGTATGCTACCCTATATCAAGATGCTGCTAGACCACTTGTAACTCTTCCCCGATGACAAGAGAATATCGACAATGAAAT